ATTCACAATTCTACCTTCTATAATATATTCATTAAAACACACACATTAAAGATCAAAACTTTTTCGATAAAATTTCAATTTCTGTTTTAAAATGCAGAATCAAAATCTAATAAATACAATATTCCTCAACATTTCAATTAATTCATAGATATTGTAGCATATTTTCATAGAAATTTTAGCCATAAATTCGAAAGATATCAAGAAAATATAACACTGGCTTAGAGTTAAAAAATTTCAATGTACACTAGACTTAACTAATCCAAAACGTAATCTTCATTACACATCTAATATCCTACTTGAAATCGAATTTTTCTTCCTTTCTCTATAAATCTGTATGTCTGTTAGCACTAAATTCATCAGGAGTACGAAATTCCACCATTTTATCCAAAATATATGAATCTTGAGACACGAAACATTTCACATAAAAATATAAACACTTTAAATCACAATATCATAATATGGAATAAACCTTGTCAAATCTGCATCAAATCAGTTAATTTGACAACAAAATATCTTTGACAAACACGATACATATCAACATATATGAGAGTTATTTGCCCTTTACAATATATTAATATCATTATGTAATTATGTTAGTTTCTATGGCGATATTTTCACCAATATTTAAATTTGTTCAATTATATACAATCTTAACACCAAACACAAGTTAACTTCCAGTGGACTAATAAACTAATTTTCACTGGCCTATTTTGGCCAAAACACTTTACTTCAAGCATGTTCATGAATATGTTTAGATGCTTAAAGCAAAAGTTCAATCCATGAAAGAAAATTGAAAATCTCAAACTCACATCACTTAGCAATAACTGCATCATAGATACGATGTTGAGCTGTGTCCAAAAATGAAATGATACATGAATTTTGATTATCTGAACACATTTCAAAAGTCTTTTAATTTGATTTTAATTCTTATTTTTTCTATCTTCAAGTCATGCCATACCAAACGTTTCCTTTAGAGTTTTTATGTTAACATCATCTGCCTTGTTATGACCTCCACTATTCAATTTTGCTGGTATCATATGCTGATTGGTTAAAATATCGGAAGGATATTTCTCTGTAGATCCTTTGAAGTCAGTGCTAGATGTCACTGCATTAGTCCAAGTTGGGGGTGGGGGACTTGATTGCCCGTAAAGATTTTGAGGGACACTTTGATGATTTTGGAAATTATTTGAGAATAAGTAACCATGGTTGGCTTGTATCTGAGAGTCTAAATCGAAATGCTCGCTATGCCAACTTTTGGGTCTGATTGAAGGTATGGTTACCATGGTACCAGAGTCACAAGCTGACCATCGCCGGGAATCTAAATCAACGGAACTTCCAGAGAGTCGGGAGTTATTCGACCTCATTGTGGATGTATCGTAAGATCCTGTGGATGAGCTATTGGTATGCATGAGAGTTGTGTCGTTGCATAAGGCAGTAATTAAAGGAAATGATTGGGCGTGGCTACGAATATTCAATAATTCAGGATGTAATTTTTCAGTTACGTGGTTCTTCTTGCTGATATGATGATGTTGACTGGGCTGTTTCTTCTTGATATATGTTCCATCTTTCTCTTCTTTTTTCCTCTACAACAAAAGTCAAGAATAATGCAGTCAAAAATTATTCTACATAAGGTATGCAATAACATAGTCATGGTGCTCTGTTGAATGTTTCTTTTCAACCACTCCAATCTCTACATAATAAGGTAAGCAGTCAAAATTTGGTTGTGAACACATATTCTTCCTTGGTCTAAAACAATGCACTTCCATTTTGTCATAAAAAAAGAGCTACAAATTGGTGAAAGCTACCAGCCGATAAATTATAGCAAGTATTTGTGTTGTGTAAATCCTTCAGGAGTTGAAAACTTCATCTGGCAAATGTTTTCCCTTTGGCAATACTGTTAACTTGTAAATAAGCCGAGCAATACAACCACTTAATTGTTTAAGATTTTCATTTACTTACCTCCTTTTTTGTTCCATCTTCTCTTTGTCCGTCTGCTCCATCAGTCACCATGACACTCTGGGCTGTCTGAATTCTATTATTAGGTATTTCAGTCACTACTCCAGGATCAGCAAATGCTAAGGGAGGGGAGTAAATTTCCTGGGGGTCAGTTTTCACCGGTTGATAGCTTGAGTCAGATAGAGGTGTAATACCAGGGCTGAACTTCGGAGGGTTGGGATTCTTAGGAACCAAGTTGAATCCTTCCAAGTTGGTTCCTGGTGAAGGCATTTTCTCCGAAGCTAATTGAGACATTGCTGTACTGTAAGGTGGGGGATCAGGAAGATTGATATAGGTAGGTGTAGGGTTCTGTGTTACAAAGCCAACATTATGATAGATAGGTGTGGCCTCCACTGTGGGTATATTTGTACTTGTTGTGGGGAAACTCAGATGGTAAGGAGGGGGAGACTGGGGAGGTATTGGGTTTGTGTAGTTCGGGTTGTATGCTCCATTGGTTGAATCAACCGATGCCATGCCAGAACTTGGGGCTGAAAAACTTAAGTTGTACACAGCATGAGCTTCTTGGGGTGTCAATCCAGTTGGGTGTTGGTAACCAATGGCATAAGGTGATGCGTCTTTTGGTGAGATTCCACCAGTGGCAATGGGTAATCCATGAATATTGTTGATCGGTATTGGCTCAGTGGGAGACTTTCCAGAGATGGTTTTCGGAAGTCCTAAATTGTATCCAGGAAGCACTGAGTCTGGCAGTCCATGGCTTTGTCTTGTATTTTGATTTCCAATATTGTAAACAGCTTTTGTTTCTGATCCAGGCAGTACAGGGATATTGGAACTGGAATATCCTATTGGATAAGATGGTAAACTGGAATCGATACCTGGTGCTCCGATTGGATAAGATTGTAAACTAGAATCGACAACAGGTGTTCCAATTGGGTAAAGATTCAAACTAGCTTCACTATTTGGTGTTCCAACAGAATACATAGGTAAACTTATTTCACTGCCTGGAGTCAATCCTATTCCAGAGCTGGAACTGGGAGATGGCGTTGTGTCTGATGCTTTATGGGTAGCTATTGGTAAAAAGGGTTGAGTGAATGATGTAGGTGCTGAAGAAACGAATGGTGGACATGTTGGCTTGTTGGGTAATACACTAATACCCAGACTCAAGGCTTTAGATTCAGCAGATGGTGAAGCAGGAGTTGCATCTGTACGATTCTCAACATTTTGGGATGCTAATTGATTCTTTAAACTTTCTTTACGACTAACATTGCGACTGACGGGACGTGATTTTGATTCTCGGTCGGACTTAATGAGTGGTGGTGAGTGTAACGAAAAACCTGGATTACGGGAACCATATACTGGTACTGATCTGTATGATCCGGGACTGGTAACAGGTGACATTGGCTGTGTTGGGGTGATACCAGGTGATCGAGGCTTGTACAGCTCTAGTGATCTTGGTGAAGATGCTGGACTTTGACCGCTTGATTTCTTATAATCTGGAAATAAGGTTCAGAATTTGTTTAACCATTCGGAGCTTGGTCTCAGAAATTTGGCTTACCTATACCTTTAATACACATACACCACAGTAGCGTTAGCAAATCTAATTTGTAATTAATTAAAGAGTAACAGACACACACAAACTGATATCCTTCATATGTCCATAGGAAAAAAATTGATAACATTAAGTTATTGGTCAAACAACAGGCAAAGCAATATACAATGCATTCCATGACGATTTCACTAAATTCACCTATTAACTGACAATGTACAGTCTGTCTAGAGTGTTTTACATCATCAACATGCTGTTTGTAACAAAAGCTTGCTATCTTTTTATTTTACATATCAAGATAAGAAAAAAATCCTTGAAAAAAAAAACTTACTATGAAAACTGTTAATAATATGTGAGAGTTTTGATCGTGGGGTACTAGGTGTTGTTGAACTGCCTGAACCTGGTGGGGTATCTATTAATATCTCTTTGTGGTCTACAAATAATAAGAAAGTTTTCAGACAAGAAATACAAGCTAGACCTGCAGCTTTACATCAATAAACTTCTTGAATTTTGTTCTTTTGAAGCCATTAGATCTTGATATCTTAGTTTTATATTTCAACAACAAAATCAGTGAAATATCAGTCAGTATATGATCATCTCTGCAAATCAAATTTGAAAGGATGTGTTCCATTGGTATGTAATAATTCAAAAGCCTTATGTTTATAAATATCTAGAAACTACGACTTCAGTCACCGTGACACTCTGGGCAGTTTGAATTCTATCTTAAGGTATTTCAGTAACTTCTCAACTCTTATGACCTCATGGGTAGTAAGAGAGTTAAGTCATATATTGGAAATCTGTGATATTATTAATTACCACCAAGGTAAGGTCATGAGGTAATAAGGTTTAGCAATAAAACAGAAGACCACTACTTACCATCACTTTCATCAAAACTAATAGTCATTTTATCACTGACTATACCAGACGTTGTATTAGAACTGACGTCACTGACAACAGAGTACCGCTGATTACCTCCTCCACTAGATCCTGATTTACTTGGTGATAGTTTGACGGGACGATGTTGGATCCAGTTACCATTAGTAACTAGGTCTCTAGCATCACTATATATATACGACTCACGATATCGCCTTTTATCTGTAATAAAATGGAATGATAATTATGTTAATGTTCGGGGTTGAAAGCTGACAAACTGGACTCAAGGAAGCTCTGTCAATCGCAACAATCCAACTCACTATAGACTAAGCTATTCCACTGCTGACTCTGTAGGACTATATAACCTTTTAGGCTGATCCTCAATGAATTGCATGGTTTCATAGCTATATTGGCAAGAAATATATATAATCAAGTTATACACTATCAAACTTACTGCCATCTGAACTTTGTGAAATGACTAAATGATCTATCTGGCATGAAAGTATAATTTCATATATCTCTAGAGCAAAAACTTCATGATGATTTTGAATATTCACTAAAAAGGGCATAAATATTGGGGCTGGTTTTAATTCACCTCAGACAACAATCAATAGAGAAGATATCAGGACTAGTTAGAAAACCAAACCCTACCTTCAGCATCAAGATGTCGTATTTCTCTCAGTTTAGGTTCTATTTCCAGTTGAAACATGTGAGTGGCGCGACAGATTGTCAAGAGGTATTTAGATGTAACATCACTATCAGTATAATAGGTAAACTTTCTTCCATCAGGACAACCTTCAGATCGTATCTCAAACTTCTTTTTCTGTGTTAGAAGTAAAGAAATTGTGAACAATTGAACTGTTTAATTTTCATTAAATGGATAGTTAAGCTGCTCTTATACAATCGTATGAGTTGTCTTTCTAAGATATTGAATATCGGATCCGAAATTGCAAAGGTGCAAATCAACACTATCAGAGTCCACCTGACACATAAAAAGTTTAGAAATGCTTGTTGCAATCGCTTTTACGTGTTTAGGATGCAATAATTATACATGAGTGATTTAAATATCTTCAGGAAAATAGAATGTACACTAATACTAATATTACTTACATCAAAATAAAGTCTTCCAATGTCAAGCCACAGAAATGTTGAGATTAAATTTTTAAAACCATTTGTTTCTTCCTGTAAGATAATCAAGACAAAATTATGCATTGATATTTTGGCTATAACTCACAGAACAAGATTTCTTCAATGAAAAGATAATGCGAAAAAGCCATATTAGGTCTAGGTTATACACTTCTAGTTCACTGTATATGTTGAAGGATAAGGGGGAATGGAAGAAACTCGGGTGATGGTCAACCTTACCCTTAGCTATACTGTATTAAATAGCTATTAAAATACAAAAAACAACTTCCAAACCTACCTCATAAACTTCAATTCCTCTGGGACAAATTCCTAACCATGTGTTTAAAACTTTATCTGTTTTTTTCTTACGGACTCGATAAAAATGAAGATTATGAGCTGAGGGTGATATTGATGCTTCTTTTATATATTTTAATTCTGCGTCAGGTCGTGTCAAATTTCGATTTTCTTGATGAATTTTGGGTGCATTTTGTAATATATAGTCCATTCCTCTTTTAGCAACAATCTAAAACACAAACAATACAATTATGTTGTTAAATTTATTTGTCTGAATTCAATAAAATATTTCATCAAATTATTTGATAATTGCTAATTGACAAATGCCAAATTTTACAAAGTTATACTTTGCTTCAAAAATGTCAATAAAAAAATCCATTAATCAATAAATAATTTATTGAATCCTATACTTATGTATCAAAAATATCATGCCTGACAAAGAATAAAGATCAGCATTGTCTTACCCAGGCAGGGAAATATACTCTGGGATCAAAATAGCCATCCTGGTGTTTATCTGGTGTATAGGAACCGAAATCTGCCTGCAGAGCATTACCAACCATCTGAAAACATTTCTCTTCACTTGTTATATTATTATATTGTAACACATTCTCTTTTAGTTGTAGATAGAATAGATGACGTGTCACTTTTTCTCTGTAAAATACAACATATTTTCAATAAATATACTTCATTTATATGATATACATCAATGACACACATCACAAAGGCAAAGACAAAATAACAATCATAATCATCAGACTTTTATTAACAAGAAAAGAAAAGTATGATGTAAGATAGTCAAAGCATGAGAGCCAATAGTTGACACACTGCAGTATATTCCATTTTAACGCAGATCTCTTACATATTCATAGGTCCTATTTAATATTCATGATATTGGATTAAGAAAAATACCATAATCTAATACCTACCTCAAGAGAACAACCTGATCAACATAAAATTGTACACGAAACCAAACTTTTACTATTGCTTCATTTTGACTATCATAACCCTGGAAAAAAAATTTGAATAAAAAAGATGGCAAAAATTCATAATGCATAATGACAAAATATTTCATCATTTATTGCTGTTTATAAATTTAAAATTCTCACCTCAAAATGTAATAAGAAATCTGATGCATTACATAAAAAAAATTCTAATTCAAATATATCTAACTTACCTCCCCTTGGCCGTTTTTCCACTTTTTCGGAACTTGTTTGTGAATTTTTTCATCGAGTGCAACAAATTGATACTCATTTTCTGTAATATAAAAATCAATGAAATTCATCAAAATAAACCAAGCTACACATGATATGCCCTTTTAAAAGCATGTGTCTGATATTCCGTAGCTCATTTTTCATAAATGAAGGATTTCCGTCAGATACCTGTAAAAGATACCTGTCAATTTTCATGAGGATATAAATGAATCGACTCATTTAGCTACGCCAATATTGTGATGATATAATCCAAAGCTGCTTATGCCATTTTCTGAAAATCAATTATGGCAATTAGTCCACTTTTAAATGTTTGCAATTCCTTAAATTTTGGTAGATTCTCCGAAATATAACAAATCGGGATCAATGAATACCAGAATAAGTGGTATAGGGGGTATATTACGTACCTTTCTTAAAAGCAAGACCGAAATATTCAACTTCTCGTAAACTTAAATTCCCAGCTACTTGATTAAATACTTCTTGAAATTTAGATTTAATCTGAAAATATATGACAGATAGAATGGGTATATTTTTCATTCCTTACTCTTAAAAGAAAAAGTAATTTTTCTGACCCTTGCGACAATGTGCACAACCAAAAAATCCAATGTGTTTCAGATTTTATCAGTAATATTGTTTTAGAAAAAACAGAACATGGAAATTCTGACTTATAACAATGTTATGTTAATGTTCTATCATCTGATAATGCAACAAAACAAACTAGTAATTGAATTAGATATGGAGAATTAAAGAGATATTTTTTGTTATCGAAGGGAGATAACTCATCTGTAAGGAATGTTAAGAATTCACAAATAAAATATTGATGGAACTCTATCATGATTCATTCAGTCTCACATTTGGTATATTTTACAACAAAACAAAGATAAGAATAGAAAATAATTAATTTCATAGAGAAGAATAACTAATCAATATTCCAACAATCAAAAATAACTTCTGACATTCTTTAGATATCATCAACATTCACTAATTGCTTTTTCATTGTACTATCTGTTTAGAAATCTAAGAAAAAATCCTAGAGGTATTTGATGTATCTCTGCCAAATTGACAACATATTAACCATGTATTTGTTTACAACACTGTAGCATATTTGTCTTGCATAAATGTTATTAATGTGAATGTTATTAAACTACAGAGGCATTTACTGTATTTGAATCATTTTTGATATTTTTTCCCCAGTAAATGTGGAGCACTTTTTCTAAATGCAAGACAGCATAGAAATTCCACATTTAATTATCAATAAGCCATTATGTGCAAAGTGCATGCATCTTAATTTTCCAAGATGTGTAGGCCCTGCCGAGTACAGACAGGCCAAGTGGTAATTACTCCTTCTCAGAAGGAAACTTCCCACTTCCCAAATAACCAGTAATACAGTAATACTTACATCAACATGGACAATTGTATCTTCTCCCGTCAATAAAATAACTTGAACAACTTTTCGCTTTTTACCACTGGTTGTAACTTGTGTTGACGAGTTAGATTTAAACATATTTTAATACAAACAACAGCGATAAGAAATCTCACTCCTAGGCTGTTACTTTTAACCCCCTACATTGCAACCCACTTTTGTTTATTTTCGCTTTACGTTTCCATACCATTCTGAAAGATAAGAATTCAAACATTTAAATGATTTATCACAATTTAAATAGTAACACATCATGATGGCTCTACTGGCATGGATTAAAGGGATTGCAAAGGGGTTCTATTTCCAATCAGGCATCTGTGCTTCCTGTAATTCCACTTAAACTAAGTGTTAAATGAGATCACTAATCAAAAGAATCACAGACATATGACTGAAAATTAAAATTCCACATAATACAAGAAATGAACTTTATATTATGTAATGCATTCTTGGTATGGCAAGCCCATTGGGACAAGCATTAGTTTTAATCATCTGTAAAGGAATGTGTGACATGAAGAAGAGCATCAACACTGAAAAAGTGATGTTTGCAAATACAGTGTATCCTGCTCACGCGACCACCTTTATTAAGCAATCACCTTCAATATGCGACCACAATAAAATGTAATTAACGACTGATAAGCGACCACCTTCATTACGCGACCAGCGACCAAGTATTTACACTCCCATGTAATCATATTGAGTCAATTAAGCGACCATGACAATTATTAACTCCCTCAATTTAACATCCCGTTGTTTAATTTTATAGCTTGTTAATGATTAATGTCAGTCTATTATGGATATAAAAAGGCAGCTAAGCAAGAGCCATTCATTTTCAAAATGTCGAAGCCTACACGTAAAGTTTTAACATTAAATGAAAAGGTCAAGGTGTTGGTAAGACCCAAATTCAGGGAATTCTGAAGCGTAAAGCAGAAATTATGGAGGATTTTGAAAGCAATGTTTCTCCCGATCGGAAACGTGTGAAGCGGTTCACCGGCAATGAAGAAATCAACAAAATAACTTGGGAGTTTCTTAAAGATTTACTTAAAGAAAGTAAATGGACCATTGTTAAAGGCCAAGGCTAATTATGGATTTAAAAGATATGACAGTTAATAATAAAAAATGTAAAATATTTCTATAATGTTATATTGTTATTTTGTATTGTCTAATATCTAGAATAAAATAAAGGAAATTAATGAAACTGTTTCAGCCTACTCAATTCTCTCATAAGAGACCACCTCCAGTAAGAGACCATTTTTGAATTTTTCCCTGCGTGGTCTCTTAATACAGTTTTTACTGTATTTTATGAGAAATACCATTCATAACAGTCAATTTCATATTAAATCTGAGATTAATCAAAGGGAATATCTAATTGGCAAAATATTCAACAACAGTAAACAGACAATACAATACAGTGGAAGCTTCTGATAAATAGCTAGCGAAAGACATGCAGTTAGCCTAATTAATAGCTCTTTCGAAAAACAGAAAAAAAATCAAATCTTATATTATTATAGATATCATGGCAAAGCAACATAAATTCTTCTTACAATCATTAAAGACTACAATCCTAAAGCTAACCTACATGTATTGAAAGTCAATATGATTCAGTACTGTGCTAGAGTAGGTAGACCTAATTGGTTGTTTGTTAATGAAACTCATCTCATAAACATTCACAAGGATGACACAAATTGATCATAATCCAATTAAAATACTGTATCGTCTTGTTAATTAGACTCTTGATGTATCAGTTAATGAGAGCAATTAGTCAGCCATTGTAATAATTTGTTGCAAAAACTACACAAATCTGATGTGCAGTCAAGCGAAAGATAACAAAATCTTGGATAATTCATTTTGCCCTTCCCTCACCATCAACAAAAATGACCAATTTTTTTCAAAGTTTGTGAAAACAACAGAAATGTCAGAGGCACCAACCTTTCTAGAAACCATTCAGAAGTAAATCCTTAAAACTGCTACACATTCCATTATGCTTATTTTTGAGTAATTTTTAGTTGAAAAGGAGAAATTCTTCACATTCCTTCTTTCTTTTGTAGATTATTGGCAGCCTTCATTGAGAATAGTCTCCAACACAAATTGGCCCGGTTCGACCTACATTTCATAATAAGTTCAAAAATGATTTTATTCATTCTTATTTGAAAATATTACCTTACAATTTAATATTTAGTTGCAATTTAGCCATTTAAGTAATTTTCTCTATTTGTATGGAATTGTTTTTATTTTCAAGATTTTAGTTTAGAGATCAAAAATATTTAGTTTTGATTTTCAAGCCGCGTCGTTGATTCAGATTAATGAAATTACGTCTGGTTAATCGAAGTAGCTAACTGCGGGAATTATTGAGCTGATATTGCGCTCACGACTGACATAGTTACATAGCGAACACGTGAATTGCAGAGTGTCAGCTTTATTGGAGTTCAGAGGGTGAGCTCCAGACCCCGGTATATTAAATATCAGTGACATAATATGTTATATTTAAACAGTTTCTTTTGCCAAGTACCTTAAAACGACCTAAAGACGTAATAGTCCGAAACATCAGCCTTTATTCCAACCCCAGATTCCAGATATCTATTTGAAAGTAACGTTATTATCTGCTGTAGTAGGGTCAGAAAAAGTAGCCAATGTATTAAGAAATTTTCCGCACCTCTGAAGTTGCAGGATTTCTTAAACACAATTTTATATAAAAATCATCCACTAATTTGGATATCAGCCCTATTTTTGTTTTGTATCATATGACCCTTAATCCTTTAAATATGCGCACTCCGTCTTTGAAGGTAGGCCTTACTTATGGCCGAGGATATTTGCCACCCGGGTGGCAAACAATTATTCGCCACCCTCAATTTTTATTTGCCACCCGTTTTTAAAACTTTAATTTCTCTAGAGACTGACATTATTAGCTGTGAAGGCTATAGCCTTACTTACTTTGAACTGTGAACAAAATTAAACCTAGTTTATTGCATTAAACAAAAGAATGACATAAATAGTATAGAGAATAATGGTTTGATTGAACTAGTGAATTAAAAAAAATATCAATCTTTTCAAATATATCTAGCTTTGTGAACAGGTACATTTAAAAATGCCACAACTAAGACTAAGAAGGTGGATACTCCAGCTGACAAATGTCAAAATAATTATCAGAGGCCAGAATAGAGGCAGATGTTTCAGACCCACCAAATTTAAGGCTGATTAGCATTTCATATATACTTTGTAGCAATTTAAAATGTTCCAGTTGAAAGATCTGAAGGTATTTACCCTAGACTTTCAGCTTAGAAAGCAATTGGGTGATCCTTTAAAACATTTATCAAGGAAAATAAGACTAGATTTTGACTAATATTTTTCTTTCTTTTTTTTGGATACTAAGGATTAATAGACAATTTAGATCAAAATGTCAGATATTAAGAAGAGGAGAATTATTTCTAAAACGTTTTCTGTGGAAGAAGATGACCTACTGGTTAAAATAATGACCAACACATGTGATATGTAAGTATGAAAATATCTATATAATTATATAAGTTTATAATTATATAAGAATTATTCGCAGAATGTTAGACAGGACCATAAGACTTCGATGACATTTTAGTAAGTCATAAGAAAGTAAAATTCTTTGTAAATGTAGAAATTTACATTGAGAAATATTATACTATCGAAATTTACAATAAGATATTTAGAGAAAGTTCAAGATCCATACTTGTATTATTACTGACTGATGTTTAACTTTCAGTCTAGCCATAGTAAGTAAAATAGAAAGATTAATTAAAGGTCAACCATGGAAAAAGATAGATTCAATGGAAGATTTAATGGTCTTGATAAAATATTTTGTTAATTGTTATATTGCCGGTTCATACGATGTTAAACTTCTTAGAATTTTGTCCAAGGTATGTTACTACTTTTCCTATCATTCAAAATTGATTTTTTCAAACAGAAAATAAAAGGAATAAAAGATGCTTGATCATGGAATAAGGTATCTGTTGATTTTGCGTGCTGTTTGAATAGCTATTATCCGGTACCTTCCTTTGTATGACCCAATAATCTTATTTGAATTTTGATGTTGAATTCTTATTAAATACAATCTTTCGCTTCATTGACCATCAACGATCAATTAGAAAATGGCAGATTCTCAATATTCATAAGAACCTCTAATGAAAACCTCAGAATTGTTTGTCATTGTAAATAATGGGCACCTCCAGTTTGGCAAGCAGTTTCTATAAAAAAAAAACTATGCACACAAATACACAGTTAATATATTTTATAATTTGTTGTATTTCAGTTATTGAATTTGTTAAGAAAAGAGAAAGAGAATGTAGTTGATGAAGAATTGCTCAATGCTGTAGTTATACTGATTAAACAAACAACAAAATCAAGAGATATTCAAGACATCAGAAAAGGTAAATAACTGAAGAAATATAGCACAGGGATAGTTTGTTTGAATCATGTATTAGTTTAAAGTAATGAATTTCAAATTATAAAAACAAAATTGATGATAAGTAGTCACATCACCTCTGGCATGATGCTCACTAAACTTGGGGTAGGGGGTTGATTGCAACCTACAGATATTGTTACCAATGTCCTTTTTCCAACCTCTATTTCTTACCTGGGGGTCTGAAATCTCAATCTTAACTTCTTTCCTGACAAGATTTTCAACATTACAAAAACTCAACTTCAGCATCTTAAGTGACTTTTTAGCACAAAAAAGTCAAAATACTAAATGATGTAATAATGAACTTGTAATTATAGTGAGTAATATCATAGATATTGATATAAAGATACGAACTCTGCTACAGACTGATGTTATGCCGTATTTTAACATGCTTGTGTCTCTATTAGCCAGTACTGAACAAGATATAGATTATACACATCTTATAACTAAGGTAGGTTGATAGTTAACTCAAAATCATATTAGATTTTTTTATACTTGCAAAAGACGTTCATGATGGAAAATGTGTGAAATTTACGACCTGTTAAACTGTAAACCCTGTTTCTTCTTTTTGACTCCTTGTACAGTTCTCTATGTTTAGACCAAGGGTCTTTGATGGGAACCAGGGCACTAATCAATCAAAACAAAACATAAATCAAACAGTTGACTTTCTTTTGATTTAGCATGTTTATCTTGCTTCGATTATGAATGAAAGTCCTGTTTGAAATAGCAGCTAGTTTACTTGAATCTAAATATTGTGTTACATTTCAGTTATATCTACAAGGTTTTCTACTCACCCCAAACTTTCCTGATTTGATATGTCAAACACTATCTGTACAGAATCATGAAAACAGCAAGGATCTGAAACTAATTCTTCAAAGATTGATAGATGTATTGTTTTTAAAGGTATTATTCTAATTCTTATTTAAATTTTTGTTTTCTTGAATTTTGCCAAAAATATAGTTATTTTGAGTGATGTTAATACATCATTGTTTATAAATACAAAATGCCTCATGATTCTTGTATTTCCTTATCCCTTACATTCTGGAATGTTTTTGTTATAGACAATAATAGAATAGTCCAGCAAGAGCTCCTGGGTAATTCTATTTTTATGCAGCTGGTAGATGACAAGATAATTTCAGCTTCAAGCTAACTGATATATATGTAATCCATTTTTGTTATTCCTTTTACATTGTAGGACATATCTATAGAAACAGCATCTCTGGCAGGAACTTGTGTTGTCATGGTAATTAATACAATAACTAATCCTGAATTAGTTACAAGGATATTGACATCTCTTCTTACAGCACTTGATTCAGGTATAGTTATTGTTTTCTTATGTAATTTTGAATACATACATTGTTTATAACTCAAAACCACTTTTGGCTAACCTTCAGTTTGGGGTCAGTTTTAGCAAATCTTATTAATATTTAATATCAGTGTATTTTCATGATTTTCATTTCATAATATACATCATTGTTTAACATGTTGTACTTTATGATGCATATATGGCCGATTTTACTCCCTAATTGAAGTCTTTTATTAGGAATTGTTTTCATTTTCAGACAGTATTAGTAGAGTGGAAATAGGAGAGACATCTATAGATATGCCAGAAATAAAGCCAAATGGTACAGTTGTGAAGTTAGTCTTTCTGAAAGCAATAGTTACCAGTTCCAGAACTGAAGTGTTATCAAATACTTCACAACTCAGGGGAGATAACCCGGAAGCCTTTATTCTAGAGTTAATTTCCTTTATACATAAATTGTGTGGGTGCAATGAACAACTGTATTTAAGCTTTCAACTCTATTCTCTGTGGTTTAAAAAACTTAATCAATTGTGGTCTGAAATAATAATCCAAGAAAAATCAGATTTCATTTCTACTTTGGTTTGTGACACTATTGATTGCGTCTGGATTAATCTTGAAAATCCAGTAGACGATGTCTCCAAGTATTGTGTTGATATTCTCCAGTCATTATTAGTGCTGAATTTAGACAGTGTAAAGCAGCAAGAACTACAGAATGAACTGCTATCAAGATGTCTGAATATACAGTGGAATGTGAGATCCAGATATAAACCATTACAGATTGTTTTACCTTATTTACAACAACACAAGGTAGACATTTTAGTAATGAATTACAATTACTTTTTTTGAGTCCATATAAATTTCTTGATTTGACAAAACTGAAAAGCAAATTAATTCGTCAGACAACATTTGTTATACCTGTGATATGGTCTATTTGTGAAGCAGTTCAAACCCAATTTTACCAATGTTTGTTAAATAAGCATATTTACAGGGAGTAATCTCTTCCTTATTAACATATTTAAAGCGTAATATAATTATGTTCTTTATATTTTTTGAACATCATAATTGTTTGACACCATATTACTGTTTGGCAATAATATGCTTGCCGTTAATTTATTTTAAGGGGACAAAATTCAGACATGTCAAAAGATATGTTGTAAGGTTAAGTTGTCAAAAGATAATTCCTATTCTGAGTTTATTTATGTTGTAGATTGATGAAATTCTTCCAGGATTACAGACTGATTTATTAAAATGTATGAATATAAATCATTTGATACCACATTCTTCTGATGTTTATAAAACTTGTCTTCAAATTATTGTGTATGTATTCAATTTGTAATTAAATTTCACCCATACATGACAAATTCTGGCCATCGTTTTGCAGATATCTATTGTTAATATTAAAAAAGTTTGCTTGTTGATATCAGTCATTGCTATTGATTGTGCTTTATGTAGTATACTGTGTTTTATGGATTTTCAGAAATTCAACCACTGATAAAGAAAAACAGTTGAATATTTGGATTGAAACATGGAAAGATTTACTGATTAGAGGTGTAACTCATTCTGACAGGTCAGTAAAGATTTTAGAGTAAATTTGATTAAGATACTGGAAAAACAGCTGATATTTGCTGATAGCTACGTACAATCATTGAGCTATCTACTGAGCTCCCAAATTTGAGCTTATAGATTGTGGCATATTTAGAAGTTCATCAGAAAAAAAGCCTGTCTGATATAAAGTCATTTGCAATAAGTAAACCTCATTCCCATTTATTCAATAAAAAGAGTGCATGATTTATGCTAGCCAATTGTTTGCAAGATTTGAACATATTTTTATTGTTTTTCAGTTTAACATGTACTAAGATAAATACATACTGGATACCGATTACTTTAAAACTACTGCCCTCCAGTGGTGAATATTTACAGACATATTTAAATGAATTGTTAACCAAGGGCAATAATCGAGAGGAGATTCTATTAACTTGGTGCATCATAGTTAAAACTATTAGAATTACTAGTGGCATCGATGTTGATTTGTTGGTAAGAAAAAAGATTCTTAAGACAAGAGTTCTCTTCCATGTGAGAGATATAGTTAGATCTAAATAGAGAAGTTTGGTGAACATTCTGCAGTGTTTTTTTAAGATCTGAAACTGAATCTGTTGAAACATCACAATGCTAAAGTAATTGTAATGATATTTAATGTCTAATTTTCTTTAGTTGACATCTTTTTTTAAGTATTTACAAAACCAATGATTCATCTTGTTATTTAAAAAAGCTGTGTTTATATCTCTATAACAATAACATGATGCATATTCATTCCTTAATTGAATAATAGTCTTGGTATATAGTTGAAATTAATCCTGACTAAAATTGTAATAAAATGTATCTATAATATAAGTTCTCTATGTTTTCAGGATAAAGAATTGTTAAAGGAGGTATTAGTTAGTGAAAATGAAGATATCAGAATAGAAGGGTTAGCTTTAATCACAAATTCAAATAAAAAATCAGGTATAATTTGGTATTGTAAATAAGCTTAATAATTTGACAAATATCACGTTATATTGCCTTAAAAATAAAGTCTCCGACTCAGTAATTTACTTGTCCATTTGAACAAATCTAGAAGGTTATAAGCAATTTGAATCACATTTAAATAACTATAAAAAAGTACCTCTTTACTTTTATTTTGAAATAGTGTTAACTTTTAACTGTGATGGTCACTGCAAGACAACATCATTCTATTACAGAGGCTCTGTCAGAAATTGAAATCAGATTATTCAAAGACTTTTTACCATTAAATCTAAGAGTTGACTCAGCACCATTTCGACAGTTACTAACAACTAATATACAGAGACTCTTAGTACGTATCAGAGATAGCTGTGTTAGTTTAGTTAAGAAAAATAAAGAGTCCCAACAACTAGGTAGGCTTGTGTATATTCATAGTAAACCTCATCATGTCTTTTGTGATTGGGTTCATCAACTCTATATCCCTGTCAGAAAGTATAGTACTTCTTCATTGCTTTAGTCAATTTCAAAGTTCATAACATTTAAATTAGTTATGTGTAGTTTCTTAAAGTATTAACTGTTTTTTAAAATCAAATTTCAATCGGTTTGGCTAAACATGTTATACTGACTATTTGTCTGTTGGTATTTGGCATGAATTCTAGTTTATATTAATTTAGATTTGTACAACCTTAGCAAATGCATTGTTATTTAGCTCATTACTTATTACAATTGTATTTTCTAGTCGAAAGCATCCAGTTTGTAGATTGGCTACATAACTTATTTATGCATAATTTAGTACCAGGTGTCAGTTATCAACGAAGAAAATCTTGTCTCGATAACCTTGACTCAATGTATCAGGTGTTCTCGTCTACTGACAAACAGAAGAAGGGATCTTCAGGTGGGTCACAATGTTTCAAAATTACTGATTTGACTTAATGAATCACTGAAGCTATCATGGAAATTAAGGAAAAATCTTATCAGAAGAACTGAATGTTTTGTTTTTTTATTGCAGATTCTAATGATGTTTTGATGGATTATGCCAGGAATAAAGGATTGTTGGATTTCTATAACCATGACAACGCTAACAGTTTAATGCACTGTATACTAGATGGAGCAGATGAGGTAAACACATCAGTTTTTTTAACTTTGATGATAAATCTTTGATGGAAAACTCTAATTTTTTACTTTATTTAAAGCGAAATTTGTAGATTTTATTTACGTCTTTAATCTTATTTTGCTCGTCAGGAATGTTTTACAACATGTGACAGCAAATTCATACCTCAAATTTCCAAATAAGATCTGTTTTATAACATAAATGTGAAATAAACAGGAAACATGTTGATTTCTGGTTTAGTTCCGTTACCAGTCATACATTTATTAGCAATGCCTGGAGATTATCTACTTTGTTGTAGTTGAAGACCTTTAGCTTATAGAATCAAGAAATAAAGATTGTTGACTATATGTTTTATCTTTGTCTTATAGATTCGTGAATTATCCTATATAGTACTAAATACAAGGTTTATATGGGATACAAAAGATGATAGGCGATTGGATGATATTAAGAAGTTATCTTGTCATCTATTGGTTAAATCTATAACACTATGTAATAAACCTAAAGCAAGTGATAGTCATGGTGGAGCTTTGTTAACTAGATTGGTATACAATAAGTAAGTGCAAACTGGGAGTAAATCTATCTGATTGAAATGAGATGACAAGTTCGTTTCTTATTATTTCTGTATTTGTTTATCTTCATGGAAACAACCACAGTCCAGTTTTAATGACATTATTTTTAACCAAACAAAACGTCTCATGTAGTTATATTTCTTGATGAAAATGATGGCTAGTGAAAACCCAGAGTAATTCACAAATATAACGTGCCAGCACTAGTTCTAGCTTGGATTTATTTCAATATTTTAGGTTTGCATGTATTGGTTTAGAATTCAATATCATGACAGTAGCTAATAAACTGAAGGTAAACTGCATGAAAGGGTCACCAGACAGCAGCAAAATAAAGTTTTTAGAATTATTATTGGTGGAATTAGAGATATCTATAAAAACAGCTGAAACGAATCCAGTTTTAGCATCTCAATCAGCTCCCATACATGGTTAGTGGATTAAATTTAATCTAAATAGATTGTTAAGACCTTTTTGATTCTTGTTGGTGTTGTAGCGTTTAAAAACATTTAAATAAAACTTCATATTACAATGCTCATCTTTAATAAGATTTAATAGGTCAGAGAAATCAAATCTTATATTATTTGAAATAGGGCATCATCCATAACAATTTCATATCTGAATGAAATTGGTTTCCACTTTCAGGAATTCTTCAAGCCATTACATTCTGTGTAAACGATATAAGCTCACTCGATCAGAAAGCTGATAATTCATTGGTTGATATAATTAAACAAGTGGTGACCTCTAGTGTTAAGATAGTTAATCTTATGTTATTGGTGATGTCAGGTGGAAAAAAATCAGGTGAGCATAAGTATTTCTGTACCTTTTTTTATAAGCAGTCTGTTAGATATCCATGGAACCCTATAATAACTGTAATGATGTTGGATTGTTGTCAGCTAGGCATTCGAAGAGACTTACTATATTTTAACATGCTTATATCATGTTTTTAGAAACTTGTCTATCATTTGCTGAACTGGGTTCTGCTATAGAAACCATGGTAACAGATGGACAGTGTGAGAATGTTGCTTTGTCTCCAGAATTCCAATGTCTCCTATCGTGGTGTTGGGTCAATTTAAAGGTATGATTTAATGGATTTTAAAGATCTGATATTATTAAATTACTTAATAACATACTTTCACACAAGTTTTGTTTTAGATAAACATTCTTAATAAGAAATTTTCATAGACAAGTGGTCGTTTCCTGTATATATCTAATTCCTTGAAAGCTTATCTCTTGATGCCGACATTTTTTTGGATTGACAATCCTCAAGACAGCTAGTATTGGTAACAGGGGTGACTTTAGACATGAGCATGGTATAATTTATCTCTAAACTATAGGTCTTTTAATTGTCGAATATTGTATTGAAGCTTGTAATAATCACTTTTCACTCTAGGTTTGTTGTACAAGTTTAAGTGAATTGATGTCAGCTATATTAGTCTCTAGTTCATCAGATGTTTGTATTATAGCTGAGAAAATAAAACATGTCTTTCTTCAAGTGTTAACTCACTGTCGCCATAGGGTAAGATCTTAGTTTAATTTCTTTAACAAAAAACCATGGTGGTGCTCAATCTGTTGGTTCTGAAAAGGTTCTGGCTTCAATTGAATGGTATGAAAACAGTTTATGTGTGTTTACAGGGAGCTATTGAAGGCTGTAGAAATGGTTTGATGAAGTTTGCCTTGTCTTTGATGAGTTGTAATGATGCTGAATTAAGAGAGATTCCATTTTCACTGATGGATCAGGTATTTATATTGAAGATTATCCAGTGATATAAAACAGTAATTCTTCATATTTAAGAAGCTGAAAAAAGTCAGAAATGAGTAAGAGGAGGTAGTTTGGTGGGTGAAATTAGAAAACAGCTTCCACTTCTGTTTGTTAACACTATCAGAAATGCAGAAGATTCTGAACTTCAGAACAATGTGTTTGACTTGAGAAATTTAGGTTAGACAACTTAATATGTTCACCAGTGTTGAAGAATAAAACATAGGCCTACATGGGCTGTAAATGTGATACCAAAGGCAAATCATTCTTACACATGTACAGACTATACTTTCATTGCGATGTTATTGTTATATGTTGTAATTTGCTATCTATATCAAAGGTCTTCACAAGTCTGGAATGTAAAAATAAAATGGCATCAGTTACCAGAAGATCAGCAGGACTACCAATTATTGTACATGTACTGACTGTAGCTGCTTTTAAACTTAAAATGGTAAATATTATTTTTATAATCAAAATGCTTTGTGTCAGATCATGTTACTTGAATAAAAATTCATTGTTATCGGCTAATGAAATTATTTCCAAATCGTTGATCCTTTTCATAGAATATTCTTCATTTTTATGAAATAACTACCTTTTTTTTTCAGCACAGAATGGTTGATGATGTTTTGAACAAATTCTACGTCTTGGCATCCAAGCCTATACTGGATGATTGGGATGAAAGACAAGATTTACCAGCCGTTCATGGCTTGAATATATTGAAGGCTGTGTTTGGGGATAGTTCTCTTTCATCTAGTCTTAAACCCTACTATAGTAAAATGGTGATTCTTGTTATTAATAGTTTTCAATCTCCATGCTGGGCTGTAAGAAACGCTGCCTCACAAGTATTTAGTAAGTGTTAAATGTTCTTAGCTGGTCTGACGTTGAATTTGGAAATGATCTAAAGATCTAAAGATTAAAATAGTTGTTGAATACATCTTTGATTCTTGCCTTCAAGTTTTTAAATCTTTGTCAAAACCAATTGATATTTCATTCTTAATTTAGAAAGAATGTACACATGTTGTATTGAACCAAATGTAATTCCTTGAAGTTCCATGAAACTGATTCAGTTAAATTGTTTCCATTTCAGGTACATTAATGCTAAGGATGTTTGGACCAAAAGGTGGTAGTGGATCAGTCACATTAAAAGAGTTATCTGCTCATTATCCTGAATTACCAGTCTTTTTATTGAGCAAATTAGATGAGAATATTAGTGGTCTATGTCCGTCTTTGTTCCTGGTTTTGGCAATCTTATCCAGCCTTTCACCATCACCAACAGACAGTCAGCAGTAAGTCATAAAAGTTTGTCAACTATGTTTCCTGTTGTCAGTGCAGGTTGGAGGAGCTGACAATTGTAATAGCATCCAGTAGCTCAAATGAGACGATAAACCGAGACCTTGTGTGCTATAGGCTGTGCATGGTAAGGGTCCCTTGGTAGTTAGAAATATAAAAAGAAGCTGCTTATGGGGCTGTCCTTGCATTGTCTTCATTAGCTGAAACTGGAGCAAGTAAGTAAAGGCACAAAACTTAAACCCATTTCATTAGATCTTTGTGTATCATCATCAGTTTTGGTTGCAAAAAATGTGAAGTTAAAGGATGTAAAATGTCAAAAAATGTGAAAGTCCATATTCTTTATCAATTGTGAAATTGTTTACTTACATGGAAATTAGAAATCAATTTCAGATTATCAGAATTTCGTAATAGAGTGCTGAAAATTACATCAAACAGTATTTATTCCATTCGAGAATTATCTGCATTGTCTATGGTGGCATTAATACCATTAGATAAAACCTCTGGTTGGTTGATAGATTTGATTGACAGATTACCAACAACCAGTGATGAATATTTCTCAACAAACCTGTTTCATGGCTATCTTCTATGTACAGAGAAACTACTGCTCAACAGAGATTTAAGGTGAGGCCTTTATCTATGTTGATTTGTTCCTTAAAAAAATATATATATGTTTGTGAACTAGACTTTACTGACAAGAAATTGCAATAACTTGACAGACAACTCTACTGTTCTCCATCTAATTTTATAATGTTCATAGAGTGCTGAACTATTGTATCACAATTATTTGAAATATGTATTTATCAAGATGTATTGAGTCTCACTGAAAGCACTGGCCCAGTCTCACAGAAAGCACTGGATTTATTGTCACCTGTGTTTGTAGTTCAATAAGTGTTTTCTTGATCTTGATGTGTCTAAGGCATCATCTTGCAAAACTAACGATACTAACGTTGTCTTTTGATTCTTTGATTTTATTTCAGTCCTGAGTCATCAAGTGCTATATTAAAGAAAATTTTACAATGTTCCTGGATCATCTCAAATCCACCATTATGTCGTCTGCTGTCACAAAAATACTGTCATATTGTGAGCCATCTTGTTACTGAATATGATTTGTGTATCCCAGAAATGGATCAGCTAAATTCCAGAATTGAAACTGCCATATTTACAAAGCCATCTTCACTTACGGTAATACCAAGCTTTCTCTTCTGAGAAATATTCAAAGGCATGATATACAGAGATTTGTGCCTAACATTTTAGGGTGCAGGCCTGAAAAAATAAGAAATTACTGATTGAGAGATTTAAAAATATTTTCTCTTAATCTTCTTTAAAACTTGAACTTTTAATGTAAACTTTGAATGCAATTGTTTAGCAAGCAGCAAATGATGTGATCAAAGTCAGAGGATCCTTCTTATAGCACTTTATTTGTTTTCTTAGGTAGGAGATGGTGTATTTAAGAGTGCTCTAGTTAACCTATCTATCAGTATATCTGGTGATGTTACTGGATTATATTGTCAATGTTTATTACATGGTGATGTTGACGTCCAGTCGGCCTGTTTGAATAGAATACAGACCACTATTAAATCACATGATAAACTTATAAATTGGAATTATATACAGGTATAACAGATTCAATTCACAACTTCCAAGTATTGATATTTATCTTGATTATAAACTGAAACAAGTCAAAATAGGCCTTCATCTCAGGCTCATTTGATATTTTGATATCATGTGATTTTTTTTTACATGGATTTTTTGTGTCATAATATTTAAAGAGTTAAAATGCTAGAAGAGTTTAAGGAGGATTTTAAAATGTGTTTCCTTTTTCTCTTATCAATCAACCTTTTTCCTTTTTTGCCTTTGATTTTAATTGTTATGTTGTAAAAGAAGTCAGAATGGATATAATCCTCTATTTATTTACAGGAAAGTTTATGGAAGATTTTACAAAATAAATCATCTTTATCCAATCTGAAACTCATCACCTCTATATTAGTTGATATTACATTGCAAGGATTAACACCAAGGGATAAAAACCTACAGAGTATAGATTTTAATATGATTGAAACACAGTTTGAATCTAAACCAGGGTTAAAATATTGCCTGATACCTCTAGAAGCTATTCTGATAACAGACCAATATGATTGGTATGTTTATAGAATACAATTTATATTCATATTCAAAGGGATTGTGAGGAGGTTTTCTAGTACATGTACTTGTATTAATTCCCAGTCCTAGTAAAATTATACCTTCCATTTGCATAATTCAGATGTCCGTGCTTCCTGTAATTATAGAAATGCTCAATGGTATATGATGTCACTATAGCAAAATCCGCTAATGATATTTAGGGGTCTTTTCAATACCTACGTCATCAATGGATTAGTTTAAGTGAAATTGAACAAAATGTCTGACTGAAAAATAAAATGGTGCAAATTGATGCTATCAGTGACCATGAAACTGTATCCTACACTATTATTAATCTTGAAAATTGAAATGAAGTAGAAGTATTTTATTTTCAATTTTCTTGCATGGAACCTAAATATTGCATACATAACTAGTTTGTTTTGTCTGAGAATTTTGACCCCACTAGTTTTCATTTTATTTTAGGAGTAAAATAGAAAAATGGTGTGAGAGGGTTAAATCTGCTAGTAATGGTGATAATAATGAAGATATTAGAATCTCTGCAGTTCAAGGGTTAATCCTAGCTGGTGATAGAATATTTGATATGGTCACTAAAAAACACCAGAATGAATCATCAGCTTCTCCTATAAGGTAAGTTTATGTCTAAAATTGTTACTATTCCACAAACAGGAGGTCAGTGATGCAGGTCACTGACATGGAAAAAATGTCTGATTGTTTTGATTTGACAATAAACCAAGATCCAATTTGCTACCCTACCAGCTGTGCACATTAAAGATTCTTCAATCAAAAATGAGAAGACTTATGATGCTGTCCTGGCAAATTTCCCTTGTTGCATTGTGTTGTCGGTCTATTTTATCTTTAATATTTTGAATTTTTCTGTTATTTGACTTTCAATATGTTATTTAGTTTGATAGAAGCCACTCTACAACTTATTGATGAAGAAGATACAGATATAAGAAAAATGGCAGCTACTTTCATTTCACAACTTCTGTATTCTAAAACAAACGTAAGTTTCCTTTTGCTTTTAAATGGTGTTTTTTTATATCAAAAGATCATATCAGAGTGTGTCAATGATGAGAACTTTGTTGAATGTTTTGGGAATATAAGAAGAAGACAGGAAAAGTCTTAACCTAGAATGTTTACTGATGCCCAAGACCAGTAGAACTAGGAAACACAGTAAAGTAATATGATTATAGGGGCCAATATGAAAAAGTTATATCATGCGACCTGTTTTCCAGCTTTCTGATTTTTTTTTCAGGGTCATGCTACTAATAGTAATGTCTGTATTAAAGTGAGTTAAAATTTGATTTATGCAGACTTATTCTATTTTCTAATCAGAAAGGTCATGATTGTGCCAAATCAATGTCAAATTCTCTAAAATAGGCCTACTTTCATATTATATAACTTCCTAAAGGATGGTTAGTCATTTAGTAAATTCTGTTTACTTTAAGATCTCTATTGATGTCGGAATTTAATTCTTTTACAGATTTTCATAGAGCATATTGCTGAGACGTTTGGAAATCGGAGAGAAATTGTTCATTATTTACTGGAAAAACTTTTTCAAACTGGTTCAGTGTTACGTCTTATAAACCAATCACTTGATAATCAAAGCTTTCAGGCTCTCTTTGATCATGATGATGATTCATTTTTTTCTGAGAAGATTTTGCGTCTGGTTGATTTACACTACTGTATATTGTCCTGTATATCAAATATACAATGGTCAGAGTTTTATGATAATTTAGTTCAAGATCTCCAGCAAGATTTATCTCTGAGTGTAAAGTTGATACAACAAAATATTAAAGGTAGGGATATTTATCTTAGTCTTTATGATTGCGCCCCTACAAAATGCATGCAGAATATACACTTATCAGACAAAATTTACTGTAGCAGTGGGTGAGATGGTGTCTTCAGATATATGTACAAATATAGGTTGGTCAAAGACCAAAGATCCTCATGAACTTCAGTTTTAATCCTTGTAAAAAATGGTTGTTTTTTTCTTTCTTTTAACAAATAAATTACTTTTCAGATTTGTAATTTACATGACATACATTTCAGAGAATGGAGTAATGAATATGACCAGTACAACGTTTATTATGATATCATTAACCGGGCTGATATTATGTAGTGATATTGTCAGGAGGATAGCCAGTGAGACAAAGAATTTAGATATTGTATCATCTCTTCAATCTTCTGTACAAAGTTTCTATAAGGTAAAATATAATTCTAAACAAATTTTCAATGAAACGGTCTTGTCGTTCTGATCTAGTTAGTCAGCAGAGTACATCGATCATTTAACTTTTTCATAATATTAGGTCTTTGCTCTATATTTGATCTAATCAAACACTGAGTTTTGTTATTCTATTCATTATAATTTATGCATGAATAATTAAGATTTAAATATGTATTTATTTGGATATTTCAGTTGGAAGATGTTCATCCTTGGTACCAACAGTTACAAAATATTACTGAAAATATTCAAGACTCCAGCCAGCAATTATTGAACTGAAACTGAACCAAATAATTATAATCCTGAGAAGTAGAAGTTATTGGAGGTTTTATTAACATTTTAAGTTGATTGTTAAACACTGTGATAAAATTTTATAATACTGTGATACAACATTAAAGAACCAATAAATGAAGTCTTCAAACAATGGCTCTTCATCTTGCAGTCCATTATAATAGTATTCGCCACATAATTATCTCTGTTAATTTGATATGCTTATCCACAACTGTACCTTATTATTCAAGGTTGATTTTTCTTCCATTTAGGCTCTACCCTTTTTGATCACTGATAAATATCAAATCATAGCTTTCAAATTATTTGAATTCAAGATTTTCAAAGTCTGACAGAATCCTTCTCGATGAATAATTTTCATTTCCAATGAAAGAACATTGGAATTTAGAATCAAATGGCAAAAAAAAGAAGGATTTACAATAGTAGAAATGTTTTATTGATTACAAAAGGGCATCAACATAATATGACTGCATAACAAACAGCTAATTAATATGCACATAAATTAACATACCATAATTGACTAGATAATCACAATCTTAAAGCTAAACACATCACATATTAAAATATTTCATTGCACACATTAAAAACCTATTACCAGTTTATTTGGAATTATCTTTCTGCTATTTGAAAATATTCAATCCGGAATACAAAAAACTACAGAAAAAGTTTTATGCAAATCAGTTACTTTCATCACAATTAGAAAACAAAATGCATCTTAAAGAAAGTTGGAACTTGCTGAAACTGAAACTGGAATTAACAGTTTTGAATCAGCAAAGTAAAACAACAAACTTCATCAAAAAAATATGATATGACAAATGACTAGAAAATTGTATTGCATGAAGTACCAAAAATTAAATAAAAGCCAAACAAAAAATGGAAATTAACAAAAACAATCGCTTATGTAACAAAATATGAAAAAAAAAAAAGAATAATCATAGGCTTATATTACTTGATTATTCATGATATTATTTTATATTTGATTTTCTTGCCCTGTTGATTTTGTTTCAAACACAACATGTAATCTGATTATATATTGCCCTATTAATATTATTGAAGCATGTCACATAATGGACTGCATAGGTATTGACAAACAATATGTTTCTAGCTCAACAATTGATGTATTGAGTATTATTTTTTCAGTGAAAATATTTGGTTAAATTGAGTGAAAACACCTGATAACAAACGAAACAATTAACTAGATATAATTAATTCAATTAAAATAAATCAAGGTTGCAAATCTTGTCGAAAATAACTGCCTCATGGATGTTTCCCAGAATATATTGTAAAGCTGCATTAAATCAAAGTCAAAATTCAAAACCTATATCTAAATCATAATCATAGTCATAAATATCTTCATCATATTCAAAATCATTTTCTGAGTCTTGTTCTTCACATTGAGACCCTCCACTATCACTTGTATCACCGTCAGAATATTGCATAGCAACGTGTAGAGCGCTAGCATACGCTTCATCATAATGATCACATTGATCAAGGACAGCGAGTGTGGATTTTGGCAAATTACCGAATGTAACCACGGAAATATTATCAATAGGAGGAGGTATATGAGACAAGGCATAAGGATAACGTTCAGATATTTCACTCATTTTAGTTGTATAAGGAAGTTCGTTATTTAATACAAAAATACTGTCAACTGTAGGGACTAGAAGTTGATAACCGTACGCCTGCGTACCAGACGATTCACAGTCTTCAATCGTGGCAGTTTTACGTAAAGATGTCACCCAACGACTACGAACTTCATCAAGTACAAGGGCTGGGTGACCTGGATGATGTATAAATACTGTGTCGTCACGGATACACATAACATAAGGTTTCACAAAATCATCATAGTTTATATCAGGAGCATTGATCTCCCATGCATTAAATATTTTTGTCTTGGTGTCAAATATTGCAAAACCAACACCCTTTTTAATACAAAATTCTTCTGAGGGTCCTGTTCGATGTCTGTACCAGATATACACATGACGATTGTCCTTAACGGCAGCTCGTGCTAAACTTATAAATCTTGATCCAGGAATTTGAAAGCATGTATATTGATGACTTGTCAGATTACACAGAAACAAATGACCTGTGCCTTCTTTATTGCCAATAACATATAGATGATTGTTACAATGAACCATGACGGGAGGTGCTGTGCGGTAATTTGTTAATGTTGTCCTATAACATGGGTTATAGAAGTCTACTGTGCGGAAAGAGAATAATGTAGGCTGCCCTGTTATTAGATCAACAACTAAGATATTGATCTTCATCATGTCTGTAGGATATGGAAAACTGGAACATAGATATAAGTATAACTTGTTATTTTGGCACACCATATTACATACTGTTTGGCGCATTGGAATCGAATGAAGGATTTTCTCCCCAGGTAGAGAGTAATGATACCAATTATGATCCACAAGGTTATAAACGAGAATTTTCACAAATTTTAAACCCTGATTACAAACTGCTGTAAAAAGAACTGGACTACACACTTCTGATGGACTTAGTTTATCCACCATGGACTGACACATACCACTTTCTGTTAAACATTGTCTTCTCCTCTCCTTGTAGTTAACATTTCCCAATTGGTGATCTTCAAGTGATCGGCGCATCATTTCTCCCCGGGAATGTTCGCGACTCATATGAGGAACATCATTTGGATAATCTGATACCCAAGTTCGTATCAATGAAATTAAATCACTTTGGTACCCTTGCCTTGAATTTCGATCGGCATCAACCCAAGCTTGGATTAGGCGTTTCAGTTCATTGTAACTTACATGCTGAACTATCCTTGCATCGTCTAAAAGTTTAAATAAAGAATTGACAGGAATTTCTAAAATTTCATCATGATGAAGAAAATAATCATGGAAGCGAGATTCAATGATTTTCTGAGCACAAGCTCCAACTTCTGGTAAATTGAAATCTTCGGCTAAAAATCGAACACGCAAACAATTTGACAGATCTAAATTTCCAAGCTCAAGATAAAACTGTTTGCAATAATCCTTGACATCATCAAGCAATAGAAAATCAGAGATTCGGACGATATCTTCGATATTTCCAGTTGAAATATTGATAGAGCCTGTATACATGTAATCCAGCACTGATGAAAACACAGAATCACTGTCGAGTAACATGGATTCACTGAGGTCCACATCTCCGGCAACTTTCTCTCTCATGTCACACGTGAACATTGACAGAAAGTACGGACTCCATAGAGCTAAGATGGCTTTGTGTGCTTGATATGTTTGTCCATTTAGTTTAATAGAAACATCACAAAGTTCTCCAGTCTCTCTCTGCCTTAAAAGAGGTCTTATAATATAGTCATTGATGTTTCTTGAAAACGTTTTTTTGGAAGATTTCATATAATGCGTCATTTTGAGCAGTTATGACCTGCCATTCAACGTGATTCTTTAAAACCCTGAACTCTTACTGAATAAATTATGAAATTATGAACATTCACGATAAGCTGTAATTTTATTGGAGCTGGAATTCGATCAATGAGAAAATATCGATCGTTTTGACAGGCCATTGTTTTTATTGCAAGAGTTATCTTTTCTAAGCGACCTTGACCTGTAATTAAATAAACTCTGGTTTACCAGTCTTATTTTTACTGTTGACATTTTCAATAAAAATAAAGACTGGTTAATATGATTTCAATGCTTGATTATCACTGAAGGCAAATAGATAATAGATGGAAAAGTCTGGTATGATCAAGTCAACAACATATAAAACAGATGGCGTCCAGTGTTGGAATCTAAAAATAGCGACAGTGAAAAGAGAAATAAAAGGATTGAAAACTTGTTGATGGCTTTCTATTTTGTGTGAATTTGGTGGAGGATTTGTGTTGAAATGGTTTCGACTGGTTGATTTCATTTATCTAATCCTGTTACAAAATGGCAGGTGAAATCATCCATCTGAATGTTGGAGGAACAAGGTAGCCTATATTTTTTTCTTTCAGCTTCGGAGTCTGACTATATTATAGCTATATGAAGTGAAGGCACAACTGAACGAGAAGCCCATGCTCAGGCTGGGTGCACAGGAGGAAATGGTCCTTTACACAGCCATGTAGGTCTACAGTTTCCTCTTTTTGACTGTGGTACCATTATTTTGTACAATTATAATGTGTATGGCGTCCCGTCATGATATAACACAATAATATAGCAAAGTTGAAAAATTTCTGAAGTCAAGGTACCGGTAAAATTTTTTATTATTTATGTTTTTGACCCAATCATTTATTGTTCCTCCGCTTGTTTTTACAGGTTCTCTACCTCCAGACAGACTCTAACATGGATACCAGATTCATTCTTTACCAGGTTAGTTTCATTTCTAGTCAAGCCATCGACTCTGTATAACAAGCCTACTACATGTCAATTCGTCAGTTAACTTGTCTACAAACTGATATCTACCATCTACATACTGGGACTAGCTTCATTTGGTTCATCTTGGCCTCCACTAAAGCATGATGAGCTAAAAGCTATTTAATACTATTTATTCAACACTGTACCGGTATCTATTATTTTTATTTTTTCAGCATGTTAAGTGGAAGAATATCATCACTGCAAGATGAAACTGGGGCTGTAAGTTAGAAAAATTGATAGCATATTATTTATTAATTATCATATGTCTGGTTGAATTGACTCAAATAGACAACCCACATAAGGGTTCATGTTTACGGGTGTGGATTCCAAATTGGTGATAAAGGATTAAGTTGGTTTTTTTTAATATTTTATTAAGAATATTGAACTAAATACCATGAATTCAATAATATGACATATGTTCGAAAAACTAAATATGTTGCAATTATTATTAATTGGATGTAGATCTGAAAGGATTGGGTGCTCGTTAAACAATATAATTGATATTGTAGTAATTGCTAATCAAATAGTTTAATTAAGCCATCTGCCAATTTAACATTATGTATGACAATCTTTTCTGTTTCTTGTAGATATTTATTGATCGGGATCCTAAAATTTTTGCTGTAGTTTTGAATTTTCTGAGAACCAAAGAAATTGATTTAAAGTAAGTAATGATTTTTCTATTCAGTCTAATTAAAACATTACACCTTGCTCTCATGAAGGGTAGTGGCCAAGGTGGGCCACAGTTGGCCAGTTTGTCAAGCTTGAATGGTAATATGAAACTAATTTGTAAAGAAAATGTCTTTCACATGTACATTATTATTTAAATATGCTACAAAAAATGTGTTTTGTTTCTTTTGCAGAAATGTTGAAGTTTCATCTTTAAGGCATGAAGCTGAGTTCTATGGTATAAGCCCACTGGGTATGTATTTGCTAATATATTTTTTTTGGCATTTCAGCTGTAAAATATTTTCGAATGATTTCTATTCCACTCCTTAGGCTTAGAAATTAAATTCTTTTATTTTGTTTTTCCTCCAAGCAATTTTCTAATTTCTATTTTCAGTACGGAGACTTGTGTTATGTGAGGATTTAGATGATGCTTCGTGTGGTGATGTTTTATTCCATGGTTACCTGCAACCACCAAGTAAGTCTGTTCTTCATCATTTCACACCTTATACAACTTCAGTAATGTACTTTTGATGTCAAACTTTTAACTAGAAATGCAATTGAGTTTTGTTTTTGACTAATTCAAAATGAAGTAAAGTACATTTTCTTTTTTCTTGATTATGTCAGCTTGCAGACTTATGAATTGCCATTTGGATAACTTCCTTTGTATTTTTCTTCCTATGAACATATTCTCTTTTCTCCTTCACAGATCCACCAATCCCAGAAGGCCTAGACAGACAACGTTCAATTTCTTCTGCTAGTTTAGATATGATTGATGCTGTGAATAGAATAGGGGCAGTGGGTGGAAATATCAGAGCTAATGATACATCATCAAATAGACCATCTCACTCTAGGTAACAGGCTTTATATTTCTGAAATGTTTGATTTCTTGAAATCACATTGTCTTTGATATCACATATTACTGGTAGTTAATTTAGCTCTAAATATTAAGAGAAAGGTGCTTTTGAGCCTAATTTCAAAATTAAGGATTTAAGGAAAAATCAAGCCAAACTATTGAAGGTTTTGTGAAGTATATTTAGACTGAATTAAATTATACTATACATAAGATAACTCTTCTGATATCAACATTGGGAAACCATCTAGAGTAAACTATTAAAATTATCTCAAAGTTTCCCTTATCATTTCAGAAATAGTTCAGTGGATACCAGAGCTAGTCATTCTCATCAGGGTTCTGTTGATCTTCGTTCTAGAGGGAGCCACTCTGGTAATTCATCTGCGATTTACGACATTCTCGCAACTCTTCTTTAGATTTCAGTCGTGTTAAAGGTTTAGATTGCCCTTCTACTTCCCCAGGTGGGATTTCTTTTTTTATCATTTATTTGTAAAAAGACGTAATCTATTGATCAAAATATTGTTTTATCAGCTTTCATTGAGAAGAATTAAAATAGACTATTTTAAAGAGTCAATTTCTTTTGATAGGCTAAGAACCATTCTAAAAAAGCTTGTCCTCTTTATTACAGGGGGATTTGTTGAACCGTTAAGAGTCACTATGGTTAGGGGACACCATAACTGGATCTGTATGGCTTATCCTCATTTTGTTTGTTGTTATAGGTATGTACATTATAAAATTCTACTCTCATTTTCCTCATTCTTAATAATTCATTATTATTATGGGTATGAGTAATCTGGGAAAGATCAATGCTAAGGTTTGACCACGGACAACCTGATAGACAGGATCTTCATGAGCTTAAGTTGAGCCCCACTTGTCTAATATTTTATCTGGTTTACATGTATTTTTTTAAAAGTATCTATTTTTGTTAATTGTCACAGCATATGATTAAAGTATTGTCTTATTACAGAATGAAAGACTCAACAGGATGGCATCTAATTTGGTTATCACCATATATGGAAACACAAATTGAACGTATTGCTATTAATGCTAAGGTTTTGAATCCTAATCAAGATCATTCTAATAAAATGGTTGCTGCATCATTTAGCAATATGATCAGACTCTGGAATATTACTGATGATGGTGAATACAGAGAAATAGGTAGGAATTTATCATAAAAATTAAAAAATTTTGAACAGATTAATGCATTAACTGTAATAATACTGACATTAAAGTTACAGGTTTTCCATTGATAATATAGGGCATTACAGAATTTTTTTCACCAGATTTACAGGAGGGTTAGAAAGAGTGTGAATTATATACGCAATTATATTGTTACCTTATTTCTTCATTCATTCCTAACTTCACTGACTACACTTTAAATGTTGTTGACTGTATTTTGATGGTAGTTACTAGATTTTGCGGAAATTTTATGTGTTCCGAACCTAATTTTTTTCAGGAATATTTAATCTAAATGTGTCAGTAGATTCGTTATTTTTTATTGGAAGTCAACTAGTTGCTTTAAGTCAAACAGGAAAAGTTGGTGTATGGCATTCTATGACTCAACATTGGCAGGTAATGTTCTATTAGATATATTTCACTTTGTATACTGTATTAGCTTCTAAATGAAGATTTCCTTACTATATGTGTGGAATTCTGGAATATTCAAAGTGAATTATATGTATTTTATACTGTTTAGACAAAACTCTGTAAAAACAAGATTTAAGAAGAACCTTATAAGCACATGGATCAAAAAGGTACCAACATGTAGAAAAATACGCAACATTTATATCAGCATTTTGATCATATTGCAAACAAAGAACGCTTTTTTTACAATCCATTCTATTTATAGATACAAGATGTTGTACCCATTACCAGTTATGATACAGCTGGTTCATTTTTACTTCTTGGTTGTAATAATGGTTCCATATATTATATAGGTTAGTTATTTTCACAATAATTATATATTAGTCCATCTTTTAACAAAGCAAAATATTTTGAAAAGTTTTGTTGTACTGAACAGGTCAAGTCATATTAATAGTTATATGAAGGAAAGATTGATATTTTGTTGTACTTGTAGCTAGGAGAAAACTAAGACAAAAAAGGAAATAGATAGCAGATAGCGTTGGTTTTTTTACACATCAAGCACTGTTGATGTTGCAGAGTTCAGAAATTGCGAAAAATATTGTACACAAGTTGTCCAAATAAATATAATAACCTTTCCAATTTCAAGATATATATTATTCCGATGTGATCAGAAAAACATGGAAATTATAAGGTTATATTGTGTGTTTGATTATTTTGTAGATATGCAGAAATTTCCATTACGAATGAAAGATAATGATTTATTAGTGACAGAACTTTATAAAGATCCTTCTAATGATATGGTAACAGCTCTGAGTGTGTATTTAACACCTAAAACAAGTAAGCCGTCATTGCCTTTCATAATAGAGCGGTGCACCTGGGCACCTGTTTATGTGTTTATATTTACAAAACAAACCATAATAATGGTTATATGGAAGCATTCGCATTGGCTGGTTGAAAATCATGAAAATCTTGAATTTTATTATTGTTAATTATTAACAATACAAGGTTAACCTGCAACAAACTACATTACCATATTTTGTTGTTCTAAAATCTTCTGCTAATTGTTGACTAATTCATTACCAGCATATTAACAAATGTCCAAGCTGCAGTCTTGACAACTTGAGGAAGACTAATTGGTATTTTAAATCATCTGCAAAATTTCAAGTTAGATTATATCTCTTGACAGGTTTAAGTGGTAACTGGATAGAAATAGCTTATGGTACAAGTTCTGGTACAGTAAGAGTAATTGTACAACATCCTGAAACTGTGGGACATGGACCACAACTATTTCAGACTTTCACTGTACATCGTAGTCCTGTTACCAAAGTGATGTTATCAGAGAAGCATCTTGTATCAGGTGAGAATGGTTTAGTTTTAAAAGCAAATCATGAGATAGTCTTTCTGTATTGATGAGTTGACTTTATTGAAGAAAGTTGAACTATCGAACTCATTTTTAGATTTTTGCTCTGTGGGGGGAAAAAGCATTATAACATTGCTTATGTTACATTGCAAGATAAAAGCCAAAGGTTACTTTGAAAACCCAGATGTCTGACAACTCATAATACTATCAAGAAAGTTTAGGCCAAGCTCACATACCCTGTTGTTGGCTAATAACCCAACACTTAATGAATTTTGCTCATTCGTCTGATTTTTTTGGAAATGTGTATGTTTTTTGTTAATTTCAGTATGTTCTGAATATAATCATGTACGTACTTGGAGTGTGACAAGATTCCGAGGAATGATATCAACACAACCTGGATCTACTCCTCTAGCATCATTTAAAGTTATCTCCCTGGAAGATCAAGATCCACAAGCTAGTTATTCTGCTGGCAATGACTTTGGTAAGCATGGTTACTGTTGTATATCTGACCTTGCAAAATAATATATATGCTTAATTTTTTATTGATGATATTTTTAATACAGCAAATGCTTTGGGACTCCATATTGTCACATGCTCAATATAAATGTTTTAACTCGGTGATGCAAAAATAAGACCTATCCAAAACTCATAAGAATTCATATATCAAAATTGTAAATTCATTGGATGAGCATTTGTATACTAATGTAACATAACATTGTCTTTAAAAGTCATTTCACAGGTTCCATGTTATTGTTTATTTTGCTTCTCTAATGAATTGTCCTCAAGATTTATTGATATATTTATGATTTTAGGTCCATTTGGAGAACAAGATGATCAACAAGTCTTTGTGCAGAAAGTTGTTCCAGAAACTGATCAGCTATTTATTAGATTCTCATCTTCAGGACAAAGGTAAACAGTTTCTTTTCCAAAATATATGCTTCTACACCTACATTTACAAATCCTGGTAAAATTCCTTGCTTATTCCGTTATGTAAACCCCCTTATCAATAAATAGATGGGATCATAGTTCACTTTTAAGTATGAGGAAGTGAATTGGAACCAAATAAATTACCTTTTTCTTTGAAGGGGGGGTTGTCTGTATCTTATAAAAATGACTGCAAAGGACAATGATTGATGTGTTGATGACTATTCAGTCAATTCAGAACTATACGTGCACATGCACAACATGAAAGAACGTCTATCTAACATAGCATTTATGGAAAAAGATTTTGTACAAAGGGTTTACTGTAAGCTGATTCACAATCGCCAAACTAGAAAAATACACTGTGATTTGAGAAGACTTCTAAATGTTCTTAATTTGCTTATTCCCCTGTATTTTCTATTTCTATTTAGAGTATGTGTGATCAAGTCTGTAGATTCCAGTACTATCAGTGCATTCTGTGTACACGAGTGTGAAGGGTCAAATAGAATGGGGTCACGACCTCGTCGATATTTATTTACTGGTCATGCCAATGGCAGTATACAGGTTGGTCAGATTTGATTCTTTTTTGAAAATCTTTGCATAGTGAGAAATTCCAAAGGGCTAGAGCAGTTCATATCAAATTTTTGTGGCTGTTTTATTTGAAATTTCTCTTGTTGTGCAATTTGCATTAGTTCAGTGATGTCAGAATTGAAGACTCTATAAACTCCATTTATAGTATATTATTAAATATATTGTTTTTTTCCAGATGTGGGATTTAACTACCGCCATGGATCAACTGAATAAAGAACAAAGTAAGTCAAAATAACAATAATTGTTTTTATGTTTTCTTTTTGAAATAATCTTTATTGTATATTTATTAGTCATGGCTAACTTCTTGAATTATTATGGAATAGTGCAAGTATCTTGTTGGGACTATATTTGTTTGCAGAATTAATAGAGGGAACTATATTTTTCTATTTCAGAATTAACAAAAGGAGGACCATCTCCTGAAGAATTAGTGCATTTACTTGATCAATGTGATTTGAGCTCATCTCGGTCCTCAACACCTTGTATCAGCCCAGCACCTTCTCTTATTGGTGGATTACCATATTCCTCGTTTTATACCAAATTTCGTACTAATCACTATAACCAATATAGTCAGAATGGGAATTCCCCTTCTAATAGTGACTCATCTGAAGATGTGACAGATAGCAGTGTCATACAGGTTACTGGATTTTAGAAACTTTATATTAGGATTCTGTCTCTAGTAGGCTTGGTAGGTCTAATAATATTCATTGGTGCAAGCTTTTTATTAATACCTTGCCTTAGTGTTGTGATAATTAGCGTTTTGCTTTCCATGTTAGTTTTGTAGATGTCGAGGCCCTAGAAATTAATATCAGCTTTCAGCTTTTCTGTTTTCACAGTTTCGCCTTTCAGTTACCAGTGCAATATATTAAAACTCTTCATTGTGATAACACCTTTTCTTGTTTTTAAGAGAATTATTTATTTCATGCTTATATTATTATTAGCATGTTGTTTTCTGGGACTAGCTTGATATTTCTCCAATTCTACATTTTTGATTATTAACTAATAGGTTTTAACAGTCTCACCTCTTTCTTAACAACTCGTTTCATTCATTTATGTCCACATTATAACAACAGACAAATCCTACCCTAACCTAACCCAAATTTTGTTGATCCTCCAAATATTGTAGATTACCAAAAGCAAAACACATGTTTCAAAAGTCCAAAAATATAATCCGCTATAGAAAAACCAATGCAGTCCTAATGTCCAACATGTTTCAATTGCACAAAGGCACACTTCCTAGGGATAGACATGCATGAAATATTTTGAAATATCTTTTAAAGGAGCGCCTTCACTATCCGTTCGACCAATCATACCTTAGTTTCAGAAACATTACATAATCAGTAATAGTGTTCACAACTCATCATCGAAATTTCAGCCTACAAATCCATGTGTATCCATAATTATTCACGTTAGAAAGTTAAAAATTTGATTCAAATTTTAGCGAGACTATGCCATATAAAGAAAACACAAGTATAAGAATAGACAGTTAAATTTCTAGTTTGAGGTATATTTGAAGGGATTATGCGATTTACATGCGTTTTAGTACTTCTTAAGACTATTAAAGCTCCCCTTTAAATACTTTTGAAATTAATTTTTTTCAGAATGCTGGTGAAAATTCAAGCCTGTTAGGAGCTGTTGGTGGCTATCCGACATCCAATCAAATTCCTGGTAACATCAATATAGATTCAATTTCAACCAATCAAAGTGCCAGAAATCTCAACTCTATAGTAGAGGTTATCCAGGACCAAAATCCTAGTGCATCAAACATTCATAGTGCTAGCAACTCCGAAAAAAATATTTCAGCCAATCTGGACACAAGGAACAGTTTTGCATCAAACATTCAGGGCTCCAATGGAGATCAGAAAGGTAGTTACTGGGTTTGATGTAGTGGAAAATAAGACAGAGTAGTCAAATTTGTTCAGTCTTATGCTATGTGATAATAGAAAATGTTTGTTGTTCTTGCATACAAAGATATTCCAAGCAAAATGACAAGGCCATTTCGGATCAAAGAGTAAAGGATTATATTATTTAACCTTGATGTAGATTAATGAATAATCAGATAGTCTTTTTTCAATACTCATATCAAACTATTCTGATAAAGTTTTTTTTTTCCGATATTCTAATTTATTTATGGAGATAAGTACTATACTGTTTTTAATAAGTCGTATGTTTAGAGAAAACATTATTTTGTAATTGTAGATAAATGTTTTCTAATCTACATCCAGTTTTATTATGGTCTTTGAAAGCAATATACACTGTACATGTAATGTTTGTTTTCTTTATTATGATGTAGAAATCGTGTAGATTTCTCTTTTCAATAGGTGAAAGATATTTAATGTTAATTGTTGTTTTAAATCAGAAAATAAAATGTAATTTTTGTAATTGCTCGTTTTATTTGCATTGTCTTGATATGGAATTGTTATAACTCAGGGAGCATTTACTTCCAGGTTCTCTTCAGCAGTAGTAGATTATGAGGCTCAACATTGATGTGTAAGAAAAGTTCAAAAGTAAACACTGGACCTGCAAGAGGTGCAGATTAATTCAAGATGGACATTGCTTGGTCACCAAGATAAAACTACCAAGTGGCCTTATTATCCACTAATTAAACAAAATTTTGAAAATACCTCATTTTATTTACAATTTTTACAATGAGTATAAAATAAATACATCTCCCTATTTACATTTCTGGAAACAATATTATAATTGACATTTATCTATAACCAAAAACATTAGTATAGGGCCTAATGTGAAAGTTAAGCTAGCCCTTTGCAACGTATTCAGATCTATGGAAACTGCCAAGAATTGTCAAATGAAACATTAGAGTAATTTATTGTATATGAGTGATAAACAAAAAATAACAATCAACATTGAGCTGACCCTTAAAACAATTGGGAATCCTATCAAATTTTTCTAACTGTTGAAATGAATAATGATAAAGACATCATATTTTGGTTTCAGAATTAATCAGATTCAAGTTTCCTTGCTCAAAATTTCCATGTAATATTGAACTGCCATTCTTATATTTTCAAACACATGAATTTTAGTGCAAATCCAGGATTGGGGGTCATAATGTAAGTAAATCAGGCGCCAGTGTACAACGATAAAAAGTATATATACAATAAGAATACTGGATACAGCAACAAAGGCTTTTTATGTTGTAATTCTTGAACACAGAGTAATGAACCTGCACTATATGCTGCCCAAACCACACCCAATAACTGAAAGAGAATAAACAACATTCTTGTATGCTAACACAAAAGGAACTCAAACAGCGCCAAATTCCATTACTGCTGAAATGTGCAACATTGACTTACAATGAAATAGAGTTTTAAGTCCTTTTTTTTTTATCCTGAAGAAGACAGCAAATTATGGCGAAGTCTGGGACTGGTTACTAATCCTTTTCATAATCTATGGCCATATGAAAGAATTAAAAATTTACCTTGAAAGCAAAGCTTATTACTGCAACGGATCTAACAAGAGGTAAAAACAAGGCCATTAACAATAAAGGTAGGAGAGAATACCCAATTACACCAATACACTGTCCATAGGATACCTAGGATAAGAAAAAAAAAACAAATGGTTAGCATGAATACATTGCAGTAATAATTATTTATAACAAATTATCTAAGTCGACACAAGAAAACATTACTGAACCATGCTTCATCAAGCATTCATTATGAACAAGGCTGAAGCAAACTACTAAAAAAGTCTGAAAGTACTACATATTCTAAAATGTTATGGACTCACAGTTTCTAAATAGAAAATAAACTGTACATACCTCTCCACCAAGAACTCTAGCTAATAAAAATACAATAAACGATCCACCTAACCAAATAGTCAAAATCCATGACACAACCTGAAGATAAATAATACCAAAACTTAAAAATGAAAATCTTCTCTATCATATGTATATCAATTGAATAATTATTTAAAAAGCTTCTATAGGCTTACAAAAAAAAGGTACTCACCCTAAATTGTCCATATAAAGAAAAGACAGAAAACAGTAAAACAACAACCAAAGGACCCCAAAAATCAGGGCTTTCTCGTAAAATATGTCGATTAAAACCAAGTTGTGGGAGAGGGAACATAACGCATCTTATTTTATAATAAATATCTTTCAGATCAATATCTAATTCTTCACTGAAATATAGAAACAAGTATTTAAGTTTGATAGTAATTAATAAAGTTCATTAAAAGATATATCTATGTCTATATAATCCAAGACAATGACATAATGTAATTAGTCAGTCACTAATAGCAAAATATGCTTTATCACATAAGACCCTTCGCAATTAGTTTTAGTTGAATTTCAGAAACCACAGACATCTGATTGAAAATTGTAATGGTGCAAATTGATGCTATCAGTGTCTCCAACATACATCAAAAGCATCTTAAAGCCCCTGATAGCAATAGGCCTACTTACAGGCCACATTACAGCCAACATGTGGGCCTAATAACAGTATAATTATATATTTTACAGTAACAACAATTATGAAGTATTACTAACAGAAGTGGTTTCAATTCAACATCATCATTTTCCTCTTCTTCTAACAACCAACCAAATCCACGATTTTCAAGTAGTCTGGAGGCTAGCCCACGATGTTTAACACCATATGCTGTTCCACCTGCACTTGTGGTTGTATCTGCATAAATACTTCCTTCAATTTGTTGAACTACAGAAAAATAATGTAATATTATGCATTTATATTATTCATGTATGTCTTCAGAAACCTCCTGACATCACATACTTGAAACATGTTTAGGATAAGCCTTTAAAGCTTGCTTGACTCCCTGCTATTTGCTTAGTTATTAGGATAAAAAAAAAAAGGCAAACGAACAACTTCTAAGAAAGCTATCATAATACAAGAACATGTAAATATTTCTAAAGAGTGGGGGGGGGGGGGGGGTTAATGTAAACACACCTGATTGTGAAGGACCCTGAACAAATTGAAATTCGTCTTGCGTTGGCATATATTTACTCGGGCTTTCTACGTGTTTATAGGATTGTTTCGTCGAACTGAAATCTTCAGAACCACCCAAATCAATGCTAATGTTATCAGAAAGATTTTTTTCTCGTTGAAAGTCGGCCATGTTGACAGGTAGTAATGGAGTTACTATTAAAATTTTGGAATCTTTACCCTTCGAATAATTTTTATCAAATACGCTTTTATTTTAGAGTCTTGACTCTTAAATGATAATTTTTCTTTTTTTGAAAGGTTGCTTTTAATTTTTTCTTGCCATTAGTCCTAAAGTTAAATTTCTATCTAATACGAAAATAAATATCTCTAAATACCGCGGGAAATTTTATACTATGATTTCTTAGTGAACTGCATAGATGCATAAAGAAACGATCAAATGCATAGATGTCCCAAAAGATATTTATACATGTCTATGATCAAATGTAACAAGCTTTAAGAACCATATTTGAGATTAGGCCTAGAGAAGGCTCAGCCTATTTATGAAATTATAAATAAAAATAGGTAGTAAGTTAGCACATAATGCCAAGATCATGACCATAGCCTACGTTACGGCTACAGACCATAATCCATGCATTGCATGCAGATGCAGTCATTGCAGAATTTTGCTGGCCTAGTTGGCTAATACTGACTGTTGAAAAGTTTTCAACAATGAAAACTCAGTCAGTGGCAGTGGGCCCAGTCGTCTCCCACTTCATCTGTGTTCCGTAGTCATTTAGACAAGTAAATTATAAAAGCACTTAGAATTGGTGAAGTCTTAGAGTGCTAAGTGAGTAATAGTAATGCACTTATAAGTTACATAAGTGATATCAGTGTATTGGTTCAAACTAAATGAAGGGTATCAATATTGAAAGATTGTACAATAGAAGAATTTAATCTTGAATTTTTATTTTCAGAGTACCGGTACCGTAACACAAATACAAGATGGGTATTCAAGGGCTGTTACCATTTTTAAAGAAAATTCATAAACCAATGAATATATCTCAGTTTAAAGGTTGCACTGTAGCTATTGATGCTTATTGTTGGTTACATAAAGGAGCTTTTTCTTGTGCCGATAAACTTGCTCTTGGTGAAAAGACAGAAATGTGAGTAAGATATGATATTTTGCAGAATAATGTATGAATGTTATATGAACTTTATACAACATTGTTACGGTTCTGCTTAAATATTTCTATATACTTCTATAAAATTGTTTATCTAGTCTGGAGATGAAAGATGATTTTATTCCTAAATTCCCAACAATTATAGTGATGTTCTCTGTTTAGGTATGTGTATTATTGTATGAAATATGTGGACTACCTACTTAAAGCTGATATTAAACCAATCCTAGTTTTTGATGGATGTCATTTACCTTCAAAAAAAGATGTGGAAAAATCTCGGAGAGAGTGAGTCAGATTTATTTTTTAATCCAAAACATGAACTTATTCGGATAAAAAAAATTCGAGTTGACAGGAATTTATTGCATCAAGGTGTTCACTTAAAGTTAATTTTGCACACCAAAAAATTAAACCAAGTAAATATATATTGGAATTATCAGATTTTATCCATAGAAATGAAGATTGCATTTTGAAAAAATCATCAACTTATCGTATACTTTTCAGACGTAGAGAGTTGTATCGAAAGAAAGCTGCAGAATATTTACGAGCTGGACAGAGAGCAGAAGCTAGAGATTGTTTACAGAAATGTATTGATATTACCCCTCAGATGGCATTGGAACTTATGAATGTAAGTCATATTAGTCCAGGCACATTACCAGAGGCCCTTTTCTCGAAACCTGAAAGGGAAACACAGTAGTGTTATATAAAAAAAATAAATTTAAGATGGAGCTCAGGCTCTGGCATCATAATTTTTCTTAACTTGAGAAGGCACCTACTTGCCTAGCAGACAACAATCCAACTCTCTGCTGACTAAGCTTTAGTGTTTAAATAAATCGATGATCCAAACTGCATGGCTACCGACTGAGTTTAGGCTTATATAATGATAAGAGTATTGTAGCCACAGAAAAGCTTTTCGTTAATTGTACTTTTGGGTTGTTTATTAATGAGTTTGTATTATAATTTTCAGACCTGTAGAAATAAAGGAGTAGATTGTATTGTTGCTCCTTATGAAGCAGATGCTCAGTTAGCCTACCTCAATAAAACTGGTATAGCTCAAGTTATAATCACTGAGGATTCAGATCTCTTATTGTTTGGCTGTGATAAGGTAAGATTTCTTGTTTTGCACAAGATTGTTCATTTTTGCATTGCAAAAACATTCAAAATTTTGTTTAAAAGCTCTTGAAGCTGTAAATTTTGTTAAGATATTGGTGAGTTTTTTTGATAAATCAATTATTGAATTGTTCATTATTTTATAGTAAGTAAGTAATTTATACATCAGTAATTCACACCCCAACAGGCCTATATCATTTTTAGATTGGTTGCTCACAGCAGTAAGCATTTGCTTATTTTGCTTTTCGTGATTTGTAGTCACCTTCTGAGAAATTCATTTTGTCCTTCTATTTATAGGTTATGTTTAAAATGGATTTCCATGGTAATGGAATGTTGATAGAACAAAAAGATCTAAATCAAGTTTTAGAAATAAATCAGGGATTTTATACGTTTGATAAATTCCGTCAGATGTGTGTTTTATCAGGATGTGATTATCTCCCTTCCTTACCTGGTATTGGCCTGGCTACGGCATGTAAAGTTTTCAAAAAGACGCGACTAACTGACATGAGAATGGTGAGTGATTTGATCTACACCCTAATTATTTATTTTGAGAAGTGCTGTTTGGTGTGTCATATGTATACTTTGTAAAAGTGACAAGTGAAAAAGATTTATCTTTCAATGTTGAAATTGCATTATAGATTCCTTTAATAATCGTCAGAAGTTGGGAACTGCAAAATAGTAGACTAATGTCATCTCTCGACATTAGGAAATCAAAAATGAGTAGACTAATGCCATCCCTCAACAGTTACAAGAAATTAGCCTAATATCACTGTACTGTCCTCTGTTCTCTAATTGCACTATGCATGGTGTTGCCGCTCTTCATTAGCCCAATCTGGAGCAAAATTACAAAAAGTTAACTTTTTGTCTCCTGTGACAAATGAATACCATCTTTGTTGATATTTTCAGTTATTAAAGAAACTGTCAAGTTATTTAAAGAAGAACGTGGTTGTTACTGATGATTATATAGACAAGTTTATCCAGGCAGAAAACACTTTCCTTTATCAACTATGTTTTGATCCTATAAAACGTAGACTTGTTCCTCTTAATCCATATGAACCTGATGTTGATCAAAACAACATCAAATATGCTGGATCGTATCCTTAACAACACAATTTTATTTATTTTACTATCTAATGTCTTTTGTCCTTCAATGACAGGGTATTGACTCGATAATTTCTAGACATATTTCTAGAATCAATTGTATACTTGGTTAAAAGTTCATGTAATGCCATTTACTTGGAAATATGTTTTATGGGATTCAGTTAGATAAGTAATTTAAAGGTAAAGGTTATATCTCCTCAAGTTAAAATTCTTAACCACTAATAAGATATTGTAGTGATGAGCGAGCCTTAGAAATTGCGCTTGGAAATATAGATATTTATACAGGGGGGACAATTCATGACTATAACCCAGACACATTTCAGGTATGTGATTTCTTTATAATACATATATTATATATTTTTTCCAAAAATCACAACAATTGAATTAGCATTTCTAATATATGTCGCACCCATGTCATTTGCTTATGGAATTAAGTCCTTTGTTTCCTTTTTTTGTCAGCCCAAATATGCCAAGAAGAAAATAGAAGTGTCTCTACATAAATTAAGTATATGGAATAGAAATTATCGTATTAAATCAAAGATGTGTTTATCAGAGATCCAACAACCTATAGAGAAACCAGTTACATCAGGCAAAGAGAAAGTTATTAACCTACCGAAAAAATTACCTCTTAAACGGCCTAGATCAGATGGTAAGATTTCACTAATAGATATCCAAAGATGGCTGCTACCAGTCGTTCTACAATATACCTGCAGTCTTGAGTTGCTTTACTTTCGATATATGTGAGAAAAGATCAAATGATTTTGGTGTGAATATGAAGAAATTCAATATAACGAGAAATTATGCTACATCAGTTTATAGAGCTCAATTTTAGGAGCCATCGAACTTTATTGCAAACCAACATTTCTATGTTTATCTCATACATATAAAAACTTTTCCTTTATTTATGTCTTGCATATTAAGACTAGGTCTATGCTATACACTTCTGTGAGTTAATTCAAAGAAAATATCATTCTAGATTCTATAGATATACCTCGTAATGAAGATTTGGCTGATATATACGATGAATCACCTGCTAAGAAATTATGTACAGAAGAGGTGACCTCACGGATTGAAAATGACCAATCAGATTTGGATGATTTTGAATCAGAAAATAAGTGTACATCTCATATAAAATCTAAAAGGTATGATTTTACTTTTTTTTATTACACTGTAACTTTACTTCTTCAGTTCTGGAGTCCATACAATTAGATATTTTGAACAGGGTAGCTATAATGTGTGATCATTAATACTACTTATTATAAAGGAGAGTAGCCTTCATCACATACATATTCTGGATTTAATCTCTTTATCTATCAAACTTAGTGCAGCAATTCAAAATCTAATTATGCTGTAGCGAATTTGTTTGCTTCCGCTCTCGCTTTGGCATTCCGGTCGTATAAAAACAGTTGATTTTTTGTGGATTTCAGTCATTCACCGAGTAAGAAGCTGACAGCAGCTGATGTTTGTAATATTTCAATGGAAGACGACACGAGTGAAAAATCTGACACAGACAAAGAAAATGAAATCAAACCTAAAATTTCACCTCATAGAAATAGATTTGCTGTATCAAGCGGGAATCAGAAACATAAGTTTAATTTGAATGAAAAGAAAAATGTTGTCATTAAGAGCAGGTATAAAATTTTTCTGTTATTTATTATGCTTACTATTTTAATATCATAAATTATTTTATAAATTCCTCAGCTCTAGTTAATAGAATTGTATTTTACTCTTTATTATATTCTAGGACAGGCAAGCAAATGCATTATTTCCAACATTGAATCTCCATTCGTATAAATTTAATCTGAGACCTATTTAACAGCTTGTTTTCTTATCATATGATGTAATAATTTAACTCTAGTACCTTTACTTTCAGGTTCTTTGCTAAAAATGAAATAAAGTCAGAGCCAGAATCTCTAAGCTCTGAACTTGGCAACTCTACAGTGATTCCAGCTAATATTAAATCAGAGCCAAATGAATCAAAAGACACTGATAAAACAACTCCAGTTTTACCAAAGTTATTTTCTCCAGAGAAATTGAAATTCCCAACCAATAAACCAATCAAAACAAACTCTAAATCATCCAAAAAGACAAACCTGAAAAAATCAAATTCATTGTCAGCATTCAGTTGGTCAAAATTCAAATTTACTAAAAATTCAAATGCAGATACAGAAACTTCAAAATCTGTGAACTCTGCTTTTCAGTCTGTGATAAAACAGGAAGATAGAGATTCTGGATTAAATGAAAATTCCAAAACAAACCAAGAGTTGGAAAATTCTGCATCTAACACTGAATTCAGTTTAGCTGATCAATCTGAAACCAGTTTAAAGGAATCTCAATCCAGTTTGTGTTCTCTGATCAGCTTGGAGGGGAGTTCGAAATCAAACATTTGTAGTCTTGATACTGAATGTTTACCATCCACTCAAGACTTAGAAGAGTTCGATTTTGAACAAAAGAAAACCATGAAAACAGAATCTGATTTTGAATTGATATCAACTGTCTCTGAGACCAAAAGAGAACTAGTTGTTGACAATAACTCAAACACAAAATCTACCTCTATTTCTACATTTTTCAAATCAAACTCTTCAAGTTCACTGGATGCAACTAATTCCGGTTTGAAGAAAAGAAAATTTGATGTATATGGTTCAATGTCAACTGAAAGTGGTTTGAAGAAAGCTAATTCTGGATCCAACTTGTTTGGAGGTGATTCGAGTAGCAGAACGGATTCAGACAGCGATAAATTCAATTCTGTTTTAAAGAAATCTGATTCTAGTTCCAGTATAATAAAATCTAGTTATTTCTCCAAGGGAATTGATAACAGTAACCCAATATTAATTGATGATAACAGCAATGAAGCAACAACAACCCAAAACCAAGGTAGCTAATACTGCTGTCCTGGCAAAATTTCATTGCCAAGGTACTCAACTAATGTATAAATTGCTTGCTCCGAATGATTCTATCATATTATTCATATATTTCAGTGGTAAAGAAAGAGTGCCGAGTTTCTGGACTGACCAAGACTAGTCGTAAGAAATCTGGATCAACCAGTAAAGTTTTAGATATCAATCAAACCAAAATTAAAGATCTTTTCTTTAAAGTTGGAAGAAAACCATCAAGGTAAGCCAAGATCATAATCGTTAAGATTAAATTGATCTTTACTTCTGATTTCCATCGTCGAAATTTCGTAAAAAAGTTACAAATTGATGATTTTGGAGACAAGATCTTTCATTGGTCCAATCAAAATACGATTTTCTCATCAACAATATTTTGTTCATTGGAATGAATAGGTTTGGAATTTTGTATCTGATTCGAAATGCTTGAATTTTCAATATAATAAATAAAAGGCTCTGTAATTTCAAAGTGAAAATTTTGTTTATTCTTTTTAGGCTGGAAGAAGTTAGTGAATTTGGAATGGAAATGACTCCAGAATCTATTAATTCTACCAAAGCATCAAAATTATCTTCAACTGTTCAACGCAAACTATTATCTTGATTCAAACCCTTACAGAACCAACTTTTTTTTTTGTTACACAAAAAAATAAAAATGTATTCATTCTTCATATTATTGAAAAATAAATGCCATTCATCAAGTGCATATTTGAAAGTAATACAAAATATACTCATTAATGTTTATCACAATTTGTTTTTATGAAGATTTTGTTGAGTTTTATTACTCAGGTATTCGTTTTAAATTATTTTTAAAATTGAATCTTTTATCTGATTTTAATAGTGCTTAAAGATGTTTTAATTAAGAGCCTGAATTTTATTTTTAAAAGTGATTTATAATTGTGAATAAAGTATTGTAGTTAAAAAAATTTCTTTTATATGGACTAAATAACTAACTGCAATAGCTTGTTGTTATCATTATAGAACACTCTAAATTTAAATGGCACTGGTATTTTAGGAGAGTCCACATTGCTAACAATTATATTTACATATCAGGCAGACATCAGAGTTTCCTAAAGTGGAAAAATCTGTGCACCAAGTAGGGACATGATTTTTTTTACAGTTCTTGTTACAGTTCATGCTGCTGCATGCTACCCCTTTAAATGAAAATTTCTGAGACAGTTATATATATATGAAAGGAATGTTTAATAACTTGACAGAAGATACAATATGAAATGACTATGATGAATATTTGTCGTGAAACAGATTATATCTAATATCAGGTATGAATAATGTATTACTAGAGTGATGTACATGCTCTGCGAACACAGAAATATCAGAAGCCACTGATGGAAAATTTCAGGAGACTGAAATAAAATAAATCTACATTTTAGAATTACATGGATTTATATTACAGCCCTAAAATCACTTTAGAGCTTGATGTTCAGAGCACCTTAATATTGAAAGGTTTAATTTTCATATAAAAGTCCCACATCACATAAACGGTACTTGATTATAGTCTCCAGAAAGTCCTGTAGCTCTTCTTTCAAAGTTTTTAACTGTAGCAATTCAGAACTTTCATTCAACAAAAGCAACAAATCTCTGTTATTTATCAAACATTCCTTGTAAGTTCTTTTTTAATTTTTCACTCTGTAACCTCTGACCTTCACGAGCTGTTGCTAAGGGATTCCGTAACATACTGTGATCTGAAGAAGAAAAAAATATTCAAACACTGAAAAGGTTGGTAGAAAGTGCCTACTCTTCACTCCCAAGAGAGTAATAAACCACTCTTGACCAAAACAGTAAACCCTTTAGTGGAGAATCACACAGTCACGCACCATGTTGTTTTTTATCCATCACAAATCATTAGAGAAAAAAAAATGTAGTTATAAAACAAGCAAAGTTATTCAAGTAACTGTAATATTTTCACTAAATGTCAAGAAAATTTCTTGAGGAACATTAAGGCACTAGTTTAATTTCATTTATTGACCAGTGACCACAACAGAAACTTTAACATTTACATACTGCAAAGACATGATATCATACATGACAGAGCTGCAAACCTTCTAAATATGATATTTGTGTTAAATATATCTTACCTTTGGCATAATATTCAAGTGTTCTTATAGTATCATCAAACTTTCCTAGCTTATTCAAAGCTGTACTTTTTCTAAATAAAGCTTTTTCATTTGTAGGTTCTCCTTCTAAAACTTGATCACAATACTCAATGATTTTCTCATAATTTGGTGAATCTTGTTTCAATAAACTTGCTGAAATGTAAATAAATATCCAGTTATAAGTTATAAGAATATCATTTATCTATCGTAATAACACTTTGATATGCCAATTTTTCCTATAAATTATGTTGTCGTTAATTGTTGATATTTTCATCTTGAGGCCTTCCTAGATGTGTCTCTGTCTGTGCCATTAGTAGTTTTCTCCTAAATTTTAATCTTTACTGAGTATCATTTCAGAGTGAGTTCTAATATTAATAGCTTTCCTTAGTTTTAATGAGAGTTTTAAGAAAATTATTCTACCTGCTAAATTATTGTGGCAATTCATCTGTATCTGTTTTATATCAGATTTCATTTCATCAGACAGGTTTCCCCCTCCATCACCACTTCCCATTCCAAATAATACATCTTCTTTTCTGATACCAATACCCTTTAACTGTAAAAGGGCTCGGTGGTATTTCCCTATTGCTTGTCTCAAATTCCCCTCTTTGTGAAATTGGTTTCCAGAATCTTTATATTCTTTGGCTTTTTCAATTCTTTCAGTGTCAGTAATCTTGGCAGGCAGAGCAGAGGCACTATTTTCCATTTTATGTAAGATCAGGGCGGGCTTTCTTTCTCGAATTATAATCAACTTTCATTAGGCACCAACCACCTTTTACTTTTTAGATTATGTTTCGGTACCACTTTTTATGGTCTAAGGGAGGTAATTGCAGAAAAAGTAAAACTGGAGCTGCTCCCCTTAGAACAGTCTTCAATTTGTTAATGTCGTAATGAAAATCCCTTTATTCAAAAATTCTATTAGATCTAGATGATTTCAGTCACTTTTATATTAACCTATTTCTAATTTGAAAATAAAAATAAAATTAAACCAGATTAGTGCTAATGGGTTAAAATTAACATGTGAATGTGTTTACGATTACGACAACCATCGATCAATCTGTTCTTTCTGAAGAAAATTTGTCAACATGGCAGAGGCAATGAGAGCATCAGTGGGCCAACTGTTGAAGGGAATTGATAGGTAATATAGCCATGTATTTATTATCTACATGAAAAATAAATGGAACGCTTTGATATGATGAATTGTGAAATGAGTAAAATGCCTGAACACTTAGCCTCATGAAGTAGCCATCTGGTACTGTCCGGCGAGCAACAGTAATGTTAGTGTCCTACCCTAAGGCTACACTCTGGGCATCTATAAGATCTGAGTCAGTCGGTAATAAGTGTGTTTTGGTTGCTTTACCTCTACTCCTCACTACTTCAGCTTGTTGAAGACTCCTTCTGAGTCTGAATACAATTAGACACTACTAATACAACAATCTTCGCGGTTATGGGTGTATCTATAGATGTTTAAAGCCTGTATCACTTCATACTTTATCTCAATTTCACCATCTTGGTCAAAGTTTTTAAGACGTAAATTATTCTTTTTAACTCATTCAGAAATATTTGTTTCCTTAGGTACAATCCTGAAAACCTAGCCACATTAGAGCGTTATGTAGAGATGCAAGTCAGAGAAAACACATATGATTTAGAGGCCAATCTAGCTATATTAAAATTGTAAGTTATATCAGTTGGTGTAGTCTGCTAACATTAAGAATACATTTAATACAACGAATGGTATGCATTTTCTGCAAAAGTTTTTTGTAACTTTTCATGGGACAAGTGCTTAAATGATCAGCAGATATATATTAATCTGGCCAAATCAGACAAAAGCAAGAAGTATCAAATATATTGCATCATTTGAGCACATGATTACAGTTCAAAGGGTATATTACTTAGTTGATCTTCCAAGATATATGTAAATTATTACACCGTTTTTAACTTTTCAGGTATCAATTCAACCCATCATATTTCCAGACCCATATAACATGTTTTATTTTATTAAAAGCCCTGACCAATCTGCCACATACAGATTTTATTCTGTGTAAATGTTTAATTGATACAATACATTTAGAAGATGAACAAATAAAACGAGTCATGAAAGTTGCTGATAATTTAGAAATGTGTCAATTTATTGAACTATGGGTGAGGAGTCATCTTTTTATTTCTGAATATTTATGCTATTTTCTGTCCGGTAGTTTTAAGATTTTTGTAAACTTTAAAAGCGGTTGCTTACATCAACTCATTGAAGCTGCATTCCAGTTTAAATCCAATAGATGTGGGATTAGAAATGGGCTTGCAGGATAATGGTCATCTTGACAATGTCAAGCTATAACAAACTGTGTCTTATATGTTGATCGCCACATTTTGTGTGTCGCAGAAGTGTATAAATACAGCTACTTGATTTGAATTGTACACTAGCGAATTTTTAGACAAGATATGCTCTGTCCTGGATGAAGACATTATTGAATATGTAATATTAGAAATTGACTGTAGGATTCTGTTTTGATACATCTATATCACACTATAATTGATGCATTGATCACTAGATAACAGTGAGAAACCTTAAAATGTTAATTTTAAAGATAACATGTTTTTTTGTAGAAATATGTGTCTATTGAGTCAGATATTATAACTGGTATAGTAGGGTTTGAAGATTCAATCAGAAAGTTTATTTGTCATGTTGTATCGGCTACCTTTCAAACAGTGGAGAAAAATTATTTACAACAATTACTGGGGGGAGTTAACGGTAAGTTGGTTTGGTATTGGAAAATGATATCTCCAGTTTAGAACTTTTGATCTGTGTAATGGACCAGTGTCTTTTTGTGACAGTGAAAATCCTCATCAAGGTCTTACCTAGAGTCGGTATCTATCTTGCTATTCACATTGACTCTGGTATGTGAAAAGTATTTACAAAGAGACTTGATCTTAGGGTGGACAAACGTGTACAATGTCCTTTCAGTTGATCATGAAATTGCTGACCATGTAAAACATTTCATGAATTGTTGTATTGATTTTCTGATCATATAAGCAATAAGCAAATGCTAGACCTATAACTTGTTACGTTACATGCCCTATCTGCCTGTCTTATTTCTTTTTCTTACAAATTCTACTTGGACTAAAATATTAAACACTATTTTCAGATATTCAGTTAAGTCAGTGGATAAATAAATATGGCTGGTCATTACAATCTAATGGTGTTGTTTTTGTCAACTCCCAAGATGATGCAGTAAAAACTAAAAATATACGAGAAAAAATTACTTTTGACAGTAAGTAGCAATAAGCTTAGTTTATGGGTATTCTTTGACGCCATGTCAGTTAAGCAGGCTTGGAAAAGGTGCCTACTGGTTTGGATGGTATGATTAACCGAAGCCCTGTGTTCTTTGGCTCTGCACATTAAAGATACTTCAACAGTCAAAGAAGTGCTGGCTAATTTCGCTGTCCTGACGAAATTTCTCTTTCTATTTTCCAGGTGTAGCAGCAATCATGGCCACATCACGATAATGAAATAAAAAGAAGAAAAATCAAAATTGAAAAACAAGGGAAATAATAAAATAAAAGAAATCTCAAACATATTTATTGTTAGTTTTACAATCACACGTACCATTCATTTCTGCAAAGGGTTTCCATCTGTAAAATACTCCTCATGTACTGTTTGATGCATACTTTTAAATTGTATCTGTCTGAAATGCATACGGATACAATAAGACAGAAGCTTTGCCATAATGTATCAAAAGATACAGTGTAGGTATATCAAGTATTTTCTATGATTTTACAACTTCTAACCACTGTTTTAATATTTAACCATTGTTCTCTTGTTAAATGTTCTTTACCAGCACTGATGTATCCATCATCTTCTGAAATGAAAAAGACAATTTAAAAAAGGACAGTAGAAGGCAAGCGATGATCTTTAAGAATATAGATTAGTTTTCTATGTAAGCAAATTGATCGCAACAATTAAACTTTCCAAATCAACAATGCAAAGTGTTAAATGTTATATGCATTCCTGTCGCATGTCATTTGATATTGGAGAATACTTATACATTTTAACAAATCGACAATTGAACTTTGCAGCATTGACAAGTGCATTTTGTAATGACGGCATAGGTATTTTTAAGCTGTAACACAATCGATTATTTTTGCAACGCTATACCTCCATAATACCCAACCCAAAATGTATCAATGAAATCCCAAAATATAATGGGAATCTATATTAAGATATATTCTCCCCCTGCTGGAATAAGACATGGATATGATTCTCTAAATAAAATTCTGAATGATATGAGTTGTTCCTAGACAGTTTCTGAACCACAGGCTGATAGTTGCTTGTTTTGTACTTACCAGAATCTGCTGTATCTAATTCATCAAATAATATTCGACAAATTACTTTCTGTTCTAAAACATTCTGTGGCGTCCATCTTGAATCTACGCCATTTTTAGTAAAATGATATCCACACCAAATCGATTTTTTACTCTTCCATAAACTTCTGATTTTGTCTTGATTCTTTTTAACTGAACTGAAAGGAAGAACATGAATGTCACATAAAAAAAATGGTGGCCATGTTTCTTAAACTTAAGATACAATCAGAAACATAATATTTCAAAAAAATTATACGAGCACACACGCTATGAAGATCATCAAAACAAAAGATTGGATATAGACCAGAGTCTGTTGCCACACAGCATCCATATAATTTCAAGGGGTGAGAGTTCTGTTCAAATATTTTTTATCAGGCCATGGCTGCAATATTTCTCAACTGGTAGAGCTAATGATGTGATATATTTCAGCTCCTGAATATAAGCACATCAACACTATACTGTTTAATATTGCATGAGAATCTGTTATGAGAGTTTACCTTGACTACTGACTCTCTTAATTATGTTGAGAAGTTTTGTGTCCAGATTGTCAATTATTACCTTGATAAAACCTGAACTATATGAGTAGCTAGGGTTGTCCAGCCCTGTAAACTATTGTGATACGGGTGATAATCCATGACGTGAAATAGAATAGTTGACAGGTAATTTATATCTGGAGACTCTGAAATATGAAAAATAAAATATATACATTAATCTCATGAAAAACAAGATAGATTGATGAGGAATAAATTAACTGTTTTGATCGCTGAACACCAGTATTTACAGATTTCTTTACAATAAGAAAGAAGCGAGTGCTTTAAACATACTTTCTGATAGTGACTTCTGTCATAGATTAATAATTTTTGACAGTAAATTGTACTTTGCTTTCATTAGTGAAATTTCTTTTTAAAGGGACAGGTAGGCAATTTTTTTTGACCAATCATACTTTAGTCTACGTTAATCAGTAATAGTGTCCACAGTTCACCGTCGAAATTTGAGCCTTCAAATCCATGTGTTTCTAGTATTATCTGCGTTTGAATGTTAAAATAATGACTGTCAATTTAAGATATTCTGTGATATATAGAAAAGATATATATAGAAAGAGTGAGTAAAATTCCTATTTTGAAGAATTTTTAAAGAAATAATATGATTTTCATACATTTCTAGTACTCTTGAAGACTATTTACATATATTCAAGACTAAAATCAACCCCCCAAAGTGGCACACCTGTCCCTGTACACAAAATAGCAAAAGAATGAAAAGTACCTGATTCCATCATAAGTTTATATAAATCAAATACACAGGAGGTAGATGGCTCTAATTTCAATGTTTGTTTGAGTGTCTGGATGATATTTGAGGTAGGATAGTTATTACGTTGATAAAACTGGTAAAGTTGATGATATACACTGATGTTAAGTTCATTAGTTTCTAAATATTTCAATAAAATATTCTCAGCATCTTGGATTTTGTCATGATTTTCATAAACCTGAAACATATTGACTTGTTATTTACTTCTAAATATCTATCTCAAGAATTAAAACCAAGACTTTATTTGCTATTTACTTTATGGAAAGCAAGGCTTTACACCCCATGCATAAGGCACAACATTCAAATATAACCAATCTGAATTTCAGGCAAGAAATACCAGGCTTCAAATCTTTTCCCTTGCTTGTAGTTTAACATGATAAATTGGTGTTATTTGCTTACCTCTACAAGTTTGTATAAGAAAATATCCCAAACACCTGTTTTACTAGCTAACTCTTTCCAACTATTTTCCATTCTTTCACATAAAGTTTCCATTTTAGCTCGAACTCCACTTGAAGATTGATTCTCTAAAACAATATTTTAAACAAAAAATAACTATCATACAATGATGATTATTATCTTAAAAGTTATTACACTTCATACAAACAGTTTAACAATAACAGAATTTCTTTTCAGGATTCTTTCTTAGAATAGTGCTTAACATAAATTAACTGTTCAGAGATCCTGTCTTAAGTACATCATGTACAGGCACAAGTAACACTGTTTAGACAAGAAATTTCATTGAGTAGGTTTAGTGGACATAATATATGGATAACAATGATCTTGATTGTTTTCCATTTAATTTTGTTCAGTTACTAATTGTCAGTCAAGGAAGTTTTATTTTGCAAACTGTGTGGATTGTGCCTATACAAGAAAGACTGGAACAGGATTTTTCATTAACACACTTGCCGGAATACATTAATATATAAAAGCTAAATAAGCTTGACAGCTTGGTGGTTGTATAACCCCCTTCTTGAGAAAACTTTATAGCCATTTTCATATAAGACAATATAAAACTTACGTGATAATGCTGACATTGCTGGTAATTCTGTTGACTGTTTATTATACATAGCTTTTAACTTGAGCCATTCGTGGTACCAAACTAATCCTGTATATGCTGAATATAATGTCTTGACTTCTTTCATTCTATCTGTTATTAATACTCTATTCTTTATTGTAACCTGACAGAAAAAAACAACATTTTAAGACATTTTACTATAATACAAATATCTGAATTCACATCCAGAAAATTTGTAGCCTCTATCATCCAGTTCTTTTTTGTCATAAAGATGTATGTCCTCGTCGTAAACAGGAGAAATTTGGCGTCAGATTGGAAAATTTGCCAACATAAGTAACTGCCTACAGGTTACAGTCTTCACATTTTCGTCAGTATGTATCAAATATCGATTATTTTTCATGACTTTGACTATTAGTATATCTTTATTATCATACTGAAGTTATTAAGAGTTACCTGTGGAAGGTCATGAACTTCGTTGAAATGTCCTTGAGACAGTAAATATATTAAATAATCTAACACCACTTCATGTTGATTCACATGAAGTTTACATCCTACTATTTTTCTACAAAGGAAGGAAGAATATACATGTAACATTAAAACTGAAATACACAAAACCATGTTGCTTCCATCTCGTTGTCAATTTACTTCGTAAAGCCTGGTTTGCTCTATGATCTATGTTCTACGCTCTTGATTCAGATTTTCAATCTTGGAATGCTGGAATATACCTTATCTGATATATCATATGGCATATTTAAAAAAAATAATTTACTCTACGCAAGGGCGCTGAGTTGAAAACCCAGTTACTAAATTGTATCAGAAGTTCCTGAAGGATGAGAATGGCGTGCTAGCCACACCTGCTGCAGTATTCATTATAGTGGAGCTCTTGGGACTCTATGAACTCTTGCAAAATATCCATGGTCTTGTGATGATAAAAGAAATGAGTTCAACACACTATGAAATACTAGTTCAAATACTAACCGTACAAGTTTATCTACAACCGTTTTATAATTTTCAGGATCTTTCATCATTATCTCCATACTCAACTGAAATGTTTCCAATAATTTACAGGTAACAATCTGTGTTATCTTTTGAAAGCCCACAAACAAATGATCAAATTATGGTAATGATATATGTCTACTTTATAGAGTTCAGAGAAGCAAAAGGAATAATCCTGAACCAAGTTAAAACAAGTTAGTTAGTTCTGATTTATTAAGATATATTCTGAAGTACCCATTTAATAGTATATAAAGGCAGAGATAAAACTGAGTATATAAGTGAAAAATTTTGACTATTATTTTTTTTCAAGTTATTAGATGTGTTGCTCAAACTAATATTACCTAATCAGAAACAATTTACCTTCCAGACTGTAGAGATATTATCTACGTGTTCCAATGACAAGGGAGGTAATAACTGGACTGCTTTCGACCATCGATGAGTAATTACACATTGACGTAACAAATAAAACATATGTTGATTGATGCCAGTATTCCATGGTGTATTCTTGAAACTTCCCACTAAAATATCAGAAATTTTAATTTTTTAATAGGATGGCATAAAATCAGCTAAATTCCATTTACAAAGTTGTACTTTCAAAATTTATTCAGAAATGAAATGAATGAATGGAGTTTTATGTCCTACTCTTCTGTACCTAATTGGGCAAATAAAAAAAGGGCAATGCCATGCAGAGTGCAATGAGGGAAATTTTGCAAGGAAAGCAGCATTTGCTCTTTTTTGATTTCCAACTGTAGACGGAGCTTTTACATGCACAGCCTGTCACACACAGGTCCTCATTTTATTGTCTCATCCAAACGACTACACACTTTTTCTATATCAGCCCCTTCCAACCTGCATCACTAACTGCATCACTATGCCGGGATTGAGCCAAGGACCTTCAGGTTAGCAAGCAAGTGTTTAACTCACTAAGAATACAATTCAGAAGGATTTTCAAGATATCACAGCATCTGTTGTTCTGTATCATTTCACTTACAACTATCAATTTTTTCCTTCACTTCATCAAACCATTCCTGTAAATCAGTTTCACTCTGAGTATCCTCTAATCGACATTTATCAATCCCAGACTGCTTTGATAATTCACTGACTTTATCGTAATCTGCATCTGATACATAGGTACACAGCGCAATGAACTCTTTCTGAAAATTAACAAAAAATACCCAATATCAATATGTAGACACAGGTAATTCATGCTTCATTAATCCTTTCATAATTTGAAAAATATTCTCTATTCAATGGGGTTTGACACCAACAATAGCTTTTTCCAGCATGAAAATCTAAAATTGCCAAATCTTGTTGGTGTTTTCATCACCATTAGGAGATATACAGTAGTGCATATAAGGATTCAACACCGAGTTTGTCAAAATCAATTTACTGAAACAACATAGGAATATGGCTTACATTGTGTTCCAATTTTTCTGCGGACATGGAATCCGCTAGTTTGTCATGTGACTTTGTTCACTGGAATATATTCTAGCAGATGACACTTTGAATTCCAAGTACAGCAGCTGGGGATTATAAGGCAATTTGGCCGATAAAAAATTGTGACATTTAGTAATAACTGTATATGTTGATAGATAATAAATTTGATATTGCTTTGAAATGCTAGGAAAAATTCTGCAGGTTGATGTAGAAATAACCCATGTTTATCAAAACAAGCAAATACTTGTAAATTATTTATCATTTCCGGAAATACAAGAAATTAGGTTCGCACGAAATTAGGTTACGTGACTGTATACTAGAAGGTAGAATTAATTGACTAGAAGAGAGATGCATGCTGTTTTGTATATGAAAATGAAACACAACTATTTCGGTCATGATAGTGACTGTTTTATCTTACCACTCGGTTTCTAAGGTCTGTGTCATCAAATTCATCGATTTCCATAATAGAGAAATTGAAATGCTTTCAATTAAAACAATTGGAGAGTAAAGTCCTCAAAAACTGTAAACAAACCAACGTGACTTTCGTGCAAGGAAGACAACTCTAATGATGACATAATCAAGAGTTATCTCCCTTCCATCGTTGAAAATTATAACTTGTCTAATAATAAATAATTGTCAACTTTTTATTTCATTAGGCCTACATTTACCGTAGACTATTTGATCTACTAATTAATTCTGACATTGGATATCAAAGACATATGACAAATTATGATATTTAGAATGGAAAATATTCATTATTTTTAGATAATCGAGATTGAAATTCGTGCCTTTTTAATCTTCTTTACAGAAAACCTGACATCCGGTTACAACGTGCCACTCGAAAACGACACGTTGACCAAAGAAATTATTGCTATTAAACCATTATTCCACAAAAAACATTATCCTCAATCATAATATTTTAAAGGTATATTTCAAAGCTTTTCTGTCCTGTTTCTTTGAATTATTTTATGCATATTTATTTCGTAAAACGACTCAAATTGTGCAAATTTTTGGATGTAAAATTTCTATTGCTTTGTTTACATTTTGAAAAGCAACATATGGCCATGTATGTATTGAATTTAAAGCTCCATGTTCATCTGAAATAAGTTTATTCATGCTTGTGGGACTTGCTTTGCCAAGATGTAACTTTATGGCATGTTAGCCATTGCTGCTTTGAAGTTTCCAACGTCTCATGTCCTTTTAATTTGAGTTAGGGTCAGGCTGATGGGGCCGTTAATCAGTGGCGGAGCAAAATATTTGAGGACGCCTGAATTACTGCAATCAGGGCTGCGAGCTGCCCCCTGTGCCGCCCCACCCCCTTTGGCCACTGCCATTAATGAGAACTACCCAGGTCTAAATCTATATATTGGAGTTTAATTTGATACAGTAAATACGTTATTGCACATTACTGATATCTATCTATTTGTAATGCAGAGTAAAAATATGTTATTTGAATGGGAGTTAACTCCTTCTGTGATGCTGCTGTGATATCGAGAGTTAATCCTAGATCTCAGACTCAATAACTCCATTATTTTCTCCTTCTTATATAGATTCAAGATGAAGTCATTGTTGATATCTGTCATAGCTACGGCCTTATTCCATGTCACAATTTCACAGAATCCACCAGGTGTCCCACCACATCATCAAAATGTTGTACCACCTCAACAGCAACAACAACAACAATATCAGCAACAGCAAGTCAACCATCAACAACAGCAAGTAAATCAACAACAACAGCAGCCAGTTAACCCACATCAGGATCCTCCCCATGCTCATGTGACTGAAGGACGAGGAGGTGATACCCTTAGATTCAAAAGTGATGTCCATAATGCTGCGTAAGTTTATTGATGTAGACTTTTATTTCCTGTTCTCCCTATAATAACCTTTAGGTGAACCTAATTCTTATATCTGCTTTCTATATTACAGATAAGTTAGCGATATATAATGATTTAGTCTATACCCAAAAAAAATAACAGTCTGGCTCTGAAGGACCGTTACTGTTCATTTTCATATATTATACATTTGTGTGAAACACTGAGCAGGTTTTTTGAAAAGTAAACAGCAAACTTGCTATAAATTTTTGTCTTCTGTTATTAATTGTAGTCATGTAATGGAACATTTACAAGAAGTGATAGAAACTAAACCTAAAGAACAGATGACTGAAGAAGAACTCGAGTTTCATTATTTTAAAATGCATGATTATGATGGTGATAATAAATTAGATGGAGTTGAAATTGGCAAAGCTTTGACACATTTCCATGGTGGTGAGTTAATTTGTATATAATCGTATTAGCTTTTATTTAGTTCACAGATTTTAGGTAAATTCTTTATGCTTTCTTAAAAATTCTGTGGGATTTTTCCATGCTTTTGTCTGTTGTTTTAGAATTCATTTTTGGCTCAAAAATTCTCAAAAATACTGTGCATGCTATATATTACTATCTAGTTTTACTTCACATTCATAATATAACATGAAAACGAAATTGCATGTGATTTTCGAAGGGTTTTACCTGCATCTCTGTAAAATCAATTTCTATCAAATTTGACGCCTTTAAAAGTCATATCACTTTCAGTTTCATTTCCCCCCCTAAAAAAAAATCTGCCCCCTCCCCCCTGAAAAATTCAGATGACTTAACTGAATTTTTGAGTCGCTATAGTTGAGCCCCCCTTCAAAAGATTTGGCCCCCTCCCCCCTGAGACCCTGGGCTAGCTACGGGCCTTAAGTATCTGCTTAAAGATAATTATGAAATTCTGTATTTTTTTTCTCATTTCACAAATATTTGAAAATAAAATTTTCAATTGCATGTTATTTGTCCCAGACTGTCATTTGGTTTATATAAGAAGGACTGATGATGTAACATTAGAAATAACCACACTTTCTTCCAAGAAATTTACTGTGAAAATGGCAAAAGGACTGAAATTTTTTCTTCTGTAAAATCATATTTCCAAATAATATTATTTACATTGTCATTTTTCATAAACTAGCAAACAACCTCAGTATGAATATGATATTTCAATTCATATAACAACTGTTTTTAAACTCTGATTTATTAAGTATTATGTGTCTACAACAGGCCTTTTAATTACAATAGGCCTATTCTTTGTTATTCAAAATAATATGAATGAGTTGAAAATTAAGCTGATTATATATAATTATTGTGTCCCATCATTTTACTCAGGTTGTAATGATGTGTGATAAAGGATAAAAGAGAACTTGACTTTCTCTCCATTGAAATTTATCTTAAATATTACTTTTAAGAATTTAATATTGTCATAATTTGTATTAGCTATTTGACTTTATTTTTCTTACAAAATTTATGAAATGACTTGGCATCCCTGGTATTTATTGAGTAAGACATCACTTTATAAACATAGAAACTGGTCTCCTTAATGACAGAATTAATTTGCTCACTTTCCTTCAACTTGGCGTCACACTTGGTCGCTTTCTCGATTACCTCTATTGTTACTTCTACACATTGAATAGTTAATACCCACCACAAGCTGAGTGGTGTCTCGTGGGATTACACACTAGCTCCTCCTACCTTGTTAGCTCTCCGTGTACCGTAACGTACAATTAATTCTCTTAAAGAGGTTGAGAAATCTGTTACTTGGAATTCATTAGGAGTTTTAATAGACCCGCTATCTTAATGGACTTCTCAGTTATATTTTACAAGTTTACATCATGTCATCTCTTCAGTATTTTCTTAAATTTTCTTCAAATATATTATGAATGATATCATTTTCCCTGGAAATATTGAGATTTGCTTTTAATTTACATTTTTCTCGAAACTACTGTAAGGATTAATTTTATGTGAATAATACTCAATCACAAAAAATATCAAAAAACTTCAGAAATATGAACTTATAAGACTGTAATCATCCTAATGCTCAGAAATTTAAGAAATTCGAATTCATGTGCTCCAAAAACTAAAAGAATTAATATTAATTTAGAATAAGAATTAATCTGAATATAGATTTATGAATTAGTTTTTTCAAAAATTTTGATATGAAAAAAAAGATTATTATTCTTATATATAAAATTTAAAAAAATTCTATTCTCTTACAAGTTATAAAGGGTTAAAATATAAATATTGGCCTGCTGTAATTTGTATATAGCCTGACACTCAACTTTACACATCACCTTATAGCACCCCTGGGTGGAAATTAAAAACAATACTAGACATCTTCTCCGTGGTTAACTTCACTCACAATGATACTTAGTTCGCAAAACAATTACGTCTGGACAACTTAGTCTTGGAGAAGTAGACTCTTATGTGGGTTTAGAAGTTGGCTGGGGTCGTAAGAGGTGTGAACTGAAGCTGAGAGGATAACTCTAGAATGTTTGGTTGACAGAATGTGTAATTAAATTAGAGTGTAAATGGAAACAAGAAGTCGGATGATGTAGAGAGCAAAGTAGAATGTGACATATTTGAGCCAGATGGTTGATGTTAAAGAACTGGCGTTGTAAGGAAAGAGATTTTTACGTGTCTTTATAAAAGCTTTGACCTTTGAGAGAGAGAGTCAATATTTTATCCGATGTATTTATGTTATATATTGGATTTAATCCAGTTTGACTTCCTATCAGATTTTCATGGATTATTTTATTCGCCTGCTGCAGACAAACAACCTAAAAAAAAACATCTTTTTCTTTAGCACAGAAAACGTGATGTAAAAAATTCTAACTGTCATTTTATGTCATTCTCAAAATATATAAGTTTTAAAAGGGCAAACTTTCTCTATTTTTGAAAAATATTAGTTCACCAATATTCATTTGTTTGATATGCAACTTAATTAATACAAATAATATGCAACATTATCGTAATCACATTTTCCTTTAATGAAACTGTTACATATAATATAATATACCTCATTATCTGTAGCATTAAATGAATATCCATACAATCCTATGATTCGAAAGCTTTATTTTCAATTCGCTATGTTGATGCATATGTTTTGCATTTAAATGCATTTCCTGTAAATGTTGTGGTGTTGGTTCGCCCTGTTAGTGTTTCTTGTACTTTTCTACTTGGTATCGGTTTTAGTAAGTTTATTTCCTTTTTTGAATATCCATTTATTTTTAAATGGATTTTGTACTTTTATTTCTAAATATTTTCAGAAAAAAATAATTTTTCCATATGTTTGGTAGATAAAAAAAAAGAAAAATCATGCTTTAGGATTTTTGGTGGCATATTGAAAGAAAATTGTCAAGACTGATAATAGATTTAAGTTTTAAAACTGACCTCTGATGGGACATATTATCTACCTTTGATAAAGATTGATTATTCATTATAAAATATTTTATTTTTTTTTAGATGAAACAAGAACAGAAGAAGCAAATGCCAAAGTTTTTAGTGATGAAGAAATTTCCAATATTGTGGACGAGGTTTTAAAAGAAAATGATGTAAATAATGATGGATATATTGAATATTTTGAATTTAAACGTAATCAGGATAAACATCGAGGGGAAAATAATGCATCGGACGGTCAAGGTCACCAATAGATACATTAATATCAAGTCATTTCAGATACCATGAAATTATAAATTATATTAAATAGGCCTATATCAATGTTTGAAAATGATATTCAAAGAAATTTACTGACTTCATGCATACTTCATCTTCAAGCTCTCTATGTTGAAAATATTTTCACAGTCTTAATATTTCATACACAAATATATTATTTATTTACCATTCAGACTTATTTCAGATTTCAAAGACTAAGTCTATATATTGTAGTCTTGCACTAGTCATAGAGAAAAAATCCTGCCATCCATGGTTTAGAATTTTTTGAATATATATATAAATGTATTGTTAAGTGGTATTGTTAGTGTCCTGTTGTAAGGGTGCCTTATTCACTCACAATTTACAAATATTAAAAAGAGAACTTATTGTACTTTTTAAAGATAATATTGTAGATCATATCTACATTCTTATATTCCACATTTATACATAAACATGATAAACATGTATATCTTAAAGTTAGATCTTTACTTAACTGTAATGTATACATTACCTATGCTGTGATTATCTTTTAGGTGGTTTTAAAATCCCAACCGATCATATTTGAAGTAAGATAATGAGCGAAAATGGGAAAAACTAATATTTGATTTAAAGGTCTTGTTCAGTTATATGTGATGCATATTTGTGATGCCCTTTATTGCACCATATTTTTCATCCAAATGGTGCTTTTAGTCAGTTTGGATTTCATACTTATACATAGTATTTGCTTTTAATCAGATGCTCTTTGACATGTTTCAAATTTGTACTAGAGGTTTCCATGTGTTCTTACAAATATGAAAATCCAAAAATTAGATGAATTATTTATTATACTTTAATGTGGATATTATTTTTGCTTGAAACTGGAAATCAAATGGTGCAGGGATTATGATTTTTAGTTTTTTTTAATTATCTTAGAAAAATGTATATGTTATATTCTCGTTATGTTAAGTTATTTGTTTACCTTTGTAGATTAAGTGATTTATGAAGAATTATATTTGAATTTATTAATAACTTGAAAAATATGTCCCTGATATCTCTTTTAAAAGTTCCAGCCAAGGTGGAAATAATTGGTTTATCAATATTGTTAAGTTAATTTTATCTCACTATTATGTTATATATATTATGTATATCTTATGATGTTAAATATATACTATTCTTTGTGATTTTTCAACATTCCAAATTTACCCTGTTAGTCTATTATTGACAAGCTGGGTTTTTTCTGATAGTAATGAGAGTAGAATTTGACTTGGCACACCTTTTTGTGTTGTTTGTCATGAACTGTATTTGAGCGCAAATACCTGAATGCTGTTGACATATTTTCGAAGAAGTAAAAATGCGTCTATTTTTTTTCTAGTTCAATATTTTTGTTCAATGTTTTGATCTAAATTGTATTTGGATTTTAAAAAGAACTCAAAATATTTTTCTTGCTAGTATATTTTAATTTGTTAATTTGTTTTAATCAAATATTATTTCATCTGCATTTCCATACAATCAAAACTTTTTTAAATTGCTAAAAAAAAGACATGTTGATAACTTCCATGGAAAACAACTGAGTTTTCATAGTTCTCTATTTTTAAAAACTTTATTTGATTATTATGATATATAAATCTCACTTATTGGTGCTTTGATGATTTTGATCTTCCATTTTATAAATTCTCAAGCATTATATACAACACATTCTCTCTATATTAGATGTATATGTTGTTTTTTAGTCTAATGTATTTGAAATGTTAACTATGTCCTGTATTTTATGTGCTAAGATGATATGCACCCTGACTGGACATTAAATGTCCACCCTGATGCTTACAATATTCCTGATTTTAAGAACGATTTTATTTATGAATTAAGGTGATTACATGATTGTTAGGTGTCTCAGTTTTATGTTTATGTTGTAATAAAGAATATTTTAGAAATTGACCTTTTTATTTCCTCTCTATTCTTGCAAAGACTTCATGGCTGAGATTGTAAAGATCTATCCTTGGTTGGATGATCAGAATCATAACTCTCAATAGATGTCAGAATCATAACTTCGAATAGATTGTCAGAATCATGCCTTGGTATAGATTGTCAGAATCATAACTCTCAATAGATGTTCGGAATCATAACCCTGAATAGATTGTTAGAATCATAACCCCTGGATAGATTGTTAGAATCATAACCGCTGATTATTTTGTCAGAATGAGAACCTGCAGTTAACAAAATAGAGAAATATGACAGCTTCTTTAGGCCTCACTATCCAAGCATTAGCACGAAACTGGTCTCACGTGACACGCTTGGATTTGTGAAAAATAGCGTCATCAGAACGCAACTGTGGAATAAAACTTGCCAGAAACCAATTAAGAAGAAATAGATGTTCGGAATCATAGCCCTGGATAGATTGTCAGAATCATAACTCTTAATAGATGTTTTGGCTTGAATAGATTGCCAGAATCATATCTTGGTATAGATTGTCAGAATCATAACTCTCAATAGATGTTCGGATTCATAACCCTGAATAGATTGTCAGAATCATGTCTTGGGATAGATTGTCAGAATCGTAACTCTCAATAGATTGTCAGAATCATACCTTGGGATAGATTGTCATAATCATAATCTGGCGGGAAAGTTTGTGATAACAACCTGAGCATATTTTGAGAATCATAACTGGGGATAGATTGTTAGAATCATAACCCTGAATAGATTGTTAGAATCATAACCCCTGATTATTTTGTCAGAATTAGAACCCGCAGTTAACAAAATAGAGAAATATGACAGCCTCTTTGGGCCTCGCTATCCAAGCATTAGCACGAAACTGGTCTCATGTGACACGCTTGGATTCGTGAAAAATAGCGTCATCAGAACGCAACTGTGGAATAAAACTTGCCAGAAACCAATTAAAAAGAAATAAATTATATTTTGAATAGATTTCGCTGCCTTGTAAAAATGTCAACAACAAGAGTTGGCTTCGCGAAAGTTACACTGCGCTCTGCAACTTAACGACAGCTGTCGAGGATTGCCGAATGGAACAAGGAAACTATTCTGTTTGTATCGTGAAGGGTGTGAACTTACAGCACCCACGTATCTTTATTCAGATAGACTCTTTTTTATGCATTTTATTGGCATTGATTCCAATTACACATTATTTTCTATTCCAGATGAAGTCCAGGCTAAAGCTAAAGTTATGTCGGATGAAGAAATTTCCAGTGTGGTCGACCTTGTACTAAATGAAGATGACTTGGATGGCGACGGTTATGTGGAATATTATGAATTTGTGGCTGCCCAGAGAAAAAGCAAGCACGGTGATATTGATGAAACCGGAACAGACGCCAATTCTGAGTCGGATGAAGCGGACCCTAATGATATATCTGTTTGAGAATATGATGGCATTATGCTCTTAAACCGTATAATCAATCCTGTCTCGTTCAAATTTTGCAAGGCCATTGTATTTTCATAAATGTATACTAAATGATGGTAAAGTTTTCAGTAGTAACCTCAAGGCACAATTTGATTGAGTTTGACCATTCCAATTCCAATCAGACGTCTGTGGTTACTGCAATTCCATTAGAATTAAGTGATTGATGATGTTACTTATCGCAAAAAATGCTTTATCGATTTGTGACATCATAAAACGCTTAGTTTTAGTGGAATTGCAGGAACCATGGACGTATGATTGAAAATTGGAATGGAGCAAATTGATGCTATCAATGTTCCCGATACGCATAAAAATGTTTAAATAGTAAGTGATCTACTAGGCGAATAGGCTACGATCAATTGTCAGAGTTTATCATTGAAAACCTTTGAAAACAAAATCGTATATGAGTGAATGGCCTGAATGTGTGTGTGCATGGTATCGTCTCTTTAATGAAATGTCCGGAAATATTAAATTGTCTACGGTTTTTAACCTTGGCCAGTTTATACCTATCAATGATTTGGTAATGAATATTCATATGATGTTACTTCAAAATCAATCACCATCATTCTTTTATACAGTACGAAGGTGAAACTTGTGAATAATAAATGAGTTTGTCAACCCATCTCGTATATGAAGGGTCGATTGGTTAATATGCACCGCCTGGTACAAATTATATTGATTCAGTGAACCACGGTACATTGTGTTTGAATTGATTCGAGACAATTATATATATGTTGACTGTAAGGTATAGCTAAAGATACTATTTCGAATAAAACTTCAGGGAAACAAGAATGGTAAAAGTATTATGTATTATGTTAATATATATTTTGTATATTATACATGTTATTTTTGTAATTTGTTAAAAAAAAGAAAATAATTTTGATAGATGTGTTTGTTTTCTTAGGATTAGGAATAATCTTATGGATTCGAGGCCTATAATTTTATTGACATCTATTTAGGAACTAGCAGATATTAAGCAAGTTGTTTACTATCAAGCGAATATTACACTATAGCTAGTTTCCAGACAGCTCGTGTTGGGCAAGAAAAGGCTACGGAAACATTACAGGATTGCCAGAACGAAATTCCGGTTACCCTTCTTACTTAACAGAATATATTTCCAATAGCGGCTTGAGCGATTGCATCATAATCGCTCCCAGCTCATCCTAATAACGAAATTGACAACAAAATGCTGATAGGATACTACTTACGTTTTATTATAAATATGTACTTCTAGTGGAAGACACTATCGACAGAAAATTAACAAAACAAAACAATTATTTGATTTCATAAAAATTCACAAAAAAATCTTTTGATAATTACAGGTTCCGTATTTGAATAAATCCTTGCGTCCTCTAAAAATACGTTCAGTCACGTATATTTTTTTTCTGCTTCATTTTTCAAATAAAAAATTGTGAACACAAATTTTTTGTCACATTCGTTCACTTTGTCAGAGAATCATTAGTAATTTTGAGAGTCAAGTCTCTCGTAGTGGAAGGGTAAATAGTTCTGGGAAAACTTGGTAAAAATCCAATCTGTTAACAATAATGTTAGTTAAATTCATTAATATGTTCTAAAATCGTCATTAAAATATCTTAAACTGCAAAACTGTGAATAAAATATAATGGCAGATTTGTTTAAATACGATATATTGACTTATATGAATGAACTAGTGGAGTACTTTCGGAATAGTTTTAATAATGAATAGAAATTCGACTATGATACAAAATAAAGCGTATGCACACTTACAACAAATAGGGAAAATCATAGTTCAACAGATATCAAAACTTCTACACATAAGGTCTTCACAATCCACGATATTGTATTCTAGTAAAAACACATACTATTCAGTGTAAAAAGTTATTCTAGAAATAAACCTAATATAAAAAGTTTTAAAAACACGCACACACGTTTTTTAATTATCGTTATTATAATTTATATACACATCTTTGATTGGTTATCACCGACCACGTCACATAAAACAACCAATAAATAAAAAGAAGCACTGAATTCGAACACGCACCTATTTTTAGTCACCATGGCACCTGTTTCCCTGACAACGTTTTTGCTGCTATTGCACTAATCGCCATGGCAACGTACTACACTTGCGCTTGATATGATAAAACATTTCCAAAACTACCCGGATGTGAATTGTTCATGCGCAGTGCTGATAAACTTTTACTGTACCAATCTTCTTCTGGTGACTCCTAAAATTAGAAATAACAACATCCATGAATATACTAAAACTTCTATTGTAATTGCCAGTATACACATTTCAAATCTAGATTTGATACATGTATTAGATTCAACTTTCTTCTTAATACATGACTCATGACACATTATTATTTTATTTTTGAGAAGTACATTTCTTATTAGAAAGTTTTGGTCTTAATGGGTATAACGAAATATTAACAGGTAGAATAATTGTTATCACAATCAACTTGATGCTAATATATATATATAAGAAAAAAAGAAAAGCTCACCAAACTATAATCAGATGCCATGGGGAATTGTTGAACTTGTCGTGGTACAGACATCGATGCCATATTAGATGATGGTTGAATTCCCGACATGGCTGAGAATTGGGCAACTGATGGTGGGTATGCTGAATTCATCTGTGGATATCTGGACATGGACATTGAATTCATGTTCATGTTCATATTACTGGGTGTAGGGTAGCCGTACGGTCTGTTGTTTGTGGGGTATATGTTTCTCATCATGCCGTTACACGTGGGTATGACTGGAGAAAGAGACTTAGCGAGCTGTTTTTCTTGTTTTCTGTATTTTGCTCGTCGATTTTGAAACCATACCTATAAAAAAGAACATTTTTCATCAATTAATTAATAATCTAAATACTTAGTTATCGGGTTACATTTTGAGATTGAGTGACAGATTTATTATTATTATTATTATTATTATTATTATTATTATTATTATTATTATTATTAGCCTATTATTATTATTATTATTATTAGTCTATTATCATATATTTTTTTAATATTATTATATATTTTTAATTCATTTTGGACTCTTTGACATCCGGCATATTACAGCAACCCTTCTTTGTTAATAGAGTCGTGCATGAGAAGCTGTATTTGTCCTCCGTATCACTCTATTATCACGACTCTACGGTGAGAGAGAACGAGTGAAATGGTTTTATAATGAAATTATCTTGTAAATTGATGTTCCACTCCAGTTCCAAGTTTCTATTCAGTTTTTCTATTAAAGTTATTGTTGGTTGGTTTTATTAGAAACCTTACATTCAACTTCTACGTCACAGAATCGATATTGCTCGTGTCATTTGTCACGTGATATTCAATTACTCCCAATTTCTTGTCCTCTTTTCAATTTACAATTATCGTTTTTATGTTTCTCATTAATTTGAATTCCATTTGATCGTCTGCCAGTCGAATTCCGATACACGTCATCTTCTTCAATAGTGCTACTTCTCTTCCCTTCTAGAATTCCAATCACAATTCACTTTTTACCGCCAGTATCTCGCGGGGCAGACGTTATTCTAAACCACACTCTTTTCTTGCATGCTAAACTGAACGCCAAAAGCGTGCAATTTAGAATTCGATTCGTATTCTCGGTAGAATTCTTGAATTCGACCTATGGAGAATTTATTCACGTTGCCTGAAGACTAAAAATTTCCAAATAGAATGACAACAAGCCTCGGAGCGAATTAAAAGTGAATTTTAAAATGGCTGCCATTAGCCTCTTAGTTTTCTCTGTGTCTCATCAGAAATTCTCGTCAGAGAGTTTCTCGTCTCCTGAGGCACGAATACAGTAATGAAAATTGACAAAGTCGCTAATGTGAATGTCTTTGAAGAAGGTTGAGAATAAAGGCTACGAGGAAAATAAGAAAAAAAATCGAGATAGAACCTCGACCTCAGAGTCTTTCAAATACTTCTTACGACTAATCTAATCAGCGATACAGCTTCTAGTTTCAATATGAGTAAATAGCAGGGACGGTAACTCGTGGAGTAATTTAGTTAGTGTTTATAAAGTGAAAGTAAATTCGGTGTATTAGAGTATATTGTACGGTTTCTATAAAGATTTAATCACAGTTGATTGTAGTCGACTAGATTCTAATAAATTCTTTTAGTATCTTCAGTCAAAATAAAACGAAAGTAGAATCAAATTGTCCATTGATATGGTGATTACAATAAAGCTATAGTAAAACGAATGCTACTTGATTGTCACTTCCAACAAATTATGAAAAAAAATAGGGAATGTTTCGATTTTATACGCAGAAACATTCTTTGGTTTATTTTGAATACTTCTACTGCGGCAAAATATGACTAAGACTTTTTCCGGGAACTATTGTCATTCTATGTCATCTCGGATGATTCAGAATGAATATTTTAACTAGTCTCACAAATTTCAATTTTTATAAAAGGTATTACTTTATTACAATCAATTCCTCGACGATTTTGGAACAAATTTCCCTTTCATAAAATAACTACGCATTATTGCACCATCTTTTCAGTTGATGAGAAAGTTTAACTTTAGGATTTTGTGCTAGACTGTAATATCAAATTGATAAATCATAGTGCAAATCTAAGATGAAATTAATAATGTATATTTTTTTATATATATTAAGTCATATTTTGAAATTTTCAAATAAAATGTTTCAGTAGTTGACCTTAAAACCGGTTACCTTCAATTTTTACTGACGAGCCTAGAAACATTATGTTAAGTCAAAAAAACAATAAACGACTATATTATCCATCTTCATATATTGAAATGATATATTTATCTATTGCAGCTAGAATTTTTGAATATTATAGACTCCAATTTTAGCGTCTAAAATGAGTTCCAAAAGTGGTAAATATACCTTTCAAATTCCTGAAATAATTCGCATTTCTCTCGGTAATTGAGTATAGAGGTGTTCTTGAGGAAAATGAAGATAAAAGGAGAATAATCAACGAATAAATGAGTAAAATCATCAATTTGAATTTGATATTGACCTCAATTACCGATAGGTCATTACTACGCGTCTTCTACCGTTAGATTTTACTTCAGGCGTAATTCGCCTAGATTAATCCACCATAAAGAAAGTAGGGCGACTAACAATTATTAAATCCCTACCCCAGGGGGTGAATTCGGTTGGAAGTAAAGAGGCGTTTGTTGACAGCTCGGGTCTGGTTGTTCCGTATCTCTCCATCTGTCGGTGTCTTTCATGTTTTTAGTCTGGCGCTGAGCTGGACATCCAACAATATGACTGGTAATTACTCGCGTGCATAGCGCGTGTTTAAGTTTGAAAATTAAGTGGCTACACACTCTTTGATTGAACGATCCCGTTAATTTGAACACGTCTGTTGTCGTTTTGGGTCTCGACTTTTGCTCTGTGATGTCCAAACATATTAAACAAACTAACAATACGAATATTGAATACTCGAGAAAATTAGCACAATTCCGCATAATTTAAATCTGGTTGTTAATGTTATTGTGGTCAGATTTTTACCGTTAGAAATTAATGCGGTCCATTGAAGAAATAAGATTTTTAGGGAAAATAAGTATTTGAGACTGATACAAACGAACGCCCTGCAAAAGAATTGTAAAAAAAATGTTCATGCAAAAAAACATATACGAATTTTGAATAATTTATTTTATTTTATTTTTTTGCAAATCGAAAGTGTATAACCAGTTCTCCCACAATTGTATTTCCAATTTGTTTAAACATTCTGATTTTCCCACAAAATGATTGGCTTCTTTACATAGTATGTAAATTTAATATTAAAGATTTAACATTTAAAATTATTCATTAGAACCAGGATAAATTCTCAAGCCGTTATTGAAAGTACCAATGTATTTGCTTGTTTTATTTTAATGTGATCTTTTACAAATTTTGTGATCAATGGGTTTTTATTTTACGCACGAAAGTGTTTATGAAATCCTTAAAAATATGTTTGCCCTTTTTAACATTCTCGCACGCAGTTACATATATTAAAACGTACTAGGAAATAATTGCAATGTGTATACAACAATGTATCCTTTGAATTAAGAGTATATGCGTTAGTAGAAGTAAAGTTTTCGTGGTATTGGCGAATATTTCTATCTGTTGAGAATTTGTATTATAAGTTATTGTCACGTTATTAAGCCGCCATCTATACCTCTACACTAATTTGAAAATCTGATAAAAGTGTCTTACCTGTATTCTGGCCTCGTTTAACTTGGTAATTCTGGCCAATTCTTCACGACAATAAATATCTGGATAATGACTCTTGGAGAAAGCTGTTTCTAATTCCCTCAGTTGCTCCTGGGTAAAAGTTGTCCTGTGTCGGCGTCTTGCGGGGGTCGGGCATGATGATGCTGACGGGTTGTGACCCGAGGGGGTCGGGGTAGATGAACTACTGCCCAATGATGATGTAGAAGATAAGGATAGACTGCTGACGTCAGACTTTATTTTCTTGAATGCCCCTTCTTGTCCTGAAATTAAAGTTAATTTGTTGTATATCTTTGGATTTCTTTGACTCAAATTTCGACGGTGAGTTATGAATACTATAACCGATTAGCTTAGCTGAGACCGTTTCTGACACCTAGGTTCGACTGAAGCCCAAAAATGGCGAATCTGTCCTTTTAATGAAGTGATTCTAATAATTAGTATCAATATTTGAGACAAAAAATAATTTCTTTTTTCAAATCAATTTCAAAAGTAGTCAATATTTTCATGAAAAAATCAGAATAAGTTATTTCATATACGTTTTATTATTAAGCATGAAAGACTATAACTAGAGCTATCAATGATATTTAGAATTAAGATAAGAAATGAAGTTAGTATAAGTTGGTAGTTTCAGGTGATTTCTGTTTATTGAATTTCTACAAATAACCAAATTACAATTAGATCTCAGCAGACGTGACTGGAATATTGGCGGGAAAATATCTTGTCAGTGCGATAACGAACGTAATATCAATATTTCTAGCAATTTCTGACAGTTTGTCGAGAATGTGCATTATTGCTTCAGATTCCTTGATTCCTTGAGTCTCTTTGCAGACTAATAGGGAAATTTCAGGAAAAAAAATTCGACTAATGAAAATGTCATTTGCTTTCTTTTTTTTCATTACTTTTGTTCCTCTGCTTCGCATTTCTTTTGGGTTTTGTTTCATATAACAGAAAAACAATTTTTTTGTTTTCATTTGTTCTTATTTAGACCAACTGTCTTACAAGGGGCTCTGTTTGTTTGGAGAAGGCAATGTAATAAAACTAATTTTATGCCCTTTATTCTAAACCTTATTTTCGTAAAACGCATTAATTTTCAATTTCCCCTAAAGACATATTCGTATGATTAAGGTGTGATTTAAAAATTATTTTAGAAGTTAACTAGATATATTCATGTTTTCTTTATGAATCTTGAGAATACGCATATGGTTTTTTCCGTTGTAACATTGTGTTCCATTTTATCATTTTTTCGATTGCGAAAATAGACAGCACGAAAGAAAACGGTCCCGTTTTATTTAAAAAAAATGGTTTTCTCAATGTAAAATTCCACATTTACGACAAATTTTGAATTTTGAGAAACAGGGTCCCTTTCTCATTTGTTCCATTGCTGAAATGAATCTTATAATGAGAATCGGAATTTGAATTTGTCCGGAAAAATTGAAATTTATTTACTGAGAATGCTCTGTAAATTTACGGACTAAAATTAAGTGAGATAACGTTACTTTCTTTCTTTTTCATATCAATTTCGTATTTCGTTTTTAATATTGAAAAATAAGCGTTTTAATAAATAGTTCTTTCATATTTCGATGTTGCTATTTCTTTTATTGACACGAATCTTATTTGTTTTTGATTGTTGTAGAATTTCTTAAACGTAGTAATTTATTTTTAATGACGAATTTTGTATAAAGAAATTCTCCTATAAGAGGAATTGAGATAAAATTTTGGATCAAAACAGACGTTTATACAATTCTAAACGAATAATAGTTTTTCGTTTGTAAGTACAAATTACGCTTAAATAAAAAGTCGAATATTTGAAGAAAAAAAAGTTCTAGGAAGAATAATGCGTAGAATCACTACAACCAATCAGTAACAACGTTACAACGTCTAAACCAATGATACGCTGCGTTATGAATTTTCCCGCCATTTCTTGATGGCTGGCTTCACATTTTTACTTTAGATATTTTGTTATAGCCTACGTTTAATTAATTGACAATAATGTTTAAATAACATCACCATATAACGAAATCGGTCTGAAGACAATCATTATTAATGGATTCCTTTGTTTACAGTAAAATGAAATAAAGAAAGCGCTTCCGTAATTTGAGTTAAAGATACCTTTTCAAATTTCTATTCGGGAACAAATTAATACCTTTTCAATCATATAACTTTATAGTTTCGTTATGTATTTGTTATAATTTCGAATTCATGTTAAAAAGCCTATAATAATTATCATATTATCATTAGACATATTACTAGTTATGTAAAATTATTGTCAAATGCAGACCTTTTTCTATTAATTATTTTCAAATATACCGAAGATAGATTTTAAACTATTAAAAATATAATTGTATTATAAATATATTTTAAATTTGTAAGTGATATATATTATCGCGAATCATACATAGATATATCGTTTTGTAAAGCGGATCGTGGAGACGTTTACCAAATAATAGCCTCTCTGGATATAAAGATTTGCCAATTCTAAAATTATGCGTATATCTAAAGTGAAGTTTCTTTTATTAACACTACTGCACGGTTAGCCCTGGATCCCGGATACCTTAATTTTCGCCTTTTTTGCAGAATAACGCACATTTTTCAATTTGAACATATACTAAAATGACAAGTCGCTTATTTGCAGACAGCGAATAGCAATAATTCGCAAAAGTCACTGTTATATATTTTTTATAAAATCATATTATAAAAATCGGCCAATAAAATATCGAAAATGAAATGGATATATATTTTCGTATTCATTAAAAAGACAAGAAGGACTTAAATAATGAATCATAATTTACAAAATAATACAGAAAATATCTCAAATTGGAATTCAGGAAGTGCGTTAATTCTATTTTATGTCTTGCTCGCATTATAGTTTCTAGATAGAAGAGAGGTACCGTTTTATTCATATTTTTAAGTAAATTTTTCCATTAACTAAAGGTTCAATTATTGTGTTAAAGCAAATTTTTCAAAAGATTATTTTTTAATAAAAAATGTATCTTAGTGGCGCAAATTCCAAGAAAATATAGTCAAATTGAAAAATACTATTTGACAGAGTGCTTGCAGGATTCTTAGAAATATTAATTATTAAGGTAAATATCAATGAAAATTACAGATTATGTTCGGAGGGAGCACATATGCAAGTTCTGAAATCCACATAATACATTTCTATTTGAATTCAAACTAACGACTTATTCTTATTCTTCGAAACAGTATTAAAATAATTTGAAAATATTTATAAGTATACTATTTATCAAAAATTCCAAAGTTTTCACCGTTGAAAGTTGCTTGGTGAAAAGATATCTCAGATCGAATACAAACTGGAATGAAATTAGCTAATTAGCACGAGGTTTCAATCTAAAACAAAATAAAATTGATTTAAAGAAATTGTTTGACATTAAAGTAATTTCTAATGAAAGTGAAGAGTTTTTGATGATAAAATCTCATCCTAATTCAAGACAAGTTGATTAGACACAATAGAATTGTCAGCCTGATATGAAAATTGGTTTGTTTGGTAGAAACACTAAACTAATAAACTTCTTAATAAATACAATTTATTTACTTAATTATTACATGATGGACGTGAAATACACGTGCTTACCTGTTGAATCGCCCAAACCACGGGTTGTAGAACTTGCAACTTCCATTCCATATAACCCCGAATAATCTCCCAATTTTCTTTTAGAATCTAAATCATCAGCGCCGATTCTGTGATCCTCACTCATTTTCCTTCCAATCTTCAGGTAAAATTCGATGCTAAACTTGTGATTGCCGAAAAAATATGGACTGTCTAATGAAATTTAGTTTGGTGATCATTTTATATTGGAGTTATTGTAATGGAACATGGCAGTTTCTTCAACCAATCAGAGGCCGCGTTCTACCCCAGTATGTGATCCAGCATTAAATACGTCATTTGATTGGTCCAGCTTTGGAACCTTTCATGCCATCAAGAATAGAGGCGGTGCCTATTTAATCTAAAGAACTCGAGGAATTCCCCTGGTAACAGAAGACAATCTTGAGACAAATGGAATGAAAAGAGGAATCGTAGCGAAGTAAATGGGCTCTAATTATGGGAATAATTAGGGAACCATCTCTACCAAATGTCGCAAAATTTCTCACTTTTCGTTCGTCTTTTTTTCTTTTGAAAACTTGGCTGTAGGGTAAAGATCTTGGTTTCCAGACAAGTATAATCCTCATATCTTAAAACATCAGTCTGTATTATTATTATTGTCAATAATTAAAACATCGAATGATGGTAGGGGTTTGTTTGGACTCAAAGGGGTTTAGTTTCGAGATGATAAAAATCTAAATTCCCGATTCTATTCCTGATTATCAGTAGAAATTACAGGTTTTAGGAATTCATTGGAAAATTATTTTCAATGCGAAATAACTGTTTTTAGAACCAGTAATTTAACATTTGGTCTGTTATAGAATATTTTGTGAAAAGACGAAATAATTTTTGAGAAATTAAGAAATTTTGTACTTGGATTTTTTAAAATTTTAGTAGAAGGAGAAAGAATATTTTTGATTCAAATTTATAATTTATGACATTAAATCTTATAATACATGTACTTTAAATAATGCATTTAGAAATCTATAAGAAATGCATTAGGCTTGAACTATGCTAAAATTCAATAAAAAAAAAATAAATACTTATACACAATTTTCCTTTTTAAAATATTAGTTATATATAGTTATCGTTAATTCGCACTATGAAATTATTTATTTTTTTTTACTTACAACAGAAAAATGAATCATGCAATGACTAATTATTTACAGAATGGACGTATTAAAAAAAAAAATCTACGAGTAAAATTTGAAAATCTCAAATATCATATGCATATTCAAATTTAGAACCTGTACTTCTTTTCTTAAAAGTGCAATTGTTCTGAAATAGGCTATGGTTCGTATTTTGTTTTATTCTCAGAAGTAAAATACAATCGTTTTATGATAACAATAGGCTAGCAATTAATCGCCGCTATCACTTCTATGGTACATTTCAAACGTACTTTCCTTTGAAAAATTCGTTAACTATTTTGAGTCAATTCAGAGAGTAGTCAAATTTTAAATTCAATTTTACAAATTAATGATGAAACCTTTTTGAAATTCTGAGTTAATAACAGACTAAAGAAATAATATTATGTGGTGGTAAAATTGAGGTTTTGGGGACAGAATGCTCCGTCGTCCAAGATTATATAAATATTACTAATATTTCATATCATTTTCAAACATCAAACAAATAACCCGACACATTCCACCACAAGGACGACAACTCGATTAAATTTTAATCAGTATTGAACAAAAGAAAACCTGGCGGAGATCATCGGATATTAATTAGATTACATATTAAACATCATTATTACATGGCTCTCTAGAAATAGAAACTCGAAAATTAAGCAGATGGTAAGCAGACGACAGTTGGTCAGCATGGTCGCAATTTTACCTGTGACGTTTCAAGAGTGTGAAGGAAAGTTTCGAGTGTTTTGATTGTAATTTAGACAAATCGTAAGAAGAAAAGAAGAATTGTTGAAATAACAAAGTCGTTACGTTTTCAATTCAATTTTATTAACTGATCTAAACGACTATTGATTGAAACCATGACGTCATGGGTGGTTACCTTTAGGCCTACTGCACGTGCCGTGATGAGGGGAGGTAATCAAGCTAATCGGTGTCTATTTTATTGTAATTATTTTGTTGGGATATCATTGACAAGTGATAACTAACAGATTGTTAATGATGACATAGCTTACGGAGTAGGCTACGTAAAAAATTGTTAAGAGATAGTCTAAGTTTAGTTTCCCAATTAAGATAGGCCTAATGGTTTGTGAAAGTGCAGATCCAATCCCTGGTGATGGCGTAAGTTATGAATTATAGGCTTACCCTATAAAAGCTTCCTTTAGTACGGATCCGATGCGGCTCCCGTCCGGGTGCGGACACCGCACACGGCAATTTGTGTTTCCTTATATGCGGTTATTCATGCGGAAGTGGTCTCTTTTCGACATCATGGCACCGGTATTGTCAAGGTTCTTACAAGAAGAAAAAAACATTGATAACGTGTCGTAGAAAGAGCAAACTTTGGACTTCCCCTACCATATTTTTAGCTTTTTGCCAGCTGCCCAAACTGTGTTTCCATATGTGCGTTTCAAGACACGGTTCTGCATACGGTTCCGTACCAATCGCTAAATTGTCGAAAAACCTTACCGGATGCCGCATACAGACCCGTATCTGCACCCGTATATAAGGAAACACTCTTACTTATTTTAATGAAAGTGATCCGGATCCGTACTAAAGGAAACGCAGCTTAATAACGCAAAATTTTGCTATAACATTGACATCGATATCAGTCGATGAAATCTTATTTTAGCATTTCCAAGCAGTTTCAGATGAAGAAACAGTAGATTGGCTTTAGTAGTCATTATTTTTGTGAAATGTGATTGTTGAACAAAGGTTCATCTGAAAATATTAAGACGCTTAACTCAGTTATTATTATCCTTCAAATGAATGATATGAGGGATTGACTGAGGTCTACTCTTATTTAGAGTTTGGACTAAAAAAAATGAAGGGTGTTAGGCTATTGATTTGTTCATTAGGATTTCTTATTCATCTCGTCTCATCCCAAATCGAGGAATATTGTCACGTGATAAACTAATTATTACATCATAACAATCATCTTAATTACCCCCCTTTCATATAGTGACGTCACATCAAACAGGATATTAAAGGTCAAAGTAATTGACCGCGATGAATTGATGATTGTGATTGGTTAAAAGGTCAACAGTTGAATGTCGGGTAATATTAAGGCACAGTAGGGGGCGCGTGTATGTTTACAATGGCGTCTTTATCACACCCGTTCTGTGTCTTGACGAACTGTCTTTCAGTCAAATTGAGTCATTAAAACCATTCAATTGATATTTCGTGAAAGAATTCGAGTAGCATCTGGGTACCAAAGCTATAATTGTGTAGCTATTAACAACAATAATAATATTCCACTAACAGGAACAATGTACGTGTTCAAGCACGAGAGAATGTTGCATGTTTCGTAGAGTTAACATGTTGCTCTTATGATTGAAGTGCTTTCTAAAGTTTGAGATATAAAAAGGAGTTGAGTTTGTTAGCCATTTTCATCTTCCATTAATTCCTTTCTGAAAGACCAAATGAAAATGTAAAATGAAACGTAAAACATTCTTAGGATTAATCATTTTTTTATTGGGATACTTGGTTCGAAATGTGCAAAAAAAAACTTTTTTAAATATCAATAATGGTGCAATTGTCCGTGATGGATGCCGAATTGTCAAAACCAGTCATAGTGGCAAAAAGGTGTTCCAAAAGGATGAAAATGATCCATTCTGCTAACAACATCGGCCAAGATCGTCACATTAACTGTTGCTTTGGAGCTTAATTTGAAAGATAAATATGTTTTTGAGTTGTGTTGTAGGAAAAAGAATAATAATTATTACTAATCTATAACTCCGACGTGATATTTCATCATTTCCTCTTTACATAATGACGCCATTTTCGCAGCCAGTTGAGATAATCCAATCACATTCCGTCTAAAGAAAATAAATCAACGTTTATTCACAGTTTTATTCAATTCATCTGTTAGCTTATTCAATTTATTAAAAATTACTCACAATTCATCAGTATTACCATGCCCTAATATGGGTAATAAAACCATATTAGGTAAATGTCCAGGAGTTATCGGTCTTTATTCGCCAGTTACCTCATTAATTTCGACGTCTGTTTAGTAAGAGATTAAAGCGTATTCAGGGATTTGCACTCCTATTTTAATTTTTTATGGTAACATTGGTGAATTTCAAAGATTTTCTAAATCTCATAAAGTCAATTTCGATTTTCTTTAGTTTCTTAAAAACCTAAAGACATCGTGCTGCTCACCCCAGAGGCCATATTGAAAATTGACGATAGAAGAGCCGAGATCGAGATATCCAGTATTTGCAGAGCAGGCTACTTGATATTTAATAACTGTAAATATTGAAAATATTGAGGTTAATAATTATTTTTCCCTTGGGATACACATCAAATCAAGAACCTTATGTCAAGATTTCCAAGAAATATTTGGTTATAATCTTTACTTTTCCGCTACATGAATCAGTTCACTGACATAGTGGCATAATTATCTCAATTCTTAATTGTCAAAATGGAACAAGACTTGCGCCCAGTAACATAGTGGTAACCAGGCACAGATACATTCAATGATATAATTTTGCAAAACCAAGACTTAAATCCATTCAAAATTAGAAACCAGAGATTCAAAAGAATGTGCGAAAACAAGAGTTACGGCCCTTGAGTTGATAGAAACAAGAGTTATTGCCCTTGGGTGATAGAACAAGAGTTGCGGTTCTTCAGGTAATGGAAACTGTCTAATGATATTGAAGACTTTGATTGAAATCTGTGATTGTTTATAAAACTAGTTATAGACGAAAATATCTTTATTTTAGATTCTGTCTCAAGGAGCTCCTTCTTTATCATGGTAAATAACATTCTAGTTTAAATCATTAGATAGCGGAGTATAAATAAAATCTTCTAGCCTTAGACAGCTAGTGTTCCTGTTTTAGTGAATTTGACCAATCGATGTAATCTAAATATATGGAATAAAGGTATCACTTAAATATAATATTAGATATCTTGTTTTAGTTTTAAACTTGCAATAAAACGCGTGTTTACAAGTTCTTAATATATATAGGCAAAACTTGAAATCATACCTTACTTGAAATTCTTGCTTATACTTAAATGGTTTTGTGTCCCATCAAGTAAAATATACCTGCCACTTCTTAAATGAGAAATTACAGGGAAAGTAAAAATTCCAAAGTGAAAATGTCACAGACTTGTTAAATCTAAAGAATCGTTAAATCAGGTGAAATAAGGTTCATTTTAAACTAAAACAATTAGAGTGTAGTGATAGGCCAATAATTTTTACAGATTACTCCGCTAATGCTGAATAATAGGTCGATTAGGAAGATTACCGCCGCCGGCTGAATGGAATAATTTACAGGCTAGAAAAGGAGAAAATGTGTTTAAATAAATTTAGGGTAGAAATTGAAACTATAGTATAGTTCAGATTGAAGGATTGTTCACTCGGAATCAATTTAAAGTTTTGAATACGAGGTAATCAGAAGAAATCTTCTGTCAATTTGAGGTCGCAACGGCAGAAAATTGCTGGTTGATTGAGTCACGTGGTAATTAAAATGTTAAATCAGGGGAGGTAAGTATGTAATGAAGGGAGATAATCGTGTCATGTCTTGAGTAGAGTGATTATCAAATATTTGAATCTGTAATAAGCTCGTTATAAATACCAGGTATTTGAACTTTCACCTATGAAAAGATTGGTCAACTCAGTGGCTATATATTTGTCGGCAAAAAAGACGTTTGCATTGTCTTCCCATTTGTAGAAAATAACTTTCCTTTGTGTTATTCAGATTACTCTCTCGATTCTATGATTTCAGGAGAAACCCTGACGAGATTCAGACACCACTAACGCATTTAGCGATTCCATCAAAAAATATAGTTTTTAGAGCGTTTACAAGCAAATGTTGACAGACGGACGGACGGACGGACGGGGTTTTTACAATATACGCCCATCTTACGTGTGGGCGTATAAAAATGATCATTGAATAATGATATAAAATAAATGATCATTAAATTTAAAAAAAAATGACCATGAAAAAAAATGATCATTAAATAAAAAATTAAATAAATGAACGTTGAATAAAAATAAATGATCATTAAATAAATATATATATATAAAGTTTAAAGAAAATCAAAGAAATCATATCTAATACATTGTGTAAATAGAAATGTACTTGTTCAACCAGGGATATATATTTTACACTCGAACTACCTGTCATCACTTGTATTAAATAGATGGTTGTCAGGTTTACGAGGAGATTATCATCATGGATTAAAATAAAAACCGATACAATCTTTTCTAATTATTTTTTTATTAATTACTATGAGGAAGTCGATGATTATCTCTGTTAAAGGGACTCTTTGCGGGGTCATTTCCTCCCTTTAACAATCACGTTCTTGATTAATAAACTTGCATATTCGGCCGAGTAAAAAAGAAATTGATGGGATTTTTTTTCCATTATCATCTGGCAATGCAAAGAAGAAAAAAAGTTATCAGATGCATGAAGAATGTTTGATATATAATAGCTAATGTCAGCTCAATAGCTCATACAATTATTCGTGTACACCTGACGTATGATTGTTTAAAGCGATATGGTTTTGTTTTGACCAACTTATGTTGAACTTTCTAGATATTGTTTATATTTATATATTTGTTTGTTTATTCCACTTTAGATCATAGATTAAAGAAGTTTTTCTATTATCATTTTATTTATCGATTCATTCATATAGTAATTTAGGGGGTCTGTTTTCAATTGTTTTTTCTTATCAATAAATTGATATTTTTGGAGGAATTGTGTCTCTAAGCAAGTTTTTTCCCGAGAAACATGCTAAATTATTGATATGTTATTATCTCCTTTTATAGGGAAGTAGCAAATAGAATGATGAAATCTAGCTTCACTCCACGCGCATCATTTTAAACTGGTTTTTATAAATGTTGTAAGGTGTCTGTAAAATGCCAAATGTACCGAATGCTTTTAACTGTTTAACAACCGTTTTGCATTTAATTTTCAAATGAATTGTAGAAGAAACTACACTGTCTCTTTCGTTATAGTCCTATCGCCAACGATTATACGATGATATAGAATGCATAAAGGAACAGAAAATACAAAATCAAATATATATATTTACATTTGTACTCGATTTTTGTAGGAAATTTGAATACCATTTACATATAGACATGTAAGAAAGATAGCATTCTATAATCATATGTGATATTTGTATGTCAAATTATGAATTATTAACCAACTACTAACGATCCGAACAGCAGAACGTAACCCTAAATTCAAAACAACATATTGGCGAAACATAGGTAGCAGCTCATGATCTTGTCACAGCAACGTCATGGGGCATTTCACACCAACCATTCAAAAGTGATTCTGAGAGAAACTTGCCCGAGGTAAGGTAATAAAGTAAACCAGGTAGAAAGTGAAAACAATCCATCAATTTAAATACCTGGCTGTCACCACATCTACCTTGAATAACTCGCTGGCAGGTTCATCAACGTGTTACACTCTCCTGGATCAAGCCATACTGAACATAGACCAGTAAGGGAGCTTTTATGAGGCAACTGACCCAGTGAAAATAATCAGGATTACAGCACACAGGGCAGTGGAGGTGGGCAAAGGTAAGCATAAAAATGATTTCAATTTATTTTATAGCAAAACTGATACTTTCTTTGATGGTTCAAATACTTATCAGATTGTTCATGTTCAATCATAGCGCAGTGATTTGCACGAACTTCAAGTTCATCTAAGAAATAGATGTAGCCTTGTTAATTACGCCTATTGGATAACCACTTCTTGACAAAGTGAACGAAAATGTAGAAGAGCTTTTGCTATAGATATACCAGTAATTCTTTTATGGTGAACTATTGTTTTAATCCTTTTTAAACTTTGCAATGACCAGAACATGACTGACTAGCTAGGTGGGTCACTGTAATAAACATACATACTGTGAGTATTTTTCCAACCAATTTCTCAACAGTTTCTACTGCATTTTTCTGTATTATAGTCTTCAGATGGCAATATTTAAGGTACATGTATAAGGAATATATCACCACACTACTGTGCCATATATATGTTCCCTCTATATCCGTGTCAAAACTCAATTTGAACCATTTTTATGTCATCAAATTATACAATAAAAATGAAGGAAGGTAATAATAAAGTTTCATTATCAGTGTTAAAATAATACTTTACAATAGACGACTCAAACTGTTGTCACTAAAAGTGTAAATTTAATTATTTGTTTCATTGAAAACAACCATATTGTGTCAACAGTCTATTACAGATGTAGTTTGACTAGGGAGAGTTTGATATGCCAAAAAACCTTCGAAACAGAACAGTCTTTCAGAACAGCCTGTATACATCTAGCCCTCCTCGCCCACCACAGCTTTTTAGGGACAATACTTGTATTAAACGTTGTTCGTGTGAATTTGCTTTGCTATTTATCAATTTGATTAGCATGCTACTAACTTTGGTAATAGTTTTTTTTCCGGAATAGGTCTTCCATGTAAGATCCGAACGACATATAGAAGCGAGGAGCACATAAAACAAAACACAAGACAATATTATGGAATATATTCCATAATATTGTCTTGTGTTTTGTTATAGGTCTCCCATAGAATAACAATCGCATCGTGGGCTAATAATTACATCGTTATAACAGTCACCGTTTGGCCAAACAAACCCACCGTTATTTTTTGACAATAATACCTACCCTTATGTTTGATTTAACCACATTGTATTTTAACTTGTTGAAATCGAAAGGTTGTTTTCGGAACGGGAAAGTCATGATAAAGGTGTTATATTAAAAAAAGGAAATAGTAAGTAAGTTATATGATTTGGTATTTAATTATGCATTTTCCTGTCATAATTGAGTAGCGAACTGAACGAGGATCAAAGGGTTTTAACGAAAGAAACAAACATTTTTAGATTGATATGGATGGTGGGGATTAAGCTACATTAACGTAAATCATTTATCTTAAAGTCCATATTTTTGTGCCAAGTGGTGTCGATCCCATAACAAAATGGACCACTATGAAGTTTGGTGTTGTAGATCTTAAATGACAGATCTCTGTCCCGAGGTCACATGTTGTATATTACGTTTTGTCAAATAATTTTGATTGAGGGATTTTAATCAATATTATATCAGTTAGTTTAGTCGAGTCATTGGACAAGAAGAAGAATAGACAAAAGCCACGTGTTAAAGTTTGATTTGACTTAACAAATGTATGAGTTTTCGGATGCATAGCAAAATGTCATAACTTTCTGTTATGATGTTAAAAACTAAGGACGAACAATATTTTAGATACCTTTTTCGAATTTGAAGGTACACTTTCTTCATGAGAAATTTTTAGATATTTACTGTAATAAAAAGTCATTATTATATTCATGTACCTCCATTTAACTGTGGTGTTATTTATATACGTGATAAAACGAGAAAACATTACCCTCTAATTTGTCATAAATGTTGTCATTGAAAATTAAAACATATGGAAAGGTTCTCATTACTTCGCCAATCACATAAAACAAACTAAAATAATTAACTATACGACAACATCTTATTATTAACCGCGCACCTACCATGTTTTTTATTACCAGTTCCAGCTAGTGGGCCTACGAGAATTTCATTACTAATGAACGAGTAAATTAAAAGTGTGGTCGATGGATTTCTTCTTTATCTTTAATATTATTCTCTGGGAGCCAACATACTACCAAGTTCAGTTCGGTTCTGTTCGGTTACATGGACTAGTATCTCTGTTTTACTAATATGCAAAAACTCACAAAACAGAGAAACATGACAACACATAATTTACTTATTTCGTAATCACTTATTACTTCAATCAAACAATTGTTCTATTTTGTCATTACAGAAAAAAGGAACTATCCACGATGTTTGTATATAGTCTGTTATTTATTGGTTTAATTCAATATGCCACAGCACATGAGGGCCACCACAACCCTGCCCCCACAGGACAACCTGGAGCACCTAACAGTTTCCACGATTCTAATATGGTTCACAATGAGCAGTAAGTATAAACAATTGACTAATAGGATTTTGCCTTATCCATAAAAGAAATATTGGAACACAGAATTTATTTTCAAATGCATAATCTGGAATATAACGAACCGAGAAGCTCATTCATGTAAAGGATTAAAGCTCGTTCAATAATTTCCAAATACAACTCAAGCTCATTCACCACCATCCAATCAAACTGATGTTACTTTTCAGACATATAAAGGAGCACATGCAAAATGAAGTCAATGTAAATAAGCCAATGTCTAAAGAAGAAATGGAATTCAACTACTTCCGGTAAGTAACAAACTATAATTTTGGCAGTAGCCAACACTGAGACAACCAGGGTGATGAGTTACCCCACTTATATGTTATCAATATGCTAGATAAATATCACATTCAGAATATGGAACAAACTGGCAATTGGCCATGGAAATACTATATCAATTAAACTGAGACTTTTGTTTGGGTGTCCTATCTTTTGGGGGTTGGAAATAACTACAATGCTCTGACAAATAATGCACCGTTAATTCGTCACACATATCTTTCAGTTTACACGATACAAGTAAGGACAACAGACTGGATGGGTTAGAAATTTTAGCTGCGCTTTCCCACATGATGCCAGCCCCCGAGTTCTTGCCACAGGAGATTCAAGGCAAAACACCAGAAGAGGTCGCCGCAATGAAAGCAGCCAGAGAAAAGGAAATGTTCGACAATTACGTCCGTGAGTACATTATTTTATGTTATGTCTTCTTTAGAAACACTGATGCGATTATAAAAGGAGCATATCGTCAGCTTTTGTTTTCATGGCAATGAATCGGATACGACAAAAGTGTCATATTTGACTGTATACCTCCTTAGCAAAGAATATGACTTTATTCCTTGTCCTGGTAACTAACGTCGCTGAAGTGACTCGCTTACTACTTGGCTATAAGTTTTTCAGTATCGGCATAACAAATTTTTCTTCCAGAGATAATTGATAAAGTTTTACAAGAAGACGACAGGGATCAAGATGGTTACCTCAGTTATGCTGAATTCCAAATGGCGCGAAGACGTGATGAACAACGAATGCAAGAGGCTCAAGCACAGATGACACCAGAACAACTGCAACAACAAAAGGCCATGGTAGAACAATATCAACAGCAAATGGCTGCACAACATCAACAGTACCAGTATCAGCAACAGCAGGCCTATCAACAACAACAACAAGCTGCACAACAGCAACAACAACAACAACAGCCGGTTGTCAACATGAATCAAAAGCATTAGACATTTTAACTCAACAAACACTGGTGATGGTATCGAGGTCAAAAACACGAGTTTTTGAAGATGTCTTCTTTGGGTGAAAGCAGTAAAGCTTACTATAAGTAATAACTCTAAGGGAACTAACACACCATTGTCTAAAAACTCAATGAAATAATTCTCATATATATAGACCCTACAGGGGGAGTTGGTAACAGGTCGGTAACTTGGGTAGCACGGGGGCGGTGCTGGAACTATATTCGCCCCCCCCCCCTCTTCAAAATTCGATCAAATTCTCAACGGAAGTTGAAATTTGTCTCTATCAGCTATTGCCCCCCCCCTCGCGCCATCCCCTACTTATGCAATATAGGGGTTGGTTATGGACCAGGTCGGTAATGGATTTGGCGATTTGAATTAAAGTTCATTTTGTAAATACTGTCATCATTGTAATAAACCATATTATCGTACCTTAAAATAAATTATATAAATATTAATTATTTTTTTTCTTAAATAAAAGACCAACGTTTATCTCGATTACTTTTTGTCTCTTGATTTTTATAGTCTGTAGGTCTACTAAGACTTGATTTTTTGAAAGTGTTAGGCTTTTGTCTGAATAAATTTATATGGACATAAATCTGATAAAAGGGCACTACTTTGTAGTTTTATTACAGACTACAACATAGATTGAAGGCATCTTATCATTCTTGCAGCCATGGACAGAGTGTTGACGACGAAGTTTAAATAACATGTAAGCATTAACAGAAGGGAGGCAATCCAGAACATTTCAATGAGGAACATCAATAGCTACTGCTCTCATACAAAGTAATGAAATCAAAGCGTTTCCCAATTTTATTTCTTAAAGAAAATAAACGAATTAAAAAATTTCCTAAAATTCAACAAGCAAAAAAACATTTAAACCTAAACCCCATTACCATCAACTGCACATATAGACCTGTGGCGGGAAATCGTGGCTCCACCTTACGGATTCTGAAGGCATCACAATTCCACCAAGATCAGATAACTCTTGTTCTATGCCTTTAATGAATAACCGGACATTCGGACATTGTCCAATATTCAGAGCAATAAGTTCTGGACAATCTAAGTCCAGTCTATGAATATCTCTACATCCAAACATATTCAGGAATTTCAAAGGCGGTGCCTCTATTGAAATCTGTTTAATATTTTTACATTTTTCTAGATTTAAATTTGAAATATTAGGACAACCATTAAGCGCCATTTGTAAGACGTAATCTGACACGTGACATCTATAAAGAACGACTGTACGTGCTAATGGCGTACTGACTGACAGAAGATTTAGCTTACAGTCAAATAACCGTAGAAATCCGATGGATCCTAATGCCTGGATGATACACGAGTCCAACAACAATTGATCGTCACTACACAGATTTAGCTCTATGGAGTCCACACTAACACATTGTACTGTCATTGTCTTCAACGCAGGCATTCCGACCATAGCCACCTTACAAAGGTGGTTAGCCGTAATGTAGACATGATTTAACGTAATGATATCCGTCTCCGATTCAGTATGAAATAGACGTAGAGTCGGACTGCGTATATGGAGAGCTTCACAAGAAAAATCGCCTAAAAGACAAAGTTCCTGTAAATTTGGAATAATCAACTCGTCCAATAACAGGCTGTCCTGAGATACACAGCCTAATTTTAAACTCATTAGCGTGGAATTCATCTTCAACAGATCTCTAAAACTCGTCAGTTCCAATTCCTCACAATTTGACATTTCCAACATGGACAATTTCTTACTTCTAATGCCGACCGTGCGTAGGATATTACTACCGTTGACAACAGCTCGCCGTAACTTGGGAGCGTAGATTTCTAAATGCTCCATCGACTCCATTCCACCGTCTATTGTGAGGTTTCTTAAGTCCGTACCATCAATACTAACAAACAGCACATTCCATAGATTATATAAACACACTTTCTGTAGGGAATCAGACACCAGTCGAATTCCATGAAGATTCTGAAAAATAATATATTTTGAGTCAGTTAAAACTATATACATAAAACGGATAGGAAACCTCTTTACAATCTCTCTAACAGCTAGTGTACAGATAAGAACGGAAGTCTGAAAATCAGACTAATGTAAATTCAACCTCGATCAACTTTTAATTAACACAACAGCCTACTGTTGAATAGTAACATGTTACTTTGCAACCACTCTAATCTCTATGTTCAGAACAGTGGCGGTGTCAGCCTCCCGAAACTGTACAAATAGGTGGCGAACTGGAACAAACTATCGAGCCTGAATTCAAAATGCGGCGACTCTGTTGAGGCGTCATAGACGGAAGCCTCTCATGGACATGTCTGACAGGGGGTATCCCAAGAAAATTTTCGAAAAATTAAACTGATTTGGTGCATTCTGGCGCATAATTTGGTTCCAAAACGTAAAAAAAATGATATTGTTCAATTTGTTAAAGTGGGGGTACAATCGGGGGTGCAAACCAAGCACACCCCCCTCCCCTGTGCCACCACTGTTTCAGAAACAAGCATTTCTATAAATCATTAAGTGGGGGGTCATGTAGGGGCCGCAGAATTGTCAAGGGAGGTAATCTGCAATCTAGTAAGGCGGTTTGTTTTAAGTGTATGGATGTATTTTTCAATAGACTGTTTCGATAATGCTATGAGTTGTTTGCAACCAAAGCTGCATGTTGTTTTTAATAAAATTAAAATAAATCTTCATGATCTGTCAAATTTTGCTTTGACTGTCTGACATTGATAATGATTTTAAGTACATGTACATGATGATGTAGTCTTCTGATAAGAGAAAAATTTATGACAGGAAGAGTAACAGGTGTCTCATTCAAATGTATGTCTCTTTCAAATATTTATTGATTTGGAATCGATGGTGGGATTTTTATCCATGTGACTCATTTTATATTACGTCAATGAAATATTTTATAGTCTTCTATTTCATATTTCTTTTATTGGGTCACCGAGTTTTATTGTTTGTTACATAAGCAATTCTTTTAGATAAGGATTGATTAGGTATAGAAAATAAACAACAAACAAACATGCAGCAAGAGGCATATGTCTTAACGTTTTAGTATAACCTTTCCATATTTGATCATATCTTAGCTTTCTCACAATAGAGAGATTCCCAATCGAAATCTCGCATAATATAACATTCTAAATCTTGGTTTTAACCTGGGGTCCAGTATCATCTGGTGGTATCTGAGAAGTCTGAAACAACTTGCAAAATGTAGCATACTGTTGTTCGATACATTATATTTGATTAAAATGGTTTTTAATATGTCTTGCTTGATCTTAAGGTTAAGTGTAGCCTATATAGAGCTTTACGAGCAACTACCGACAAATAGATGTAGATATGTGGGATTCTCGATACTGTACACGAAATCGTTTATTTTACCTTAAACGCAATTCTTTTTAAAAAAGATGTTAATATACTCGACTGATGGGCAACAATGCGTGCATTATAACTAAGTTTAGACCATGCTATTTCATCATACCACCTGCTGTTATATATAATTATACCAGGTCGATTATTACAGTGACGTCATCAATCAATAATTTTACTATCCATTACAATGAATATTTACACCTAAATTGACCTCTATGTTGTTGATCAACCACATGATGCTAAAGTACCCTGGTTTGCTGTTACTGTTATCATGTCATTGGTATGCCAGGGGGAACCGTTAGCCTATATTATGTAGTTTACATAATATCAATATTGGTTTCTAAAGTCATAGTCTAATTCTGATGAGGACAAATATGGTATTGTCCGAGTAAAATGTTGTGTAGTGCAAGTGGTGTGCTGCAGATCTTCAGCCAAAATGTTACACTCTATCAAACGCTTTATCGAAGTCACCTTTTTCAGCCTTCGCACCCCTGGAGTAATCATTTGAAACCCTCACACCCCCAAAACAATGGACATTCAAAATATTGTAAATTTTATAATCATCATCATAATCACACTTATTAATGGATACATATTTATGAGGCCGCAATAAGATGCTCAGTGGCAAGGCTGTTGCTGTTTTCTTTGAAACCAGATAATATCCGCATTACAACAATATCTACTACAACAGTTGTCCACACCCTCGACATCCAATCTCACACGCCAGGTTGAGAACCAAGGCTTAGACGCATGACGTCCACTGCGGATAATTTGCGTAAATGATCATATTTTCATAAGTATGTCTTCAATACTTAGGCAGAGTACAGATGCAAAAGAGAAGAAATTTAAAGTCCTTTAAATATCCCTGTCATTTCCTGTGTTTTGGTTAAAAAAAAATCAATACTCACCTCACAGTTGCTGATGCTTAATTTCTTCAAGTTCGTCATTTTATTTACCACGTCCCATAACTCGTCCATTTCTATTGGAACAAAATGCAAACATAACACCCCTATCATGGAAGCGAATATAGTATATCGTAGAGCTAGTACAATTCTAGCGCCTTCTCTCATAGAATCTTCACTACGCGGATCTTCTAGGGGTAACCCCGAGTTTATTTTTAGATTAACGTTCTGAAGATTTTCGAGCATTCTAAATAACGTCACTACCCCCGATGACGTAATACCCCAACAGGCGTTTAATGATACCTCACGAAGTTTTGGGAAATACTCAGCTATTTTTTCTAGGTCAGAATCTACCAGAGAAAATCCACCATTTAATTGGACGGCTTCGAGATCTTTTAAGCCTTTCAAACTTTCCACAATACAACTGTTCCATAGTATAGGCAGTCTAAGATGTTTTAAATTCACCAAGTTTTGAATGAGAGAAAATATACTTTCATATACAGGCGAATTATCTCTCCATATTAGTTTATGAACATGGTGTCCATATAGTTTTAATATTGTACTGATTAAACTATAGTGAATATGTGCGTTTGGTGTTGGGTTGACATAGAGTATGCGCCACAATGATCCAGAATACGAAAGAACACGTTTCCACTTCCGACAAACAAGACCCAGCGAAGGTAACCGATCTTCAACCGGGAGAAAATATCCAAATATTCTCACTAAAAGTTCATCTGGAAGATCTAAAATATGACATTTGCTCGCTTGATAGGAAATTCCTTCATCAAATGAAGAAAAACTGCTGTCAGAAAAAGACGCCGGATTTCTTCCACAAATATAGCCCGCCATAATATCAGACGATTTCCAAATAATTTGGAAAGGTTGTCAGCTGTATTTTCACCAACAGACGTGAATTAGAGACCATAGTAACGTAGCGTAATTCCTCTTCAACTGACTCAAAATCTTGATTAGGAAACTCATTCATAAAACGCCTACGTTGTGGTTTGTAAGGGAATTTCTTGTTGACGAAACAGTTGAGTTTGGGCTATACGTACAGGTAGTTAAAACTTGGTCAAGATTGGCGAGCGGGTCAGTCGAACAATGTCCAATGGAAATGAGTTACAGAACAGCATAAGATAACGTTTAAAAACCAAATCAGAGTGAAATATAGACCATATACACCCGTTTAGCAGGTGTTTTATACGCGGGAACATAACGTATCGCCTAAACTCACGTTATCCATATCATCACGAGGTGGAAATTATGACGTCAGAAGGTGAAACAGCTGTGAGATTTATTTGTCCTTCTGTTAAAAATCGATCAAAATTCTGTGTTTTATTGTAATAAAATGACAGTTACAGAGTTCAAAACTGTATAACTAATACAGGATGTTATTTATTATGGTGAATGGAACATGCAATAACAAATATAATGTAAATCCATTCCAAAAGCAAGCTTCTTTTTAGAATGGTATTTCTGAACGCAATGATAAGTACTTTTCACCCATATCAGTGGGCGGACACGATTACAAATTCGGATAGGTCGATAAACTTGCAGACTGTGCAAGTTAAAAATAATTCGGTTGAAAAGAGTGGGCGAATAATGCCTATTTAATCTATTAATGTCATAAATCAACAATCAAGTCTGGTTAACCGGCTGGTTTTCCGCTGAAACTTTGATTCTATTTGCAAATGTATAGCAAGTCGCTGAAACTTTGAATTCATTTGCAAATGTATAGCAAGTCGCTGAAACTTTAAATTCATTTGCAAATGTATAGCAAGTCGCTGAAACTTTAAATTCATTTGCAAATGTATAGCAAGTCGCTGAAACTTTAAATTCATTTGCAAATGTATAGCAAGTCGCTGAAACTTTAAATTCATTTGCAAATGTATAGCAAGTCGCTGAAACTTTGAATTTATTTGCAAATGTATTGCAAGTCGCTGAAACTTCAAATTTATTTGCAAATGTATAGCAAGTCGCTGAAACTTTGAATTTATTTGCAAATGTATTGCAAGAAATTTTGAAATTTATTTGCTAAATTAATGAAGGGTACCTGTAAGCACAAATAATTTGCCTTAAAAGTGATTTTAAGTATGAACACGGTCTTGATGTGGGAAGTTACTGTATATTCATTTAGTGTTGTCTGAAAGTTACCATGTATTCTGGTTAGCTCCCTTTACAAGCCTTATAGGAAAACTTTCTCATATCTTCTTTTTGGATATTTTATTTGATATGTTAGAATTGTTTTACAGTATTTAAAGGAATTTTTAATATTTTCTTCTTTCAAGTTGATGTTAAGTACTTCGATTTAAAAAAAAAACCAATTAATTAAAGTGATGTACCGTATTTGATAAGTCTTTAAGATTTTAATGTACAGCATAAATTTAGTTGTATCAAGAAGTCAAATGCATGTAGACCACCTCACTCTCATTTGCTCATAAACTTGGCTTCTCTATATAATAATACCTTGACAATTTTTGTTACAATACAATGGCCTTATTCCTTACTAAACAGTAATGACATCTGCATCAATCAATAATAATGTCTACTTTATGTGCATTCATTCTTCTGGAAAGGGGGGGTTTTCAATCATATCTACATAGCATAATACCTGAAAATAGGTCAGTTGTCTGAAGATGGCATAGCGTGAAACTCAAGTAACAAGATGATTCAAGTGCTGTTTTTATATTGCTCTATAATTGATGTATTAAAAATGTAATAAATATTCTATTATTGTAGCTTGTAGGTTATGCTCATGATCCTTTTTTAGCTGCTGCACTGCCTTTTGAAAATCTAACCATCTCTGACAAAAGAGAAAACTTTGTATTGGAATATTCAAGGGGAGACAACTATCTCAACTTTACTAAAAATCATTATGCTATGGACATCTCATCTTCATGAACTGCGACCAATACCTTGACTGCAATGCCACAGTATGAAAGTTTTTTAATACAATGATTATAATCAGATAGTACACTAGCAAACACAGACCAATCAGTGCCTTAAGTGATGAAGTTTACAGTCTTTCTGTCCAGGGCTCTGATTGGCTGTATTAGCTTGCTTACAATCCAATCAAAATTCCAATTCATTTAGTGATGCCGGAATGATAACTATTGCAATCAAGGTTATAAGACAGTTCGTAATATCTTGACATTGTGAAGATGTGCGCATCCAGTTTTTCATAAGGAGCAGAGGAATGTAACATGCTGATTTGGTTAATGAGAACACATTTTAAAAGATAATTTTTATTAACAATTTTTCAGCTGGTCAATTCTTTCCAATAAATCTTTGAACTGATCATCCAGGCTTTTACAGAGTTCATCTATTGACTGTGGTAAAGACTGGGTGATTGGGTCTTGATGATGTTGCTGAAATATAAAGATTGACAATTTAAATAAATTGGATATCAGAATATTCAAATAGCTTTAAAATTACAAAAGACAAATCCATTAAATTGTGTGCCCATAAAAATATATGTTTTCACATTTAATACCAGCTCCAACAGTTATACAACAAAGCGTTTATTATTTCAAAATTAGAAACTTTCACAACATAGAAAAGAAGTTTTTATTTCATTCCAGTACAGACCTTTATTTTTGTTATCACTCCTTTTAACATAAATTTAGCAGAAGATAAATTCTGCAATTTCTGTGTTCTATCTGGCAGTTTGTCAGCACATTGAATATACACTGAAAGAGAATAATTTTCATAATGATTTTGACTATGTTCCTTTTTGCTATGTGGCTAATATGGCGAAGTCAGTGAGAGCAATCTGTGAATTTCTCTTCTACTCTTTTGCTATTTTCAATGAGTATCATTTGTAATCTTTTGATATCCTATTATATAAATATTTACGATACTAGATTTTTAAAATCTAAATAACTCATTTCATCATTGGATGGTCGAAGCTACAATTGTTACTTATCTTTCTATTATGAACTGATAAATTAATGCTCTTTCCAGAATGGACACATATTAAAAAGAAAACATACATTTAGCCAGTTCGATAGCTTGATCAGAAACTTCTTGACATTTCTTCTCATCTTTCTCCCAGTTTGAAGTTTGTGTCACACAGCGATGTGATTTCTGTAGATATTCTAAGCCCTGAAACAATAAGGATGTTAGTAGATCAGGCAGCAACTAAACAGTACAAGTTATAAAGTATTATTTAAATTTCTACTATCACTCCCTTCAATGATCCAGTTATGAAAACTGGCATTTCTTTTTCCATAAACTGTAGTTTGTCAAGTGATACTCTAGATCGTGGTTGGATATTTCAATAAGGGCCATAGACCAAATGACAGTTGATACAGTGGAAATATTCCTCAAAGGCTTTGAAGATAAAGTGGTGCAGTTTATCTTTTAACCCATTTCAAATCTTGTTGCAACCATTATATGAACCATATATTATATAGTACGTACTCTATTCTGATATGGTTGGCAATAGCCAACACTAATAGACAAGACACAGTGTTTGGAGCAGCTTTGTTGATAAACCAAGATAATTGAAGAATCAAATCATGCGAACATCGTGGTATTCTTACCTGATCAATATTTTCAGGTTTATTGTCCAATAAAATTAATTTAGCAAATAATCTCCAGATTTCACCATTACCAGTTGTCTACAGAAAACAATCATTTAATTATAATGACATATAATATTCTCTACATAAAACATTATGAAATGCTTGAAGTTAAATTAGCAATTTTCTCTACGTTTGGTGATCTATTAAAAAGCACAACATGTATCTCAATCGACACAATTAAATGGCTAAATATAGCATGCAACACTGGGGTAGCATGTACCACTAGAAAAGCAAGCAAATGGTGAACTGTTTGAACCATAATGACTTTTTGTCAAAACTTAAATAGCAAATGATGTATGTTAGGATCCTTTTTTTCAAAAATATAATCAGTATATATTAAGACAGAAAACTTCATTTGTGTATATGCTAATATTTGTAACAGATGTCCAAATGCCAAGAGCTCATCACATGCTGCCACAAGGTGAGTGGGATGTAAAATTCTCCATTGGACAGTTGTACTGGAAAAAGGGGGTTTTACCTTCCAACATTGAGCTATAAGCTCACAAGGCCACAATTATTCTATTGTAAGTTTAAAGTGTTTCAGAAACTATAAGCATACCTGTGATGTAATTCTAGTAAACAACTGTTGTATTTTAGGTTTAAATCGTCTAACAGGCAGACCTTTAGAATCTGTTAAGTCTTCTTCAATAGCACGTACTAATATTGATAATATCTGACAATAAATGAAATAAAATGAATGAGTTTAATGTCCTTCTCTTCATGAATATAATGGAACAAACTGATTATTATCCCCCAGAACAAAATTCAATGAAATGAACTTACTAATGCTACAAGACAATTATAGCATGGCTAAAAATACCCCATAGATTTTGTAAGTTCTAATTCACTTCTAAAGACCACAATGTTAACGTTTTTTACACAACATCCCATTAGAAGAGTAGTGTGCTGTATTTATACAAGGGTTCTTTGTTAAGGGGGTGGTTGAATTGTTAGATTTCCAAATAAAATATATTTATTTCATAAATAGTAGGTACCTAAAAACATCTTATTTTCACATGAGCAATATCAACTGCTCTGTGACCTGGGCCATTGCTTTCATTGAGACTCCTCTCAATACTCCTTAATACTAATATGGAAGTAATATATACCTGTTCGTCCACCCATTTAGATTTCAAATCCAACAATCTATTATAGGCATTTACTACATCTTCAAATTCACCACAATCAACACCAATCTATCCAAATAAACAAACATAAATATCAATATTGTAATCTTTAGTTAAGGAACCAATAGTATTCTCTTATTTTATGCCATGTGACCTTGAATATGCAAAGGTTACTCGATATATTTGGGATTTCATAATGCTGAATATTTCACTATGTCAAAAAACTTGTGACAAAATACATGTATAACTGCTCATCTTACCCACCCTTCTATTCAGATAAAAATTATCACTTATCACTTACCAACAAACAGTTCTCCCACAGCTGCCATGATTCAAAATTATATTTGATTGCTTCTTTCATTGTTAAAAATGCTTTTGGTCTGAAAGGTAAAAAACTAAATATTTTACATTCTATCAAGAACATCATCTCTAATTTTCTATGTAAAAACTGGTATGTAAAATGTTTCTTGTTGTGTCAAAATGTGTTCACAGCCTAAAATTGCTACCACGCTTGTTTATTTTTATTGTTAAGGGATATCAGTATTAAATGATACGTGAAGCAACAGCCAAAGTGATCATGTATACACAATATTTTCAGAAACAAATATGCTGTTTCCTTGACTAAGATCTGTAAGATAGAAAAAGCAATCTTACTTGTCTTTCAGTTTAATATAAGCTGTTCCCAAATTATTCCATGCCTCGAAGTTCTACAAAGAAAATAACATTGTGTAGATGTAAATGAACAAAGGAAATAACAAATAAGGCTGTCATTATTCATAGGGAATTAATGATATCAAATAAGCACAGAACTGTAGGCTCAACAGAATTTAAGAGGTCCAAAAAAAAAAACCCTGAGAGAGTGTAGTGTAGAAATGAACAAGAAAAAGTCCATAAAAATATTTAAGCAAAAAGAAAGAGCTGAAAATGAAAAATCCTGAAATAAGTTTTTTAAGGATTGAGTAAAAAAAACTCTTACATCACTATCTATATTAACACAGCGTTTAAACGCTTTCACTGCTTTTTCATACTGGTCTGTTGTCAAGGCAACACATCCATATGTAAACCACACAGGAATCTGAAATTTTCAATTCAAAATAACTTCCAGTTTATTTTTATAATTCTGTAGAAGATATGTGTATTTCTGAGAATGATTTATTCCCAAAACAATTGACTATTAGCACTGTTAAAATCAAATTTCATACTTCTGCAGTTTATGTAAATTTTTACTTTTTTGGGCAGCTAAAACAAGAAGGCTTATAGAAATAAAGAATAAACTTATATTTTCCTTCATTCTCTCAACTTACTGACTGAACAGAAAACAATAACATTGCATTCTCACTGAATATTCTTGGGCCCATTTTAATTACCATGACGTATGATGATGTAAAATCTTTCATTTAGAATACTTAAAAAAGGGGAATGGACCCTAGTGATTTATAGAGAGAGTCAAAAGAAAAGAGGCATTAACACTGAATAACAGCATAAATAAGGAAATAGAACATGGTAGGCACTGCTATCTAAAGACAATCTTACCTGAAGTGAATTTATTTCTAAAGATTTCTCAAAACATCTCAAAGCGGCTTTGTTATCTTTTTTACCAAAATACAAATACCCCATACATCTCATAGCTCTAGAACTTCTCTCATTGGATAATTCCCAGGCCTTCTGATAGTGGTTCATATCATGTGTAACGTCACCAAGGAAACAGTACAGATTAGGTGTTTCTTTTTTCTTTAACTGTTCTCGAATTATCACTTCTGCCTAAAAATTTAGGACAAAAAAAAGGAATGATTTAGTATTCCAGTAATTTGATCATCAATCCTTAAAATTGATTACAAATTTAGTTATTATTGTCGCTTCTGCCTGAAAAAAAACAGGGGCCTCATATTCTCAAAAATTCAACGTGTTACTGAGATATAAAGTCCAGGAATACCAGACATTTTTGATATATTTGTAATATATTGACATGGAAAACCGAGACTATTGAAATTATTGTATGCTATATATATATCTTTTCTACAGCACGAGCAGGCATTTGGCAGCCATCTTACCTACTTACAATATTGCAGCATTGAAGTGACTTTGCAGGTTATGGGTTTATTTGTTATATGCAATTTTCAATTTATTCAGTGATGTACTCAGAAATAGGAGGACTCACTCAAGAAAAGAAAACTTTCTAAGCACAAGATGCATGGGAGACTATTTTTGGTATTGCCAAGCATTGAACGTTGTAGTAATACATCTGTTTGTCATCCAACCATCAATCTAATAGGCAAATATTTCAGAAATTTATTACATGCAGTCTCTAACACGCTCTGACTCTGTTTGGAGTTGCCTAGAAATAGTAAGGGACATACCTGATCTGTTTTTTTCATGATCTGATAACAAGTTATAGCCTCATCCCACATCTCTAATGATTCATATAAATCTTTAGCAGCACTGATACATCCTAGAGACAGGAGCATTGTCCCTAATTCTTTCTAAAATAACAAACATTGAATCTATGTTCATAACAGTTCTAGGAACCACAGACAGTAGACAAACAATTGGAATGATACAAAAAGAAGACCGTATACAGCTAGAAAACCACTTTCCAATTCCATTAATTTTAAGTATAGAACAAAAATGCATATATTATGTAGTCATATCATAGACAGTTCATTTTGTATCAAATCAAACTGATAAATCACCTTCACTTTCCACACACAGTAAACAAAAAATTGGAATGATGCAAATTAAATCCAATGGCTCTAATACAAAAAAACCCCCAAAAACTAGAAAACCTCTCTTAGATGAGAAAAACAGAATATGTGGTCATATCATAGACAGTTCATTATGTATAAAATCTATGGTAGGTATAAAACACCTAGAATTACCTTAACTTTCCACACACTAGGAGTATGACAGGAATAGAAGAGATAAGATCTGTCAATATTAGCTGGTTCAGGTTGAGTAACAATGTTTACCAATTCCTTAAATAACAACATTTACCAGTAAATTATTAATATGAAAGTCAATCATCTGAAATTCATACCACTTTCTATCATTATGGGGTTTTCAATTGAATTACTGCACAGATTCATCAAATTCCGTAAAATTTTTAATTAATTCTTGATTTTCCCATTAAAAGAGAGATTCATTTTTTTACAGATTTTATTTGGTTTTAAACTTTTATAAAAAGACTCATTCCGAATTTATTTTTGACTTTGCTTTTAGACTTCCAGAGGAGTAATATAGAAAGCCTGTCGCCTGATCATTTTAATTCATACTCTATATGAATAGAATATTGTCTAAAAATCTAAGGTATGCAATCTATAAGTATAACTAATCTAAGTAAAGCGTGAATCATTATGATTTTAAACAACAAGAAGTCTACCTCCATCTGTTTCATTGATCTTTCAACTCTTCTTGAACTTCCCTTTTCCAACTTTGACCTTAAAATTAAACAGGCCACACCCACATTCCAATTACAAAGTTGATCAAGCATACACTATAAGAAAAAAAACAACAGATTATTATATATTATTTAATATCTGGCTAAGATCTCTCTCTTTCATTTAATGGAGTTGAATAAGACCATCAAAACTTTTTGACTGCTAAAGAACACGGCATCAACCTAGAACATGTTGTTTTAAGAATTAATAACTAGCCACAGCATATAAGTATACTCTTTTTAGTTTCAGTCATCACAAACAAAAATCTAGGTACCTGAAAGGTGTCCCTGCATAGCTTTTACAATGACAGCAGTCTGTGTTCCCTATATATCAACCAAAAAAAAGTCCACTAATTACCCTGAAAACAGTTGAAACTTGAAAACTGCAAAACAGACAAGGCTTGCTGTACAATTCAGCTAAATCCTTCAATACGGCAACAATGACAGCAAGCATTAAAATTTTGTAATCATAGCAGTGGTGATCATTCTAGCCAACAATAGCATTTACTAATTGAAAGTACTATTTGTTGACTTAATTTCAAGGAACAACTTTCACTTGCTATTGTTCTTACATAAACAATACTCACCAAGATATAGGTCAAAACTTCTTCATCTGTCAACCTTTCTTGTGCTAAACTTCTTCTATGACCTTCCCTACCAAATAGCAAAAGCAAAATAATATGGTGCTGGATTCCACAACTGATCCGTATTGGCGAAAATTTAGAGTTGTCTTCCTCTGACTTGTGAATCCATAGATATTATGCAAGTCTGGCCTAGCCTAGCCTAGTCTAGCCTACAGATGATGTTTAATACCAGAATGTTGTCTATTACAAATTTTAAAACTCGAATTCTTTAAATAACATAAATTAATTTCAAGATTAAAGTTTTGCAGCATATTCCAATCATAAAATTATGTTTCTATCCATGTGATGGATAGTGCAAAAAAAAAAAATAGATTACAAAAAAGATATAAGGGATTGTGAGCAGACAAAGTCATCCAAAATGTTCCATTCTTAAGAAATTTCAGCTTATGCCATTACCAAGTACCGAGCTGACAACAATCCTCCAGCTTTCAACTGTGCTTTAAATATCTTTAGATTAATACCAGCAAATAAATCTCTTGCTAGTGCTTTAGAATATCTATAGTCAACAATTTTATAATTGTAAATATAAGAGGAAACTGTCTTTAAAACAAGAATATTTTAAGTTGTGAGAAAAGATACTTACATACACGCCAGAACCACAGCCTGATCTAAGGGAGATAATTGAACAGAATGTTTCTCCATCTCATCAGTGAAAGCTATTTTATTTAAAACAGTATCATCATCAAGACTGATATTCTGAAACAACAAGATATCTGTATATTTACTTTTTAAGCATTTTTTTCATGCAGATAACCTGTAATTGTTATACATATGCCTCCCCTATTTTTTTTAGCTCAGCATAATGTCATATTGTGTTATGCAATAAAATATACCCAATATATAATATTGACTTTTGCAGATTCTCAGAAATAGATTTTGATTTGCAATAAATTGAAAACTATATTCTTTTCTAAGGAATGAGTATTTAGTGCTAATTTACAAGTAAAACATTTCAATGTACCTTGGGTAAAGGAATGTCTTTAATGAGAGTCTGTTCATCTTGAACATTTGATCGTTTAACCTGAAGAACCAGCTGGGCTTTGTCATCTTCTTGATATCTTGTCCTTTTACCAAGAGCTCCTGAAAGTCAAAATACATTTAAAATCTCTATCATGTACGGAAAGAATCTATCATAGACAAAGTACATACCAATAAAACAAAGGACACGCGAAAATTAAATTTACTTGAGTCTGAAATCCTAAATTTCTATACCTGATTCAGTTGATTGAAGAAAAAAACACCAAGCAGTGTGCAATGAGGAAAATTTTGCCAGGACAGTGACAAACCAAACCAGCATCACTGACTGGCTCAACCTAACCAATTATAGCTGAGTGAAAATTTCACATCTCACATAATTTGAATTATGAGTGAGGATGTGTCACAGTCCGGGATCATATCTAAAGAAACTTGACACTGAAATCTTACCTGATATGTTGATATCAAGGTGTGATAAATTCTTCGCTTTCTCAAAATATTCTCTGCCTTTTTCATACTCAAAATACAAATGACAAAAATATCCTGCCTCAATATTCCATTGTATACTTGCTTCTCTATAATTCAAATATTGTGTTAAACATCAGGGGCAAGAATCAATACAAAATTGATTTATCAATCCCTGCATCTGATTGGTCAATCACTCAAATTGATTTTAAATTTAAAAAAAATGAAATGAATTGAATTTTGAGTTTTACATCCTACTTTTCTGCACCAAGTGGGCTAATCAAGACAGACATCGCCATGCAGGGTGCACTGAGGGAAATTTTGCCAGTCCAACAGCCTACTTTTTTTTGATTTGAGACTGTCAAGGAGTTTTAAACTTACACGGCGCCTCGCTTTATTGTCCCATCCGAACAACAAGTAGCTTTTTCCATGTCAAAATCTCTTAAGAAAGTGCCAAGGGTGAAAATGAATCTAAAGAACATAAGCATCAGTGGAGAAATCATCAGATATATTATATACCCAAATATACGTTAACTTGTAAGTCATATTTATAAGTTTTATTTTAAAATTTATACTTTGTGCAATTTACTTTGAAACAATGAGAGAACATTGCTCAAGGATCAATTGTGGAATTTTTCTCGTAAGATAATCTAACCCTGTACCTTACCTGAATCTGTCATCTTTAAAAAGTTCATCATTCTGATTAACTAAAAAACAGATCAAATTAAATCAAATTTTATTGTTATTCATTTTCTAAATTATCCATATATCTTGTGATAAATATTTTTAAAGAGATATTTACATCTTGATCTTTTTTTCACCAGCTGACAGGGCTCCATTGTAGAGACTGGCTTTATGTACAATTACTGCTGATATATTAACATTATCTGTTATTGCTTGTGTGAAAAATGTCCAGTAGTAACTTACTACAAGTCAGCCTTTCAATAAAACATTGTCCTAATATTGTATTGTTAAGCACAAGCCATTAAAAAAATTAAAGATGCATAAAAATAATGGACTGGATTTCAATTTTCATTCCTGACAAAATCAAAGTAACATTTTGGGCTAGATCTTAATAAAACTCACCCAAGGCAACTAGTTCTAAAATACTTTTACATAGTGTTGGAGAACGATCATCCAGTATTTCTTGTTGTATGTACAAACATCTTAATAACCACCATTTATGTGTCTGGAAAGACAAGATAAAAATAGCTTATCACTTCCAGTGCTAGTTAATTATTGTAATTTCAGGGTTAAGCTTATCATCCAAATATCGTATTAGAAGATGATGAAAATGACCATACATAATAGGAAATAAAATGATAAAAGTTACATTAATAAAACATAAGACAATTGAAATCCGATGTCAGAGCATAAACTGATGGCATATCATTCATAATCAAAGTCGTGGTAAAGCTATGTTATATCTACGAGAAATATACAGTATTGCATATTTAAAAACTTCCTATTCAAATATAAACTTTCTTCAAGGCCTAAATCGAATATTGGCCAATATCGAGTACATGTATTGGATTATTAGCATGTTCGCAAATATATCAAATAAGAATCCGCTATTAAAAGTTAGCAAAGAACTTTACCCATAATCCATGTCACATGCCCATGAATACTAGTAATGGCTGAATGAGTAGCAAACGAGTGAATTACAAATGGTAAATAATATACACATTTCATACTCATTTTACAGTTGAGTAATATGTAAGATACTGACTAAGACTGAGGACTGCATTACTCGGGCAATTTAGAATATAAAATTTGTTACAGAATATGTCTCTAATTTGCTTATTCATCCATACATTTACTAATCATTGCTGCAAAGTGAGTTGCCATCTTTGGGACTAATTTTAACACTGAACATTTCAATTAAGGCTTCATGGTTATATTACTGTTAAGTGCGTTTGATAATCTGAATTGAATAATAGACCTTATTCACCTTTCAGCCCTAGTGATTCCTGAACGAAGCTCATAATGCAAAAAAACAAAGGTAACTTCACTGCAGTAAAATCACCACCTTGACATCTTTTAAGCCTTCTTCTCTAATTCACTAACTCAAAACTAACTAACAGTGAGAATGGGCAGTTTTAAGCCCATTTTCTTGCTGTTGATCAGGTGTTTAGTGACAATAATTGATAAATGCATAAACTGTAATTATCAATAAAATCAAAAGTAATTAAATGATTGAAAGATAGCCCATTTCATGTGGGTGTATAAAAAGAGCAACAAAAATCGGATTAAATATGGCACCTGCATTAAATATTTCGGATATCATGCATTTTTCAAGATGGCCAGCAGTTAAAAATTTGCATACACGGCAAATGTAAACGATAGCCTTGTGAAGCGAGGTGACATATGCCCACCAGCAGCTTTGTTTGCAAGTACAAATTATTGTTTGTTGTTAATTCACATTAAGTTAGTGTTTAGTCTATAGAGCATTTTAAGCAAACTTTTTTTTATCGCATCATTGCCGTTTTTTATTGGCGGACGGACGACAATATGCTTCCATACCACATGTGGGCATATAAAAATCAAAAGAATCCATAAAGAATTATTGCATGAAGAGTGAGCAAAAGCACTATATAGCTAATAGAGTGAAAACACTCGACATTTCCGTGAAAAATCATCAGATCATCAGAAAAATCGATAGGGATCATCTTCATAATGACACTGACCTCAAAATAAAAATCAAAAGAATCTGTAAAGCCCAACATTAATTTTTGAACCATTTTTGGTCATTTCCCGCTTTACTGGAAATTTTCAGAAAATGCCTTTTGGAAATTTTAATTGATAATTGTCCACCCATTTACCAAATTTCATCAAAATCAATAAATACTGAAGAAGTTATCGATAAATAAGATAGGATATAGATAGGATCCATTTTGCTGTTATATAGAGAATGCCATTCTCAGGAAAGATTTAATATTGGCTTAATTTGATTTGCAGTTTGTGGTGATATATTCAAATTCCAGCTTATTAAACAAAATATAGAATCAAAATTCTTATAATCTATTATAAACTGTATGTATTTTGTGTCAATCTTTTTTTTCCTTCAGGTTCAGATTGTAGTTTATTTCTACTGACAGATTGAATTTTACTATAACTACATCATCCTCATAAAATGCGAAGCATGCAGCACTTTTAAAATGGCCCTGCCGAACCAAATCAATACACCAATACCAGTTACTAATACATCAGTTAGCATATATGTTCGGCATATTCCTCAACCAACTTTTGCTAATTCTGTTGATATTCTATGCAATGACACTACAATCATACCGGGTCTAAATGATAATCATTTTTTACCAAATCCAATATCATCTTACAGAAGAGTGTATGAACCACATGACTCAGTTTTTGATGACATCTCTATAAGTTAAATAGATTTCATGAAGGAGCTTCTAACGAAAATCAACAGGTTATGCTTTTATGCCCTTCATAAAAACTACTGGCTTTGATTTAGAAAAATGGCACATTACATGTGAGTAAGGATTATTAATTGTATTGTTATAATATGAGAGCATAGCAATAGGTTCAAGTTTGATTTTTGCATGTGCGAATATGCGAAAAATGGGACGATAAGCTTACTGATCATTAAAAGAAAACAGTTTTCTATAACAGGTATATTGACAACGTGTTCAGCATATTGACAGGAGACTTAGAACTCATAGAGTTTTCTGAATACACGAAGAATAAACACCCTAATATAAAAGTGTACTTGTGATGGAGTTTTTGGAAACCATTGTAAAATTGTTACAGTCGCATAAAAAACGAAGATTTTTGTTTTTTAAAACCTACCGATAAACGCTTGTTCTTGAGAAAGAATTCTTGTCATCCACCACATACCAAAAAGTCATTAGCCTAGATTGAAGGGAAGTTGCGACAAAGAGGAGGATTACACTAAACATTTGAAGGAAGTGAAGCTCAATTAAGAAAACGCAGAGTAAGATGAATGACAATTAAAGCATGTGGTTTGACGACCTCCTACAACGGAAACAAAAGACTGACTACAGAAATGTCTTTCCTCTGGTCTTTATGTACGAAGCTGCCAGACGTCGAGGGCATTATATTTAAAAATGTTTTTCAACTGTGATCAATAGTGTGAGATATTTAAGGAAATCCTGCTATGGACAATCACCTTTGTGACACATTTGTGCATAGCAAAACCACAAATATACTTCAAAATGAAAATGAAAAGTGTGAACTTTGTAGAATTGTTAATCCAGAGAAAGTTAAGTACACAGGTAAAAATGTATTAACAGTTGACAAACTTCCATGAAAGATTTCATAAGCAAAAGTGAAATACTATGCAAAAATCATTAATTGCCTATCATATTCATCTGCACAAAGTGAGCAACCTCCAGTTGTGAATTGAATGCTGTATTTATCAAATCAACTTGCCAAATCAAATACATTTGCTGCCATAGTTTTGTAATGAAATAAATAGTTAAACCGGTTAAACTTTTTATTCAATCAAATTTGACAGAATTGAAGGAAATTAAAGACTTGAGTTATGGTTCAAATGACACACACAAGTTAAATACATCTTGCTTCTTTCAATAATTTTATACATGTCATGTCTGCCCATGCACATCCCCTCTAAACAAATTCATGTTTTTATGTCTAAAGCATGTGTAATGGTATTGTGACCTTTGACATTCTCAAAAACTTCTGAGGTAATGTTAAAGCTGGAAACTCAAAGTAAAAATGTAAGCCAAGCTTGAAGAACAGTTGATAGTAAAGCTCCCTTAGATTTAGTCGTCAGAACGCACTATTAACCACCCATTGACCACCATTTAAAACTCATAACCTCTTTCAATAAAAACCTGTAGAGAGAGCCTAAGATAAATTAGGTAATTCGGTATATTTTTATTTCCAAAGAGCCCCATCACAACTAGAATCACAAAATTCCATGGCTGTTTAGGTTGAACAACTCAAATAGGTATTAAAATAATAAAATTAATATAGTAACACTATTTGTATCTGACAAGACTATAAACTACAATCAGGGTCAAAGTATAATAATACATAGTCTTGAATTAACTTGCATATTAGCAAAACGTATGAGATATTATGCTATCTCTCAAGTGAATGAACTTGATACGTGATATATACCATAAGTTATTTATTAGAAATATAAAGAATCGTATTGTTCATTTAAACATTTCCTTAAAAAAATAAAAGGGAGTTATTCACCTTTATTTTTCAGTTCATGGTTCAGGTTTTACACATAACATGGATGTCACAACAAAAATCCATCTATAAAATTCTACAGGTGAAACAAACGAAAGGTAAAGATTTATATTTAGTCCATATATTACATTGGACTAATATGAAACCTACTTGATAGTTTTTTTATATTGTTGTTGGAAGAAAATAATATAGTGCAGCGGCATGGCAAGCCCATTTTATGATCCAAGCAGCAAATTTGACATGTGCATGTTACTGCCATTGTTAAAATGGCGACCACATATAATATAATCTCTTTAATTGACTATATTTCTGGGTCTATGTAAGCTACAACCCTGTTCTTGTACATTTTGGAGGAAGGAATGATTCAATATACAAGTGGCTACAACAGTTACTGCCACCATGTTGAACTTTTAAGATGCAGCATAGTAAAATATACATGCTTAACCTAATATTTTGTTATTTTTGACATCAAAGCCACAAAGGAGAGTGATGTCCCAAATACATATCTTTCCAGTTTTTACTGGTAAGTCAAGTGATGTATGATAAATATGGGAAACGAATTTGAAGAACAAAGTACTGACTTGCTGGTGAATGACATGCTAACTGAGCAAACGAAAAATGAGCAGACGAAAAATGGGCAGAAAACACTTTCACTTGCAAAGAGCCAGAGCTTGCTGGAGATTCAGACTCTGCAATGAATGAGCAAAACAGTAAAAACATCACTATCCTGTATGTCTTTGATTAAAAAAAACAAAATATTTGGTTAAGTAACTTTATTTCAATATGCCGACATCATTGAATTCCTTAACCACCAAAATGTTCAAAAATTGTCACAGGCATACAAGTACTACTTGGTATCACTATGGCTACGATACAGAAAGCTACAAACCAATGCAGATTGCCACAAATGATGCGGGATGTATCTGTAGCTAATTCGATGCTCTGTGAATGTGTGATCTAGGCACTACTTTCACTATTTCTTTAGATTGCAACTGATTTAACTTAGCTCCTGAAAGATTATTATTTTCAAAATTCACAGTTCCATCAAATACTCTTCTCCAAAATCATTTATATAATTTTGCTAAACAAATCATTCAAATATATCCCATATTACATGTGGATGACTATATTTACATGATCAAGTATATAACGAAGCCAAAAGATTTGGTCTTTAAATTATTAAGCTAAATACAAACTTAAAACTAGAGCCATAAGCCCAACAGCACTGAAGCAGTGTGTTGAATCCAAGGAATCATTCATAGAACAACAGACATTAGATTTATCTTATGAAATGAATGTAATTTTACGTCCTCCTAAACAGCTCCATGTGGGCTACTGAAGACGGACAACTCCATTCAGAGTGCAAATGACGACTCCTCTTTTGAGGCTCTGCCATATATATAGACAAGGTGTTGCCTAGCAAGATATGCCCACTTTCCTGCTAAATTTTCAGTGGGCAGTAACCAATCTGTGTCAAATTGTACAAAAAATCTAACTAACAAGATATTGGTGATTTAAACCAACACACAAAATTTCATAAACTGTCCACTTTTTTGCATTCAAAAGCCACATTCAACATAATTTTGAAAATAATAATAATCAGTCAGTGACAAATTTGTTACAATTCTAATTTTTTTTTTCTCTCTTCCCTTTTTCTGATAAGTGAATCGTGATTATTATTGTAATATGTATTGTATCGTTGGATGAGAATTGTATATAGTGTATTGAATCACAACTTCAAGAATAGTTACAGACCTAATATAGACTATATATTACCTCAGCCTGTCCAACCAAAAATAAGAAATCACTTAAGGCATACATACACCATTTAAGTAATTTCAGGCAAAGTCAATGGCAATAATTTGAAAACTGCTAATTTGAATGTAACTAATCAATGATCTCACCAAAATACAATTTTTTTTATCAAAGTCTTTAGTCTAATACATTCACAAGCCAAATTTTAACAATTTTAGTTTAATCAAGGGCAATAATTTATAATTATTATACTAAATCATTAAGATAGCTTGCTAGGCTGTATGTCTTCTGGCAAATTTCTGTACGTAAAATTGTCAACATCCATCAATGATTTTATCTTCTTTTTTTTTACCATCCTGTTTCAAAGAAGAAGGGTAATTAAATATTGTCTAATCTTTTTCATATGAATATTTTCACTATGTTTCATAAAATATTGATCATAATTGTGCTTTCTGGAGTGGTTATCACCTTAACTTTGTGTGAAGAAGATCAAGGGCTATAACTCATATTAAATACCTCCTGACTTTTTATTTTAAAGCCAGGTTTCCTTATTTTCATTTATTTATATATATATTCCATTATTGGATTGCTAATCGAAAGTAGAGGTATTCTATTGATTTGGAAAAATACCAGTTTGTCTCAAAAGTCAAAAATTAACTCATAATTAGCTACGAAGGGATTCCAATGATAAAGTGGTCACTTAATAAAGATTATCAGATCTCACTATCTAAATTAGGGAGGTAACTATTTGTGTGCCTTTCACAGCCAAACATTACTAAGA